CGCCGCCGTTTCCCTTCCAGGCTACACGCCGCCGTTTCCCTTCCAGGCTACACGCCGCCGTTTCCCTTCCAGGCTACACGCTGCCGTTTCCCTTCCAGGCTACACGCCGCCGTTTCCCTTCCAGGCTGTTGTTGATAACAACTGTGTAAATATATATCTTTTGATAGAGATGGAGTCCTCAAAAACGCCTCTTAAAGTCTTAGACCTCCAATAGCTTAATTTATTTGATTTCGCTATATGTTTTGCCTTTGGCTTTATTAGTTTTCTTGATCTTCTTATGTCCTGTCTATACTCTATGCACCCATTCACAAATTTCATTCATATTTAAAAACGAAATGACAATTGCATTCACAAACATTTTTTTTCACAAAGTATTCATTCCTACGCATAATCATTTGCTTATATCAAAATTTACTCAAATTGTAAGTAACTCTGATAGTATAAACTTGCTCTTCGGAAAATGAGCTTTTTATTGCTTGTAATTTCTTGATAATTAGCTGTCATTTAAATTTTGTATTTATTTGAGACTCCTTTATTCTGTGCAGCAAGCTATTTGCAAAGCTGTTTCTTTTGGTTTTCTGCAGCAGCGTAAGGCGTGAAATCGACCCTTGATTTTGCAATTCGTTCGTAACACCTTTTCCCTTCCAGGCTACACGCCGTGATGCCGACGAATTTAAGCTCTAAAAGCCTTTTTCCGAATAGCAATGAATAATGTTGGGTTGTGTGTGCTACTGTGACAGTCATGTTTTCTGGACTCTGAGAAAAGCTACCAAATATTCAATGAATACCTGGAATTTAATTCATTATGTTCAACAGATTGACTTATAAAGTTTTGTTTCTTATAATTATTTTTTCGATTGGATCGATTATCTGTTATTCATACTCGTTTTACGTGGCGTATCACATATCGAAACAAGATTTCCATCGCATATAGTGTGGGATATCAAGTTTACTCTGATGATATCATGTAATCTTTTGCGCAGGTGTTCGTCTGTATGTACGAATTCATTTGTTATTTCCAATCATCAGTAATAAGCTATTCACAGACCCAGGATGCGAGTGCAAAAGCATGTAGCACTCCACTGTAAATATTTTGTTTTCTGTAGTCAAAGTGGTTAGGTCCCAAAGTTGAATTTCAACGTTCTAAGACTACATATTATTCATGTCGAATTTTGTCTTTCAATGAAAAATTTATGTTTACAACAAATTTTCTTATTTGCAGTTGCGCTAAATTATCATCAAAAGATGCCCGCAAGAAAGTGCTAGTTTTGTTAAGCTACAAACTCATTGAAGATCATCATAGCAACAAAACTGTTGCAAGGCTTTGCAAAAGATGCGAGAATATCAATGCAATTGCATTCACTGTCATTAAGCGTTGATCAACATTTTTGATAAGGTTTTCCGACAAGCGATGAAATGACCTGAAATATCAGACTGACTCCTTTGTCTTCAGCAAAGATGTTTTTGAAGAAATTCAGTCTTATTGTTGCTGGTTAAGCCGCCAGTCTTCATCATTTCTGAAACGATTAACTGAATTTGAAGTCTGTGTGTTATGCAAAAAAGTTTTGAAGCTTACTGCTTTACACGCTTTCATTAAACCTTGTTTTTTCTCCTCCATCTTATTTTTGTTACTATTTTTAAGCTAAAAAAGTTTCAGTACTAGCTACATTAAAAATTTTATTCTAAGCTTTGCAAGACCTTTCCTATTTCATGTCAAATTTACAATAGATGAAACTATGAGACATATTTTTTTATGCTCGTAAAATGGCGAAATACCCAGGAAGTGACATATTATATTAGACACGTTGATACATCAACGCTTGAAAATATTGTCTCAGATTTTCCTCCCCTCGAAGTCCATTTTTGTTTAAGTTTCTGGCCATCCCTAAAATATCATATTCCTAAACTCTTTCAAACTTTAATATTTTGGCCGCTCCGCTTTCAAAAACGTTTCGCCGGCCCGAAGCCAATGTTGCGACTGTGCCGGGTCAAGTTGATGAAAACAAAAATAAAAGTTAGTACACCTTTTCGATATCGGGGCGCGCTTATTTTGCAAAAAGAGACTGAGGCGAGAAACTGGGTGCAAAGTCGCCACGGGCCTATGTTTACATATACGGCGTTTATTGGCAACTAATTACTGCCCGAATTGACATCAAAAGTATTCGAAATTTTATAGATTTGATTCCTAAACATCTTCCGTAGTCTTTAGTCTCGAAAATAGCTTTTCTAAAAGCTTCTGTCAAGTATTGTAATTTAACAGGCGACGTAGGGCTAGGATTTTGGTCACAAAACTTCAAAGTTACTCGCTATTTTTAATACTTTAAAATCGACAAACAAGTTTCTTCGCAAACCCTGCTACAATTCTTTGTTCCTATAAAAACACTTTTCTTTTCCTGCCTGTTCTCGACTTTTCTCCAGTAAACTGCTTCTTTACATAAGTTGCCAATTGTTTGGGTAGTAGAGTCCGTGTAGCCCACTTGTTGTGCAATTTCATCATATGAATGACCTGCCTGGCGTAAAAACTTTATGACCATTTGCTTAGCTACATCCATATTTTGTGTTTTTACAAGTTCCCAAAGATAAACATTTTTGCGCTATTGAAAAAAATGTTCTCTGTTAACTTTCTCCAAAAAAATGTTTGCTTATTTATATATTTATTTTGCTTGTTTCCTGACGCCATCGTTTTATTTTGCCGCCAAAATTTGATCTTACTTTTCCACTAAGATGGCATTTGTAAGAATTAGGCCCAAAATTTTGCCCGACCGTTCGAATACTTATGATGATCGATATAGCTTTGTTCCGATATCTGATCATCAATTACAAAATGTATTTTTACAGTTATTATTTCAACTTTCCATGTTCGTTTTAGGCTGGGTTTTTCTGCCAGTTTCAGTCAGTGTCCCAGAGACAAAGAGTTTTGGTTAAACTATAAAGCTGTTCAATTAATCGTCGAATTACATGAGTTTGAGTTTTGTTCCGCGATACATTTTCAGCTTCCATCTTTTATGTTTGACCGCCATTGAGATGTAGCCTCGCTTTCTTATTTATCAATGAGGTGGATTCTTTTCACCTATTCACCTCATTGATTGATTCATGCTTGTCTGTTATCGTTCTGCAAGGGGTCAACTCTCCGTGTTTTGAAAAGGTAATTAAGCATTCTTTTTTTCTGGAAGCTTTGCACAGGTGTGCACAAATGCCACAATAAAGAATTAGCAATGTGCATGCATACTTTTAATAAAGCTGCATCAGTCTTTTCGGTAGCGTAATGTAGGGGGATTTGCTAGGCCATATGTGGGCATAATTCTTGCACGATGTTTACAGGTCAACTAATCACAAAGAATCTTTAATTATCTGAAATCAGCCTTGACATACATGCTAGAATAAAGACTTTCGGTAAGATATTAGCTATGGCAACAGCTGCAGAAATTCTTGTACCCTGATTGCAGAGGTGCAGAGCTGGGTGTCTCATTTAAAAGTTAATGCAAAAATCAAAAGAGACTTTCCAGTTCTATGAAAACCGGGAACCAAAAATAATTGAAAACAGTCTGAATCTTGTAACATTTTGCCAGCCACTAGGCTCTGGGGGGAAAAAGCAAAAAATACGACCTTTTTCATAAGAAAACGCCCTTTTACCAGCATGAAACAACAATTTTACGCTTGAGGACCAGATTTGAGACTGTATTATAGTATATGTAGATATTGTTTTCACAGGTCTTCGGCATATTGTGTTGCAATGAACTCCATGATGAAGTGCTGCTGTAAAGGATTTGATATAGGAAGACTGTGATTAGATTTCCTTGTGTTCTGGCTATTAATCTATTCTGAAGTTGCCATTTGAATGTTATGATGTGTTGACAACCAGAAGTCTAACTTCCAGAGATTTCAATCTAAAATAAAAAACCACACCATTCCTTAGGAATAGAAACATATAAATCTTAAGAATTCAGCAAATCATGTGATCTCAATTAGTTTTGTTTATTAGAATTCCACAGAGAGTATCTTGAAAGATAAACTACGGTTGAACGAACATAACAAAACAACTTATATGATCAGGATATGATACTAGGCCACATTACGTATTCAGCATAAGAGTAGTAAAAACGTGTTCACAGCATGACTAAGCAAGGCTTAACTTAAAGTGTCAATCAATGATACTATGAGTCAAAACATGATAATAGTGAATATCTTGTCATTGTTTTCCTCGATCTAGATGTTTGGCTGTGGAAGAAGAGCCATGGCTCTGCATGCCAAAGCATTTTCTATTCATGAAACCTCTGGTTTAGTGGTAGCAAAATCTCTCAACACATCATCCTTTTATCATACAAAGAAATTTAATGGAGCCCTTCCTGTCTCTGAGATACCAGGGCCTGTGAGAGTCCCCATTGTTGGAAATATTCTTCAGTTCCAAAAGGCAGGCGGAATTGGCAATTTTAATGAGGCTCTAAGTATTATGCAAAAAGAGTATGGCAAGATTTTTCAACTCAAGTTTGGTCCTGAGCGTCTTGTGTGCATTTCTGATGTAGATATGATTGAGGATGTGTACAGGAATGAAGGAAAATACCCAAGAAGAGAAAAATCATTTCCAGCATGGGACAAATACCACAAGAAGCACAACCTTCCAAAAGGGGTGTTTATAGAGTAAGTAATTAAATTATTTTGGTTTACAGCAAATCATAGGACTTGATTTAATGAAATTAATCCATGTTTAATATGTGACATGGATCACCTATTCCAATGAACCTGGGATTTTAACTTTTGGAATAGATGGTAAAATTTTAGAGTGTGTGCTGATTCTAACAATGCTTAATTAAGCATTACATTGTGTCTATTTCAAGGCAAAATAACGAGCATGCATTGGCCATGTGTATATAAACATTTCATTGGTATATCTTCCTCAGTTGTTGCAAGACAACCTTAAGTTGGACTGTAGAGAGCAAAATCATTTTTAAACTTTTTCACTTTTAAACCTAGAACAGTTGTACAAAGACTGACTTTGTCAGCTTCCTTTCTGAATGTATTTTCTATTAACTTTAAATTTCTTGAAATTTTCGAACAGGTTTGTATGGGATATAAATCATAAAATGTCTTTGTATTCATAATATATAACTTCAATTAAGATCTTTTTTACTCAATATGCTCCCTCCAAGAATGCTTTCCTCAAAACAATACCAGTCATTTGATTAGAAAAGTCATGTTTTGATACAAAATTAACACCAGGGTATCTTTGGCAATAAAACAAATATTCAGCCTGTTTGATTGAATGTGTCACTGAGAGTTGTGAAAACATATTATGAATTATAGTAAGTCAAGGGTTCAAAGACTCAACCAGAGAACTTGTGTGTATATCTGATCGACGATTGATGAACATACAAAATAAACCATCCCTTGACTTATATGTCATTTCATAAACTAGCCAGTCCTATTTAACATGTTGAAAACATGGCACCAGAGAAGTGATGATGTGCCTATTGTGTGTCTTTATTCTAACTAAACTAAAATTGTTTACAAATTAACATACTTTTATACATAAATTCATATCTAAAATTAACATGAATAAGGTGAGAAAAACAAATGACAGACGTGTGAGTAAGGGTGATAAGTAAATTGATAGTAATAGTATGGCATAAGGTAAAGGAAACAATAGAGATTAGTGGTTGCATCATTTATGCCTGTGATATGAGAGTGATGTAGAGGATGCATGTGCTGCGATGTGAGAATGTGATGGAATGTATGGGAAGGAAAAATTAATGTAAACAGGTCTAAGAAGAGTCACTACAACTCTTCCTTCAATATGCAGTTAATCCCTACAAATAAGGATCTACTTTCCAAAGTCCAAACTGGCCTTGGGTCTTGTTTTCATGTAGCAGCTGAGGGGTCAAATGTTCTTAACTAACTTGCCCTTGCAACGACTAATGAAACTAGAATAGGTTCTATTCTCCTGTGACATTGCATGAAGAATTATAACCAATCAACTAAGAAGAATGGGTCACATGCTTCAAATATCTAGGGTCATAAATTGGAAGTTTAGTTGAAGAATCTTTTTGTGGGATATACACTCGGATTCTACCAAAATAAGGATAAAGGACATGCATCTGAGAAAGGTGTGGCAAATATGGGTGTAGTTGGATAATCCTCATATTGGTTTTGCCACACAAGCCAATCTCTGTTCCAAAACCTTCTTCTTGTTTCTATCAAACCTTTTTTTAGTTTCAATACCCCGCAACTAGGAGGCAAACAGTCTTTTTCTGTGTGCAATTTGTGATATTGCCTTGATTTGCCACAAAGTTTGCTTTGTTGTGAAACTGACTCTTGAACATACTGTATAAACTGGCTATGAGTTTATTGTTTGTGAGGATTTACTGTTATCCAAAAGATGTGTTTAGTTTATTTAAATAACCTAGAAGCATGTTCTTAATTTTCAACAGATACACAATATTATATTAACTAACTTTTCAGGGAAGGCGAAGAATGGCTAAGACACAGAAGTGCATTGAACCCCAAGCTTTTAAATGTGAAGCAAGTTGAGCATTATGCTCCTGATTTTAATAAAGTTATTGATGGACTCATGAGAAAGGTGATGTCAAGTAGAAGCAAAAACATGGAAGTGGAACATATTGAGAAGGAGCTCTTCAAATGGGCAATAGAAAGTAAGACATATTAAAATGCACAGTCAGTTAATGATGTTTTTAACTCTCAAACAATAATCAGAAGATGACCCAAATATCTTAAGCAACTGTGAAATAAACGTACTGGAATGATTTTGCTATGTTGAAATCCCTGTGAAATCTGGTGAAGTACTAGTTCACTTCTATTGTTGAATTTTTCGATTTTAGTGTTACTTATCCTTAAGCAGTAACAATCATTTACATTTGTTCGTTTATAATAAGAAAAATTCAAATTGCTCCTTTATCAATTCAATTGACCTTTGTTCGTTTATAATTAGAAAAATTCAAATTATCAGATAGCCAAATTGCTAAACCTGGTCCTTGTTTAATATTACTATCTTTTCTCTTGGTGTCGCATGGGCAGAATCTATCAATTGAAACCCTTTAATGGATGAAAAATTTTTGTATCTGCTTCACTTAAACATGTTTTGGCCCTTTTTGCAAAGAAGGAAAATCAAGTCATAGCCATAGCATTGCAAATGCTTTTTGTTAAGTTCCGCAACTTGGAAGTGATAATGAAATGTGTTTAATGAAAGCAGGAGCGAGTGCTTGATTTAAAATATTATTTGGTATTGCTAATAGCAATCCTTCTTTATAAGATTCAATTTTTGATTAAATCCCTTTTGAAGGTGCTTGCACTGTGCTTCTGGAAACCCATCTTGGATGTTTTTCATCACATCCTGATCCAAAATATGAAGAGTTTATTGCTGCAGTGAATAAAATGTTTGAACTGATCTTGGAGCTGATGTTCCAATCTCCAATGGTAGATAAGATCATGGAGACCAAGCCTATAAAGGAATTCAATGCAGCAATGGATGTCATCTACGAAGTTGCAGGAGATGAAATTGATGAGAAATTGAGGAGATTTAAAGAGCAACATGGAAAAAAGATTGATGACGAGACTCCAAAAGAATTCATACCATATTTGTACTATGTTCAGGAAATGAGTTTGGCTGATATAAAGAGTGATATATCCTCACTTATGATGGCTGCTGTGGAGACGGTTAGTAATCAAGCTGTTTTATTTGATAAAATAATCACTGCATGAATAGAAGATTCCTGAACAAGTTGTATTTGTCAAGACGCTTTGCTTATATATGTTTGTTCTGGAACATTGTATATGAATTGGGTACATTTAAAAGTAAACAGAAAAGATAGTACTTAGCAGTCAATGTATTTGTGCAAAAGGGCATTGACTGCATGCATTTCTGTTAAGATGATGTACAGTAATTTTTGCCCTAGTGTCGAGTCAGATGGGTCCACCAGTATCCCTTCTACATATGAATTATGTTTGTCGATTGTTGCAATGCATAGTTTCAAAATGTTAAGTACATGCAGAGGAAAAAGTTTAAGCTATTTTTTAAACTATGATTTTTAAGCAGTTTTAAAATTAAATGATTTTGCCTCAAATATATTTATCTTTGCATATAAAAATCCTTTTCAAAATCCAGCTTGAGTGATATTTTTCAATTTAGGAAGTGATATAAATGTGAATGCAACTGTATATATTCAACTTCCCTGCAGACATCAACATCAATGCAAGTTCTGCTATTTGACCTTGCCACTAACCAACAAGCTCAAAGCAAGCTGCACGAGGAGATTGCAAACTTCATGGAGCCAGGAGAACCTGCTACAGTTGAAATGCTCAAACGAATGCCTTTTCTAAAAGCAGTAATCAAAGAGTCGATGAGGTAAGCACTATTTCTGCCAGGCATTTATTTATTAATTAATGGACAGCATGTCCTGTGTTTTTTTCCTACTTGCATATTTTTGTGTTTGTCATTAATTCTTTGATATGACCTTGTAAGATTACTTGTTACTGTTTTATCGTAGAATGCTTGATGCTCTATAGACAACGCTGTACATGCTTTGCATTGCAGAAAAAGACTATTCTAAAACTCTATTTTTGTGACCTGTCTCAGACAAGGTGTAATCAGTTATTTCAAGAGACCATTGACTGGATTGGACACTGAACCTACTTTAAATTTATACTCCTCATGGAAAGAAATTAAATGGAAACATTTATGCCTTCAAGAATAGTATTTTAATGCAATATGCATCTGTAGAAAGAAGACTTTTTATCTCAAAAAGTTGAGTTTCCAAAACTATAAATGTTTAACTGCTTATTGCGGAAGTGAAGTTAAATTTTGTTAATCAGACACCTAGTGCTAAAATTTTCTTTTTGATTTAATATGTTTTTTGTGTAAGATATTTACCCAAACAGAGTGCAGAAACATTGATGGCTGCATGGCTAGCGACTGCCGCGAAAGGTTTTGAAAACATAAGATTTTAGCACTCATACCCAGACTACATCTTATTTCCAATGTTTTAACAAATGTGATAAAAATTTGGTTCATTGGCAGCAGCAAGGATGAAAGCATTTCTTCACTTTGTATGTGTTTGTTGAAATATGCTGTTGGTTTCCCACCTCAGCCAAAAAGTTTAACCATTTCAGTTCCACCTTGTATTGTATTAAATTCAAGCTATGACAATATGATGGGATGTTATTTGCCAGAGTTAACAACTTCTAGTTTTTCATGCTTGTCTGCTGTCTTGTTAGGCTCCATCCAGTTGTCCCATTCAATGCAAGATGGTTCATTGAGGACAAATGTGTCGCGGGATACAATATTCCTGCCAAGGTATATAAAATTATTTTTTAAATGCTTTTATTTAAACGCAATTTTTCTCCTCATACCAAACACAATTAATCTTTTTTCTAGATGCTTCTTTAGAAGTTTCAAAAACATTGATCAGGTTGAAAAAGGAATAATCTAATATTGTATAGAGTTCAAAATTGCTGACGTCACAAAAGTTTATTTTAGAATTTTTGTTTTGTTTTTTCAATATAACTTGAAAGAACATTATGAAATATCTCTAATAGTGCAAAATCAGTTAATTGTACTAGAAATTGGCTGGGATGTGGCCACATACTTTAGTACTCTGTTTGTTGGGATCAGGGTTGATTTCTAAAAATTAACAAGGGGTTTCCAGGGACAATTTCAGAAGAAAGTGTGTGGTTTCTTATGACTTTTCCCATATTTTCATAGAAACGAATATAACAACCAATGCTTGAGCAAGCCAATGCTTTTTACAACGGTTTTCGAAGTCAAGGCAATGAATTATAAGGAGAGACCGAAAAACACGATTTATAACAAGCAATATGAGGCTGCCCACCTCAAAAGAAAGAAATTATTCGAAAAGGCAGTAGTGATAAGAGAATCAACAATTGGTGTGCACCCTCCCCCTAGAAATCATTACTGGTTCGTCAGATAATAATTCAATTGTTGGGGAGAAAATGTTTATTCAAGGGTATTCTTGTTGAAAACTTTTGATGTCGAAGCAAACTGTTATTCATTAGAAGTCAACAGATTCTGTAATTTGATGCGAGGGAAGTAATAACTGTATGGGATAGGCGCAGACTTGGAACAGGGGGCTCCGGGGCTTGAGCCCTTTCTGAAGAACATTTAAGGGGCTATATAAATTAGAAAGAAAATCACCTTCAGCTAGGCCTCTTTCAACCCTCTGCCGTCGGCAGCTGCCATTAGCAATTGCAATTAATTACTGAGCCCCTCCCTCCCCCTCTGGTAAAAATATGATGAAAATGGTTGAGAAATTTCTAGAAAAGTGATGTATTCTCTTCCCTTTTCTAAATAACGATTCCCCTTCCCTCGATTCAATTTTGAATGCATGTTTTGAAACACAAGTGGCAGAACTGCTAATTCAACATTTATTCAGTAAGATTCGAATTTTCATGGGCAACGTAAAGTAGAAAATTGTGAAAATTTATATTATGTCTCAACCATTTTGCCTGCCCACCGTGTGAGAATATTTCCAATTTAAGCCAAATAACTTTAGGTTGCTACATTTTCTTGATTGTTGAGTTTCGTTGGTTTTACCATGAGATGATTTCCCAACTTCAATTACTTCCATTATAATCAAAATTATAGTGTAATATTTTCAACTCCAGTTGTGCAAAGATTGTGTTTGGAAATAAGTTTTGAAATTGTCATTTATAAAATCGTAATGCAATCTGTGTTTTCATTTTGGGAAGAAGTTGGAACAAGCTTCACTTGCCGTTCCATCCACTTGTTAGTTAGTTACTACAGATATGACAAGTTTCATATTTCATATTTATTATCAGCCATAAATAGCGAAGCTGGATAGGGAACATCCTGCGAGTTGTTTTTATGCCATAAAAAATGCTTTGTCGGCGAATTTTCTACTTTGTTGGCAAGTAAAGGATGACTCACTCACTTTGTTTGCAAATGGGGCCCGAACACTTCCCTTAAGTACAATATTTAGTGATTGCACTGCTTACAGCCTAATAATTTAAGAACAATTTAAGAACAATCCAGCCTCTAAGTTTTGGAGAAAGGAAGAACAGCCAGTCTGAACTATAATTTACTGGTTCATGGAAAATAGGTGTTTGCGGATTAAGGATTTCTAGCAAAAAACTTGCAGTTTCTGGGTCGAAAAGCAGGGACATAAATTTTTGGAATGATGAAGGGTACGAAATTTCTGACTGACAACAAGCCAATTGCAATTTTGTACTAAGATTGTACAAAACCTGCACTTACAGCACTTTTAAATCATACGGTTCTGTGATATTCTTTCGTAATCGAGAGAAAGCTCTACAATACCGCTAGTATGTTATATCATATTCTTTGATGTGAATAAGCATTGGAATTACGACTTAGATTTCCGATTAATCGCAAATTTTCCGACTAATTCTACTGGTTGCAGACTTTCGATTAGAAATTGGATTAAGTAACTTCAATATTTTTAATGCAACACTACAAAATTGAATATTTTTCAGCAGTTGTGTATGTCTCGAATTTAAGAGTCATAGTGGCACAGCTCACTTGTTGACTGTGTCTTCAATTTTTTTCCGCATTGTTTTGAGCTCGTAAAATGTGGCATCTCCTTTCATCATGTTGCATAGCTCAGCGTTTTCAGAAATGTTGCTTGGTAAATTCCCATCTCGAAGAAAGTCGATGATATGTTGAATACCTCCAGAACGCCTGTCGATATAATATTCCCCAGACATTGTGTTGTAGTGTTCTCTAACTATCCATAAATATACATTGTGCAGCAGTGAATTAATATCAGCTTTTCTCAACACATCAACACTCGTCGTGATACTTACACCATCATTAAGCATTAGCTTCACCTCTCCACTGCGGAGACATGTAGGTTGCAAGGCCTGAGGGCCATTCCCCTGCTTCTTGGCTGCATCATCAATTTTTTTCAGCATTGTTTTGAGCCCGTAAAATATGGCATCTTCTTCTATCATGTTGCATAGCTCAGCATTTTCATTGATGTTGCTTGGTAAATTTCCATATCGAAGGAAGTCGATGATATGTTGAATACCTCCAGAACGCCTGTCGATATAATATTCCCCATGCATCGTTTCGCTGCGTTCTCTAACTATCCATCGATATACATCGCGCAGCAATGAATCCTCATCAGCTCTTTTCATAACATCAACACTGGTCATAATACTTCCACCATCATTAAACATTAGCTTTACCTCTCCTGTGCTCAGACTTTTAATTTCTAAGGTTTCAGGTTCATTCCTGTGATTCACGTAACTTTCCAACTTCAGAATTTTATAGTAATTCGCCTCCTGTTTTATGGCCTGCCAGAAGTCATCGCTTGCTCCACTGGGCGGCGAAATGCGGTTGTCCCTTAAAAACTCTAAGACGTACCCGAAGTTCTCTGGGCTCCGATCAATGAAATAGATATGGTAATCTATACCATAACCTACGGCATACCCCAAAAGGCGCAGAGGGCTATCGGTGGGTGCGTTCATAAGAGTTGCATAGCTTGTTGTAAACCGTGTTCCTCCAACATTTAATCTAATTTCGCCAGCCATTGGAGTTATTGACTGCCGAAGCGTTGCCGGGGTGTCTTCAGCCATTTTTAACGCCCTCTCCTATCTCTCTGCTTTACCTCTATCTACAGGTAACCTAGAAAACGAATCGATGATAGCAATGCAAGAACTCAAGAGTATTTTCCCTTTCTGAGAAACAGGAACTTCCTCTTTCCCAAGAACTCTCGTAGCTTGAAGGTAATGTGTCCATACCCAACTTGTCAAGTAACATCAAAATAACGGCTTGCGATTGGTCAGTATTCTTGCTATGCAAAACTGCTCACATGAAAAGCTAACTTCGCAGCAGGATAGATAAACAGAACGAGCGTAATGGCCGGGGCGATGACATGTAAAATCACATGTTTCTGAAAACCCCCGCAGAGTTGCTTGCTTTAGCTGGACACATTCCCGTCCAGGTCATCCCCGGCGAGCTCAGTCAGGTGGTCCAATGTACATTAACCACAAAAAATTTCGGCGTGACAAAATTTCAGACAATTATTATGCCAAAATTTTCTTCGACTACATTTTAAATGAGACGAAAGTTTTTCACGATGAAATTTTTTGGTTTTAAGAAATTTTGAGAAGTCGCATAGATTAACTATCATTTTAGGTCAAAAACCAAATTTATGTATCCTTTTAATCTATTCAATGCCAATTACGTCATTTTCCTCGTTTACATCGTCTTCATAAATAGTTCTAACTGTCTTTTGTCGCCAATTTCAAAGGAATCTACCTCTGTCTTTCTATAGTTCAACTGTACCATTTCTTTCATTCACTCGAGGTATTTGAGCTTTTCAACACAAATTTTATTCTCTAAAGACAGCAAAATTTCCAGACCATCTTTTCGTATTAGAGACGGTCTTAAACTTCCCGATTCTTCTTAAACTTTTAATTATGCTCTGTTTATAAACTTTCATACTATATTGATATAGAGTAGAGACTCTTTGAGTGCTAGAATCTTTTTCTTTGTTTTTCTTACACATAAACAGATAAGATATACCGCTTTGTGATGTATTCTCTTCCCTTTTCTAAATAACGATTCCCCTTCCCTCGATTCAATTTTGAATGCATGTTTTGAAATACAAGTGGCAGAACTGCTAATTCAACATTTATTCAGTAAGATTCGAATTTTCATGGGCAACGTAAAGTAGAAAATTGTGAAAATTTATATTATGTCTCAACCATTTTGCCTGCCCATCGTGTGAGAATATTTCCAATTTAAGCCAAATAACTTTAGGTTGCTACATTTTCTTGATTGTTCAGTTTCGTTGGTTTTACCATGAGATGATTCCCCAACTTCAATTACTTCCATTATCATCAAAATTATAGTGTAATATTTTCAACTCCAGGGGTGCAAAGATTGTGTTTGGAAATAAGTTTTGAAATTGTCATTTATAAAATCGTAATGCAATCTGTGTTTTCATTTTGGGAAGAAGTTGGAACAAGCTTCACTTGCCGTTCCATCCACATGTTAGTTAGTTAGTACAGATATGACAAGTTTCATATTTCACATTTATTATCAGCCATAAATAGCGAAGCTGGATAGGGAACATCCTGCGAGTTGTTTTTATGCCATAAAGAATGGTTTGTCGGCGAATTTTCTACTTTGTTGGCAAGTAAAAGATGACTCACTCACTTTGTTTGCAAATGGGACCAGAACACTCTCCTTAAGTACAATATTTAGTGATTGCACTGCTTACAGCCTAATAATTTAAGAACAATTTAAGAACAATCCAGCCTCTAAGTTTTGGAGAAAGGAAGAACAGCCAGTCTGAACTAAAATTTACTGGTTCATGGAAAATAGGTGTTTGCGGATTAAGGATTTTTAGCAAAAAACTTGCAGTTTCTGGGTCGAAAAGCAGGGACATAAAGTTTTGGAATGATGAAGGGTACGAAATTTCTGACTGACAACAAGCCAATTGCAATTTTGTACTAAGATTGTACAAAACCTGCACTTACAGCACTTTTAAATCATACGGTTCTGTGATATTCTTTCTTAATCGAGAGAAAGCTCTGCAATACCGCTAGTATGTTATATCATTCTTTGATGTGAATAAGCATTGGAATTACGACTTAGATTTCCGATTAATCGCAAATTTTCCGACTAATTCTACTGGTTGCAGACTTTCGATTAGAAATTGGATTAAGTAACTTCAATATTTTTAATGCAACACTACAAAATTGAATATTTTTCAGCAGTTGTGTATGTCTCGAATTTAAGAGTCATAGTGGCACAGCTCACTTGTTGACTGTGTCTTCAATTTTTTTCAGCATTGTTTTGAGCTCGTAAAATGTGGCATCTCCTTTCATCATGTTGCATAGCTCAGCGTTTTCAGAAATGTTGCTTGGTAAATTCCCATCTCGAAGAAAGTCGATGATATGTTGAATACCTCCAGAACGCCTGTCGATATAATATTCCCCAGACATTGTGTTGTAGTGTTCTCTAACTATCCATAAATATACATTGTGCAGCAGTGAATTAATATCAGCTTTTCTCAACACATCAACACTCGTCGTGATACTTACACCATCATTAAGCATTAGCTTCACCTCTCCACTGCGGAGACATGTAGGTTGCAAGGCCTGAGGGCCATTCCCCTGCTTCTTGGCTGCATCATCAATTTTTTTCAGCATTGTTTTGAGCCCGTAAAATATGGCATCTTCTTCTATCATGTTGCATAGCTCAGCATTTTCATTGATGTTGGTTGGTAAATTTCCATATCGAAGGAAGTCGATGATATGTTGAATACCTCCAGAACGCCTGTCGATATAATATTCCCCATGCATCGTTTCGCTGCGTTCTCTAACTATCCATCGATATACATCGCGCAGCAATGAATCCTCATCAGCTCTTTTCATAACATCAACACTGGTCATAATACTTCCACCATCATTAAACATTAGCTTTACCTCTCCTGTGCTCAGACTTTTAATTTCTAAGGTCTCAGGTTCATTCCTGTGATTCACGTAACTTTCCAACTTCAGAATTTTATAGTAATTCGCCTCCTGTTTTATGGCCTGCCAGAAGTCATCGCTTGCTCCACTGGGCGGCGAAATGCGGTTGTCCCTTAAAAACTCTAAGACGTACCCGAAGTTCTCTGGGCTCCGATCAATGAAATAGATATGGTAATCTATACCATAACCTACGGCATACCCCAAAAGGCGCAGAGGGCTATCGGTGGGTGCGTTCATAAGAGTTGCATAGCTTGTTGTAAACCGTGTTCCTCCAACATTTAATCTAATTTCGCCAGCCATTGGAGTTATTGACTGCCGAAGCGTTGCCGGGGTGTCTTCAGCCATTTTTAACGCCCTCTTCTATCTCTCTGCTTTACCTCTATCTACAGGTAACCTAGAAAACGAATCGATGATAGCAATGCAAGAACTCAGAGTATTTTCCCTTTCTGAGAAACAGGAACTTCCTCTTTCCCAAGAACTCTCGTAGCTTGAAGGAAATGTGTCCAGATGTCCCAACTTGTCAAGTAACATCAAAATAACGGCTTGCGATTGGTCAGTATTCTTGCGATGCAAAACTGCTCACATGAAAAGCTAACTTCGCAGCAGGATAGATAAACAGAATGACCGTAATGGCTGGGGCGATGACATGTAAAATCACATGTTTCTGAAAACCCCCGCAGCGACTACATTTTGAATGAGTCACGATGAAATTTTTTGGTTTTAGGAAATTTCGAGAAGTCGCATAGATTAACTATCATTTGAGGTCAAAAACCAAATTTATGTATCCTTTTAATCTATTCAATGCCAATTACGTCATTTTCCTCGTTTACATCGTCTTCATAAATAGTTCTAACTGTCTTTTGTCGCCAATTTCAAAGGAATCTACCTCTGTCTTTCTATAGTTCAACTGTACTATTTCTTTCATTCACTCAAGGTATTTGAGCTTTTTAACACAAATTTTAATCTCTAAAAACAGCAAAATTTCCAGACCACCTTTTCGTATTAGAGACGGTCTTAAACTTTCCGGTTCTTCTTAAACTTTTAATTATGCTCTGTTTATAAACTTTCATACTATATTGATATAGAGTAGAGACTCTTTGAGTGCTAGAATCTTTTTCTTTGATTTTCTTACACATAAACAGATAAGATATACTGCTTTAATTTTGATTTTGCTGAAATGCTGTTCTGTGTGAAAAAGCTGCAAGGAAGGTTAAACCAAATTCCAAGAGGGTGCTCAAGCCCCAAAGTCCCCACGGGGCTCGTGGTTTTGGCTCTTAGAATATTGGTAGTATTTTGTTATCTCTAGTTTGTTAAAACCACTGCGAAATTTTTTCAAGACGGAATTCTGAATAGTTGTCCAAAATTTATTTCGACGAAGTTTCTCCGCGGAAAATTATCTCACGGAAATGTATATCATTTGTGTTCCTGAAAGTAGAAACTGGGCCCTAATCTCTGATTCTGGGTTGCGTAATATGTACGCGTTTCCCTTACTTTTCCTTTTCCAAAAAAATTAAACCCTTTTCACTCAGAATTTATTGATATAAGTTAAAAAAATAGGACAGCGGTAAAACTATAAATTCAACATATTGGTTACTTCACAACACTCCGTTCAATGTCTTTTATGAAAAAAAGGAAAAGTTGTGTCAAATTCCAAATAATATTCCAGATTAGTGTGACACCCCCCTAATCTGAAAAATAGTCGATTTCGCAGGGCAATGGAAGATTTCGCAAGGCGCCAAGAAGAGCTTTATTGCCACGCAGAAACGCCACCTCTGAAACGCGTAAAGGGCCGTTTAGGAATTTTGAAATGGAAATATCATATTTGTTATGAACCTCCCTTCCTGACATTGCACTTTAGAGAACGGAACAGGTATGTCAGGAAAAGCTCCGTTAAAGCATTTTTTACCGAAAGTCATAGCCAATTGATGCAATGATTGATGCATCCGTTTATGTTGGGTTGAAAGAATTTTCTAGAATGAAGTTTAACTGTAATCTTGATTCTAATATATTTTCATGGGCGTAGCCCCCTTGCCGAGAGTCGTGTCAGTGTTTGACAGAACAATAACCCCCAATTTTTGGGGTTTATTCCCCTGTTTCTCGGAAACGCCCCCTCAAACACTTGATCAACATTCAAATTCGTAATCTACGCCCAAAACTACATTAGATAAAGTTGGTGTCGTAAATTCTCCGCTCGGATGACAATAACCTCCCCCCCCCCCTCTTCCAGCCTCTGGACTATACAGGTTGTCATTTCACGCAAACACAACCCCGACTTTCCTCCCGTCTTCATGAATGGTACTGATTTAGAAATTTTTCTAAATTCTAATTACTAATTTTCACAACTTGGCCTTTCTGTATCTTTTCAAAAACTGCGGTTCCTTTCCAGAACACGTTCATTCTTCTCTCCATCAACAATTTATAAGTCCCAAACCCGTGCTTCCTTGGAGTACTGCTCCAATATTTTGGGTTGTGCTTCTACATCTTCCTTGCGCCTACTTGACAAACTCCTATCCAACGCCATTCGCCTCGTTAATTACCGTAACCTTACCAAGTCCCTTCAGCCTCTTTTCGTCGGCGCTGTGACAAAATAAACAATCTTGATATTTCCTCTCTCTCTCTCTTTTCCTATTCCCTTGTTAGGGCTTAGCTATATGTTCTTGAGTCTTTCCTTATCATCAACAACGGAAAAATGAATAAATCATTTAGACATGTAGAAAAAAATCAATCATCGAGTGAATAAAGTGTGGTGGATATTAAATCCCCTAGCGCCAGGGGCGGCGCCACAGGGCGGACTGGGGTGGACATGTCCACCCCATTTTTTTCAAGATCGACTTTCTAATTTGTTCAAAACAGGGGTGTTCGTTTTCTTCTTTGAGATCGGAACTTTTTTTATTTTGATGGTCAGTTACGGTTCTTTGCAGATGTGTTAAGCTGACATAGAGTATGGTGTGTTGGAGCATAAGTTCCGTAAATACATATTGAGAAACAAAAATGAAGATGATCTATAAAACACAGCTTTATCGTGCCAAACAGTCGGTTCTTAGCGTGTGGCCTTTGCCTTCCTTCCTCGATAGAGGCTTTTGGCAATAATTAATTTTAAAACTTGTACCCAAACCTTTTTAAGCTGTAAGGATAGTATAGTTGCAACCCCACCTGTTACAGCTGCATCACCTTTTAGCCTCAATGTCAGAGGAAAGGTTGGAAAAACTTGTTCAAATCAGCATCGATCGAGATATGGCAGATAAAATAGACAAAGGAAGCCTCGTTAATAAGTTTAAAACCATTGTGCTAGCTAAAAAATACCGCTCTGAAATTAAAGTTTATGTTATTAGCTTTTATGTGTGTAAACCTTTGCCTATGAAATTTAACTCTCTTCTATTGAGGGTTTCAAAATATATCAAACTTGGTTATCAATAACGAGCACGATTTCTCGTACGATGTTGCACCGGTTTCTCACCCAGACCCCTTTATCAGCCCCACCCCTTCATTGTCCACCCCACTACTTTGGGGCTGGCGCCACCCCTGCAGTCACCTCATACTTCATGGTTTTGAGTTGGCAAATAAGTTTCTCTTTTGTATACGACCAGAGTTTAGTAGTTTCCTCTTTGACTATAAGCATAATATTTTTATGTTGGCAGACGTGGATTATGTTAATGCACGAGACAGCTTCGCGGGACAAAAACGTCTTTGAAGATGCCGAAAAATTCAAACCTGAACGGTGGCTACGCGATGAAAGAGGTGAACATAAGATACACCCTTTCGCCTCGTTGCCATTTGGATATGGAACGAGAATGTGCCTTGGTAAGCTTTTAGTACTCGATGTAAATTATGAATGGAAATGCACCAAAATATGGCGTATTAAGAAAGGTGTCAAAACGTTATTTTTTTTAATGCAAGCTATATTGGGCTGTTGACATTTATCAATGAATGCGAGCTGTAGCTATAATTGGCCTTAAAACACAACTTTATACTTAAGCTGTATTTTGCTTTATGCATATAGCTGGATGAACATGTAGCATGCCATTTTAAGTTTTTGAAAATGCGACTGTAAAAAACTGTAAAGAACGCACAGCCTTAACACTCATGCCCTGTATAACATGAATGCGAAAGTATGGCTAGTATTTTGATCCGGCAATATTTCTCCAAGAAATCCTTGAAAAGGTCCTTCGCTAGTATCACTGCTATTTCTCGTCTTGTTTGACGAAATTTATTTAATAACGCAATAAAAAATATCATTTTCTAACCTTTCTCTTTGCATTCTATGTTGTTATTATTTTTCAATATTTTCTTTCCTTCGTGTCTAGGGAGAAGATTGGCAGAGTTGCAAATCCAGCTTCTTACTTCAAGAGTAAGCCTTCTGTTTCTGATTGTTCTGCCTTTTGTTTATAAACATAACTATGATTTATCTATATTTCTTTCTACGCAATAGCTATAAAGTTTTTTTGATATATAAGAATGTTCTTATCATAAGCAGATCTGAGTTGACATGGTCATTGAAAATACTTGACGCCCACTAGTAAAGCCAATAACAAGGTTAATGTTTTAGCAAAAACGGAATTTGTTTTCTTGGTCTAAAGTTGGCATTAGCTTTTTCACGGGAGTCACTTCATAGGGACAGACATTTACCTAACAATTTCCCGTGTCTAAGTGGCAGACAGCAGACCCTTAGAGCAAACATTCGCACAGTTCAGTTTTTACATCTTCAACTTTCCAGTTTTATCCGACTCTCAGAACCTTTTTTGCCCGTTTTTATTGTGCCTTCATTGTAATCAAATTAAACAACCTGTAGCAAAATGATCCTTAGACCGTTTTTACCATGGTTTTTACCAAGGCTTATATGTCTTTAGTATTGTTGAATAAACAAGCCTTTGGAACTCACACCTTCTCAAAAGTATTACTGACTTCATGATCTGGCCTGTTCCAGACGTGTTTTTACTAAGATAATCCCACTTGCATAACGGTCTTCTAGAGGAGTTCTAATAAAACAGCTTTTTGAATGTGCCATTTAATCAGCAGTACCGTTAACTTTCCTAGTGGGCTTTGCTATATTCACTTCGTGTTTTAAAACAGGCGTGTTGCCTTTGTTGTGGATTAGATTTAAGGGACAACTAATCGCTTTGATCAAATCACTCAAAGTATATTAGCTCGTATTTTGAAAACAGAAGTCAGCTGATTTGGCTGGTACTCTAAAATGAAGTTTGAGCAACATCAAACACGCATTTGTATTATTTTGAATTTAACACAATGTACAGACCAGTTCGACGTTGTTTTTATCGATCACCTAAGTATTTTATTTTCGCTTTTTAGATATTTGGGAAGTATGTGGTTGAATGTGATCACAAAACGATGAAGATGGTCAGCGGTGGAGGACTGAGCAAGCCCAATGTGGATCTAAATTTCAAAATTTATGAGAGATAACGTGGACAGATTAGAGCGCTGAAAACAAAAGTTTTGCTTAGCTTTTTACCATTTTAATTTACTAGCATTTTAACAAAATGTTTAGAAAATTTTATAGATTAAAGGATTGTTAGGTTTACCAAGGAAACCGCGTCATATGCCAAAGGCCCTATGAATCCTAGGGCTTTCTTATTTACAAAAGTACACAAGTACTTCATTCTAATAAAAAGATTCAAAGGTGTTGAAAAAATCTAATAAAGTGCGCTGTTAGCTATTTTTATTAATTTCATTTCTGATTCAATTTCGCTGTTCAGCTTTTGGCCTTTCAGGCTAAATTTTTTTCAAATTTTAATTTTTGCTTTGTAGGATTAGAGCTGTAAACTATTTTGTATCTTTTTTAAATTATAGATTTGTCAGTCGATTTAAAATGCTTGCATTTTCTTTCATTATACACCGTAAACTCATTTTTTACGTAAATTGTACGCTTTTTAAAAAGACAGGACATTAGAAACCTCCAGAACTCTATCATTTTGTAGTCTGCAAACGTGAATTTGTGCAGCCACAATGTTACTGTGCAGTTTTGAAAAGGAGTTCGTGGAGGGTCAGTTGAAAATGGCTTTTCCGTTTCCCTTCCAGGCTACACGCCGTTTCCCTTCCCGGCTACACGCCGCCGTTTCTCTTCCAGGCTACACGCCGCCGTTTCCCTTCCAGGCTACACGCCGCCGTTTCCCTTCCAGGCTACACGCCGCCGTTTCCCTTTCAGGCTACACGCCGCCGTTTCCCTTCCAGGCTACACGCCGCCGTTTCCCTTCCAGGCTACACGCCGCCGTTTCCCTTCCAGGCTACACGCCATTTCCCTTCCAGGCTGTTGTTGATAACAACTGTGTAAATATATATCTTTTGATAGAGAAGGAGTCCTCAAAAACGCCTCTTAGGCCTCCAATAGCTTAATTTATTTGATTTCGCTATATGTTTTGCCTTTGGCTTTATTAGTTTTCTTGATCTTCTTATGTCCTGTCTATACTCTATGCACCCATTCACCAATTTCATTCATATTTAAAAACGAAATGACAATTGCATTCACAAACAATTTTGCATTCACAAAGTATTCATTCCTACGCATAATCATTTGCTTATATCAAAATTTACTCAAATTGTAAGTAACTTCTGATAGTATAAACTTGCTCTTCGGAAAATGAGCTTTTTATTGTTTGTAATTTCTTGATAATATGCTGTCATTTAAATGTTGTATTTATTTGAGACTCCTTTATTCTCTGCAGCAAGCTATTTGCAAAGCTGTTTTTTGTTTTCCGCAGCAGCGTAAGGCGTGAAATCGACCATTGGTTTTGCAATTCGTTCGTAACACCTTTCGATCTGTTTTTAGATGGATCCTTTTGCGAATATTTACCTTAGACAAGTTTAGTATTTGAAAACTTTTCATATATTCACACGAAGATGTTAGCTTTTTCGTGAAAAAGGAAATAATCAGAAAGACAATATTGCTTTTACCATAAGCGCAGACTTAGGGGGGCTTCAGGGCTTGAGCCCCTCTTGGCGAAAATTGAGGGGGGGGTGCTCAGCCTCTCCTGGGAAATAGCTCACTTGGCTAGCAATTTGTTAGACTAATTTTGCATATTCTTGGTTTGACGCATCAAAATTGTCTGAAGAGATTTGATAAAGATCAAATACCAACGTCAATGAAAAATGTAAAAGAAAATCACCTTCCAAGGCAGGCTCCCTTAGCAACTGCAATTAATTTTTCAGCCTGTCTCAGATCCTGTGCGCGCCCCCTCAGAAAAGGAAGCATTTTAAAGGTGGGTTACTGCAATTTTGCGAGTACTGATGACAAGGTGTGTTAGCGTTTAATAGCGCAAATTCTACAAATCAAGGACTATCTTGGAAATAGAAAGTCTGGGCTACGATAGATTTATGAGTTTTTTCCATATGCAAGTCACTTTATTTTTTTATCAATATATGTAGTGTCTTGCAATCGTCGTTGAAGAAAGTTTTTGGCTTTGAGTTTTAATTCTTCTATCTTTATTATTGTTATTAGCTTTATGTAATTAGCTCATTTCTTGCTTGTTTTTATACTTTAATTAAGCATTTTGAGACGGGTTCCTAGAAATCATCAAGTGCCGTAGAAAGAGGGGGGTCAGAGAGGGGGCAGAAGAGGGGGCAGAAGAGGGTCAGAGGAGGCAAAAGACCCAACTGTAAAGCGTAATTGCTATTTTTCAAAATCAATTGGCTTATTTTTTCGGGAAATCTAAATTTATCGCCCTTCTTATGAATTTTCCTAACTACGCCACTGCTCGCACCACTCTTAGAATCGCTTTACAGCTAGGCAACCCATACCCTACAACCCGCTTTTCTGTTCCTTCCCTGCCCTCGGCGATTACTTCACATGATGTATCCAATATTATTTTATTAAACAAAGCCTCTCTTTACATACAGAACCATAAATGGTGTCTTTTTTAGAGGACCCAAAAAGGCCAAAAACAGGGGCCAAAAGGTGCAAATTTTCTTGCAAAGCCATTGAAGTGAATGTCTCATCTGACCTGGGCCTCGAAGTGGAATTTAATTGTTTAACGGGGGTGATATTCAATATTTAGAAGTTTAATTTGTTTGATAAGGTTGCAATCCAATGCCCCAATTTGAGTTTCATTGCAATTTGCTTTATTTCCAAGCATTTTGTTTATTTTCAAGTAATATTTATTTCTTTAAATAGAGTTTATTAATTAAATTGATTTTCTGATTCCAGACGACTACCCCCTGGATATCAAATCTCCGTCCTTCCCCTTTCCATACAGAGGAACTGAAATATGGTGCTCAAAGGCGGATCGCAGTGAATGACACACAAAATTAGCATCTAATTGGTATGAGAATCTCCTGGTAGCAAAATGGTATGTTTATTCGTCGATGTATTATTAATCTACATATCATTTGCTTCTTTGTTAAATCCTTAACTATGTTTGGTTTGAGAATTGGCATGTGATACTTAATAGGCCTAACACATTCTTCATATCGAGTGGAAAGAAAACGCGATGTGTGCCAACTAGCCAAACATTTTATGAATCTTTCACAAAAAAAAGGCAAATGAAAACTTCTTAACTCTTCAGCAGACCATAAGTTTAGTTAAAACAGACATTTTTGCGTGAAAATAGTGAAACTGCATTTACGAATCCCAAAACAACAGTCGATGTCATTGCCTCACTTGAAAGCGAAATGTGAATCCATTTGAATTTTATATCCAGTCTTTCCAAGATTCCTTATCGATTGTTTTTTTCCAATGAAAAAATACCCTTGCAGTAAGAGCGGCAAATTGTCTCGTGATATCAGTCATTTCACTTTGTTTTCATTAGCTCTCAAATGACTTTCAACAAGCTGCAGGTCCTTAACAGAAAATCTACAATCGATTCAATTGATACAACTTTCGTCAAAAGCAAACCTAGTCTTACCTACAGCAGTGTGATTAATCATTAATCAGATTAATCAAATGGGGAACTACAGTTCTACCCATGGTGGAATATTTTTTCTTCAATGTCAAGGTTTAAACAGCAAATGCCAGACTGGAATCTTTGCCACACACCTGCAATGTACTCCCTGTGCACTCAAATTTTCGATTCATACACGTTTGCATATTGGCAGCACAAAGTCTTTAGTTAAGAAAATCTACATTATCAACACTTCAAATTTCTAAATGTGTGTAATTTCAGGTGTGGTGTTGCAAGTTTTCAAAAGGAGCTTGTCCGTGTAAGAAACAAAGTTTCCAGTTTGAAGAAGATAGAAGGCTTGACACCAATTCTTTGAAAAATCATGAAATAGAGCAAATATTATGACAACTATGTAAACTTGTTAACTAAGATGAAGTGATCATGTTGTAAAAAGAAGAAATCTTTTCTCCAAGATACAGGGTTAACTTTCCCACACACATGGATTATCCCTTTTTTAATGTGATTAGTAGATGAATTTTTCCAATTTTAGAGTGAAAAGCCATATGATTATTACATGTACCATATGCTAATAAAGTCTTTAAAGAGAATAATAGACTAAATCTGGAGTTAGTATGCTGGATCACAAAACATAAAGAATGTAATAATTACTGTTTCCACCCTGGAGCTCTATTTTACACTATATACCCTGCACACTTTCGAGATGAAATCAGAGTATTGGCAGGACAGTGAAGTTTCAATAATAAAATGGATTGCTAAATTTGCAATGATAATCATATTCAAATGAAATTCCAAGGTGATTTTAAAGGCCTTTCCAGAGTTAAGTTATGATATATCCTTATAGTTAATTGGTGTTTGACAAATTATTGTTAAATTATTATTGAGGTTTCGAAGCAGCTCTCTGTGCTTAATCATTAGGATTAAAGTTCAAAAAGCACCATCTTTATGCTAATTGCAAAAATACACAACTTAAAGGACAAGTGACACGCTTTTGGCGCCAAATTTTTTTTTCTTTTAACTTAAAGTAAAATGCTGTATGAGAGTGTTGTTGAAATATTTTTCCTTTCTGATTTCATTTTCCTACTTAAAAGCCCTTTTCAAATTTGGCGGGAAATGAATCACGTGACACCGTGATGTAGATTGTGATAATTTGTTATTGCTGCTACTGGTATACAGTGCAATATTAACGTTTACAACACGCTTCTAAACCAACTCAGTTCATCTGGACCTGTCGCGTCGTGTTTCGCAAACTCTCTATTAATTACAGGAAAATTCCGAACTATCACAATGTATGTTATAGGGTTATGTGATAAAAAGCAAAATCGCCCCCCCTGCACCCCCTGATTGGAATTTTTTGTTCTAAACCAGGAAAAACTTACTTCTAAATGATGATCTATAAGTTAATGAAAAGAAAAGATAGGGTGAAAAGTGTGTTACTTGTCCTTTAAAGTTCTTGTTTACATTTTAATGTCTAAGGAAAACGAAAGAGCAAAACAAAAGAAACAATGATTAAAAACAGAGCTAAATGGTAAAGAAAACTATTGGGAGTTGAACGAAGGACAATTGTGCAGAATAAGTAAACTTTCCTAAATAAGTAATTCAAAGTTATTGCTATCTCTGTCTAACAATAATATATTTTTCAACAATGTGCAGGCCTGGCCGTTTGAGATGAGCGATAGCTTACGCTCGCCTCCACGCTCCCCTCACAACCTGAGGTGAGCTATGAATTGCTCTCCTAAACAGAACACGAAGGGAGAATAGCTCTCCTAAAATTTCCATTCATTTGACCTTTTCCTATTCAGAGAACCCTGAAAACTTACAAGGGTTGATTTGGTTATTTTTGTAACAGCGACTTCTCCCGTCGTTGCATTTTTTGCAATTAACTTTTTGCTTGTTGGGCGGTTTTTTGTTATGATAGGCATGAACTTCGATCTATTTGGAAAAGGGTGGTTAAGCGCAAGGTACGTTTGTAGTGATTAGAACCTTTCAATCTTAAGAAAACAGGTATATTTTTAGAAGGAAAGTCAAAGAAATTGGTAGGAATTTTAGATTGGGAGATATAATAAAACAGCAGGTCCTTTCCAGCAATAAAAAAAACTATCCCTCAAAGAGAACAGGGTACTCTGTCTTGCAGATAAAAAACGACATCCAAAACATGGAATTCCACTTTCCAGCGGCATTTACTGAAAAACCCAGATTGGGTGAAAACTATAACGCGACAGGTTTCGCATTATTGGCAAAGCCTGATCATTGTTCCATCTACTATATAAACATGACAGACAGCTTTCTACTATATAAACATGACAGACCGCTTTTGTGTAGACAGAAAGAGTTCGTTTTCACCTTAGGACTTCGTTGGTAATATTTTCAATAGGAAAGCGGCACCGATTGGACAACCTCAACAGTAATGTGCTCGTGTTTTCTGATTGGCCTATTTTGATCCAAAACTGGGATTTTAGCATGGAGTTTTCCATCTATGTTCTGACGTTTTATACTCTGAAGAGTGCTAGATGTATAACTTAAGTTTGTTTCAAAATTTGTTTTTCAAAGCCATTTTCAAATTCTGTACAACAAAAAGATTGTTTGGCAAAAGAATTGTTGTTTTTGTGTTGCCAGTACATGAAACTGAAAGAGTCTGTTCTTTTAAGTACTTCAAGTAAAGGGGGTGCCTAAGTCACTGTTAAAGAAAATACAAATTGAAAGAAGTAAAACAGCATACTCCTGACTGAGGCTATTAAAGGCAACCGACAGATACTAAAGGGGCTTAAGTCATCTGTTGATTGTCTTTAAAGTACATTCTATGTGTTACTGATTTAGCTCGCCTCAGCAAATGAGGGGAGCGATTCACAGCTCACCTATAAAAATACAAACAGCCAGGCCTGAATGTGGCATGACCTGGAAGACTTATTTGCTCTGCAACGTTAAATCAAATTACTCCATGGGGCTTTATGTTTTTCTGAAGTACGCAGCATAACAGCGAGGACACATAAATTGGTAAATAACAGAGGAGCATTTGTGTCTCAGCTTCCATTTACTGTCCTTGCCATTGTTTGTCTTATTTTGCAAACAGAGAACACAAAACCAGAGAGAGAGAGGTGTTCCTTGAAGAACTGTAACCTTAACAAGCTAAACTTACAAATTAACAAACATGAAAAATGAGAATCTAAATTTAATTAAAATTGTGCGGAGAAAACAAATCACATGACTTGTTAAGAAGATGAGTGAAATGAATAGATGTACAAAGAAAAAAAACAATAAGGATTAGAAAATAGGTGATGTCGCTAGTGACATAGAGGATGTATTTGCTGTGATGTGGGAATGTGAAAGAATGATTGAGAAGGAAAGAATACTGTAAACAGACCTAAACATAGTCACTACAAACATATTAAAGTTGGAAAGCAGCCTTTAAATGGAAAAAATAACTGGATTGGATGCTTAATTTTTTACAACTTTTAGTTTGAATCTGCAAACTATACCTGCCTAGATATGACATGCAAAATATGGCAAATAATAGCATTATTATGCCCTGATTGAATTTGGGGATTTTGGAAGTTTAGAATAATGTTGCAGTTATTATGGCACACCTGATGCCAGGAGTGCCCAAAAGATTCAAACTTGCAGTGTAATATTTTGTAGAGTTTCTTTGGCTTTGGGCAAACAGCTGATGTTCAGATTGAGCTGAAAGAAGCAGACAAGAGGAAACAAGTTGAAGTGAAAAATGAAGATGGTAAAAGGGACAAACTTTATTTGTATTATGATGGAGAATCTGTTTCAGGAAAGGTAAAAATTTTTAGTTTTACTGTTTTCAAGTGTTTTGGAATAGGGTTTTGTGAAGTCAAAGAAAGTATTTCTGTTGAAGGAAATTCTCTATTCTTTGTTGCATTTAGGTTTTATGAAGTTCTAATTTCTTTTTAAAATGATTTAGAACAGGATTTTTTCTGTGTACTGTAAGGAAAAAGTATACTTCAGCACCATGTTATTTGGTGCAATTTAAAAGGCGTTTCCTTTCGTGGTAAAAATACTTTGCTATTCAAATGAGTTTTTGCTAGAAATTTAAAATAATTTTCTTTCGATAATCCTTCAACGCTTGGTACATTCCAACAGAATTCTTTTCCAATTTAGTTGTTAATCCTGTTTAGCATGTATTTCTGCAATGATGAAAATTTTTGAAAGGTGAAAAAAGGATTCTTACAATGACTTTTTTAACTTAAGGTCTATATTGTGTTTTTAGGCGTGCAGTCCACCTTGTCCCTTGTTTTTGTATTGGGGTTTTTAATGTATTAACCATTATATCTGTTATTTTGTCAACTAGTAAGAGCTGTATTTAGAAGTATTTTTTTCTGTTGAAAAATTTATGATAAAAGCCACAGATGGTAATTGTTTGAAGCCTGCCATCTGCACATCATGAAACATCATTATATTTAGCATGCATAATCACCTTCTTTCAAATAGAAGAGCCAATGTGGGCGTGGATGAAATTCATGTCAGATATTTAAAATCGAAGTTGAAAAAGTCAGCTATTGATTAACTAAAACTGAAAACCAGGATGCTTAATTTCCTGTTTGTTTCTGTTTTGACACACTTCTTATTGGAAGGTGTTTCATTTTGCCTTATTATCACTATGAACTCAAGCTTTTTTAACTGAACATCGAACAATGGCATTTCCTCAACAGACTCGTGAAATATAATAGAGTATTAAACAGTTGCTCTTATGTTGCTTGGGTTCTTACATTAAAGGCCAACAAAGCAAACAAGTTTGTTATTGCCTGTCTCCAGAGGCCCAGTTTAAATGTTTTGGACTTCCACACCAATATGTAGAAGCTTTAAAGGAAACAAAACCTTCCTGGATTTCCCCCCTAATGTTAGAAGAAGGAGGAAGATGAAGGTCTTGTGAGTTAATTGGGTTAGTCTTGCAACTGAACTATGTTGCCAGGGGCATAGCTAGCAAGGAGTGTAGGGGGTGTAACACCCCCTTTCCCCAATTCTTCATGAATTCGTCAGTAAATTTTCAGTTTGTCTATAAAATCCTTAGTTTGTCAGTAAAATCCTCTATCAGTAGGTGAAAAAGCATCTAAATTCTTCTCCATCTATGTCTTTGTCTGTAAATTTTTCTATTGATGACCCTCCACCTCTCTAGCCTGGAAGGTCAAGCAATGCCACTGTGTTTTGCTAATTTTGATATGAATTTAGAGGATATCACTCTAGCAAAATCTTCCCTGTACTATTTTAGAGAGTGGTCTGGTTTTATATACATATCTTTTAGTATGGTTTTCCACATTGATTATCAATTTTAATGCTTATCACATCAATGATTTATAGATTGATATTTTTGAAAACTTTCAACAGGTTCATGTAATCCCAAAGATTCCTGGAAAAAAGCTTGATCACAATGGAATTAAAATAGAGTTTCTAGGACAAATAGGTAAGGATTCTTTCACAGGATTTTTTGCCCACTCTCGTAATCCTAGCACAAAACTATAGGAAGAGCATCTCCAATCCTTGTTTATGTAATAACCAAAAATCAAATTTTATTGCAACTATTTTTATGCTCTTTTTGAAGTTGTTATTCCAGTCAACAGAGAGTTTTTAAATCTGCTCTGCTTTGTTAATTAGGACCTATTGTATGTGTTTTGATTTTTTATATACAACACCTAAGATTTTTATATCCTCTAATATTACTGATATCAGATTATATATTACACTTATTGCCAAATATATCCTTAGTCCTTGCTCAGAGCTCTGTTTTGATTTTATTTTTGTTCTATTTTTATTCTTTCTCTTTCTTACAGAGTTGTTCTATGACAGAGGCAATCATCACGAGTTTACATCTCTGGTTAAAGAGTTAGCAAGGCCTGGTGATTTAACTACCAAACAAACCTATGAATTTGAGTTTGTCAATGTCGAGAAACCATTTGAAACATACACTGGAGCAAATGTTAGATTAAGGTAAGTAGCTCAAATAGTATAAACAACTAAATTATTTTGCCTTTTGAAGAAGTGCTGCTGTCGGGTAAGTTGAAAAATGATATACTTTGTTTTAGAACAATAGTGAAGACAATGCCAATTTTCTTACCATTTCTTCGATCATTTATGATCTATGTCCTGGTGAAATTCGCAGGTGATTTTTTATGTATTGTAAGGATAATGAGTTTCCAATTTGCCAGGATGCATATTTGCCTTTTCATTTATTTATGTATTGTAGTAGGCTATCCTAAATTTTTTATGCGACAAGGCAGTTTTCCTCCCAATGCTGCATCTTGTTTTCCATGTTTAAGATTTCTTTGTATTTTTAAGGTTTGTCATTATTCCAAAACATTTTTACCAAAACTGAGTCAAAAGGCAGAAACCAGTCTTGGGCAACCTTTTTGTGGGAAAAAAACTGTCCTGTTTTACGATAGTTTGATAAGCTCAGCTAGAAGTTAGTTTAATTCATGAAAAGGGTGACTTTTATACATCTTTTATTGTCATTTTTAGACTTAAAGCCAAACTGGTCTATTAAAAAAAACAGTGAAGAATAAAAATCTAATACAACTATTGTCAATAAAAAAAACTGAAATGAAAATAAAAATTAGCTATGTCTATTAATTTTGTCTGATGGTTTCAATATTTCCAGATTACATATCCAGTTAACTTAATCTGAAAGTTGCAAAATATGCTAAATTTGTGAATTTACAGATATTTCCTGAAAGTCACAATTATCAGAAGACTAGCAGACATTGTAAGAGAACTGGACATTGCAGTCCATACACTGTCATACTACCCTGAAGTCAATAACTGGTAAGGGCCTGTTGATTATGAATTTGTAACTTTGGCAGGCCTTGTAAACTGTAGATACTATTGTTTATGATTTTGTGGGGAAAAGGATCGGGTTTCTGCTCTTAGAAAACTGTTTTTGTTCCTTTAAAATTGAATGCATTTATGTAGCAGTATAAAGATATGACTGTGGATAAAAAGTGATATATTTTTATTGACATGCAAGGTTATATTTGTGCCATCAACATCAACATCAGCAACAATACCTTTAAAAACACCTTTTGCCTTAATAAAAGTCTGACAAAAGTTGAATAAAAAAGTACATGTAATTCCAACTTTGGTGGGTTCTACAAATGCAACCTTATTTTGGATTGAAATATCATGGGTAAGATTTTCCATACCTGCATGATGGAATAGAGGAACACAAACTTCACTATATCCATTAGTCCAAATTCTGGTACCATCTTAAGAAAGAGTTCAAAGAACTTCTACTTCTGTTGGCTTCTAGGGAGCAATAAAGGTGTTTTGAGCGACCTGACCTCTGATCATTTCAAGTGAATCCCATTCTATACCTTGCAATCTTTGTGATAATGTCGGCTGTTTCTCCATTGCTTGATTATATTAAGCACTCAGTACCTACTAATATCTACTCTTCCTTTCAATACTGTTTTTTAATCTTTTTGTACTTCTAGCATCAAGATGGAAGTTGGTATAGAAGACTGCCTTCATATAGAATTTGAATATAACAAATCTAAGTGAGTTGGATTTTACTGAAATGGTGTTACACTTGTATCAGATTTTTACAGAACTGCTTTGTTGGTTTCTTTGGTTAATAAGCATATAAGCAGCTAAAAAATGAAACATCATCTTCATAATGAGCCTTCAACAGTATATTTTATGCACTGTGTAGCTATGGAGCCTTTTTGCGATTGTTAAACACCCACTCGACCAATCGTTGTTTTTATTGAATTCTTTACAGTTGGCTAGCCTTTTTAATCGAATAGCGTATAAATAAGCTAACTCAGACCAACTATTCACAAAAATGGTGGTAAAGGGTGGTAAAGATTAGATTTTCTACAGATGAAATCAAAGTAGCAAAATTTCCGAAATTGTCCATCTTATAAGAACTCTAGAGACAACAGACCTCCCTAAGCCACGGTGCCTCTGTTTGATAACTTGATCTTTATAGGTATCATAGCTAAGTTAATAATACCTCATGTTTCAAGGTATCATCTGAAGGATGTGATTGTCGGTAAAATTTACTTTTTGCTGGTGAGAATCAAGATAAAACACATGGAACTTGCCATAATCAAGAAAGAGGTTGCAGGGAACTGTAAGCGTTTTTCAATCACTTCCTGTTGACTTTAAAGATAAATCTACTTGATGCTATGTATGTGCAAAGAGGCTCTTGGTATTTACAGGCCAGACTCCGTCTTTAATTGAAAAGACGCTTACACTGTCTTTTTATTCCCTCTACTTGTTTTCCTTTTTCGTAAAATATTGATGCTTCTGCTTCGCCTAAATAATGAAAAATTTCCCTTCCAATTATGTGTTTTTCTTTACCATTTGCATAGCTTTTCACGTCCGAATAAAAACACTGTCTTTCATGGGGGATGGTGGGCGGTAAAATCTTTGTGCAAAATTTTACACAATTCTTTGAGAGATAATCTTTGAAAGGAAATTGAAAATTATGTCTTTTTTCTCATCAAGCACCAAATCAGTATACTGAAAACGAGACTATTGCAAAATACGAAATTATGGATGGAGCACCAGTCCGAGGCGAGTCGATACCCATTCGACTTTTCCTTTCTGGCTATGAATTAACTCCAACAATGAAGGAAGTCAACAAAAAGTTTTCAGTACGTTACTATTTGAATCTGGTTCTTGTTGATGAAGAGGAAAGGCGCTACTTCAAGCAACAAGTAAGTAATTTCTCCTAGTTATTCAATTCTTAGAAATCCCAAATCATACAGAAATTTTTCACTACTTGAAATGATGCCCAGTTTCTGAAATCTGTTGTATTTGTAGATATTCCAGTTTTTGTCCAAAAGTGGAACATGTGTTAAGACAAGGAAGCCTCGTTACAAATATTTCTGGACAAAGAAAGGTTTCTTGTGACTTACATCTGATGCAATATCTTACAAGTATAGCCTGTTTATTTTATTTGCTGCAAGCAATTTTTCGGTGATAGAAAATTTGAAATGGCATTGAAAAAACCCGAGTCCGAAAAGAAGTTCACTTTCAAACTTTGACTCTGAGCAACTTTGTTCTCGTGTTTCTGGTTGGCCTATTTTGATCCAAAACTGGGTATTGATATTCCCTAGCTTGGAGCTTTCGATCTATGATCTGACGTTTTATACTCTTCTGAAGAGTGTCAGATGAAAAACGTAAGTATGTTTCAAAATGTTTGCTTTTATCAAAGCAATTTTAATTTGCTGCATCAAATGAAGTCGTTAATCGTAGCTCGAACACCAACAACAACATCAAGAATAGCGAGGGCATAAACAACAACAAAAACATCAAAATAACAAATTGACAAATTTTTTGCAACGAAAACTTTCAACTCTACTTCTTAGACTGTTGGTTCCAGATGATCAAGCCCTTTTTGTCCAGTTTTACGCTTTCTTCAAAGAAGATTATTTTAATGAAAATTTCAATATTTTAGGAAGTGACTCTTTGGAGAAAAGGTGATGTTCAAAAACGACGTCCCCAAGCCACGAATGGAGGTGCAAGTTGAGGAAAGACATGGACGCTACATTGAGGTGTTTGTCTGGCAAACTTAATAGAATCACTTTTCTACAACGACACAACTGTATTGCTTCGATAAATGATATTGTCTTAAATTTATTTTTTTGGTAATAATTGATTTGATTAAGATGTTATTGCATTTTCAGTTACTTAGTCAGCGAAAGCTCCTATCATGTAAAATAGTGAGGGTTATTAGATAGGTGTTAGGGGAACCTTCTTAGCTAGATGTTAGGGGAAACTCCTCTCTGGGTCGTAAGTCTTTGATCACCATCTTCGGTTGTTAATGATGTTTTCATTTTCCCTGGCTGTGAAACACCTTCATCGTCATTTCTCTAAGAGCAAGAGAAACGTTCCAGAGGCTCATGGTGTTCGAGGGGTTGACGCAATTTTAAAACAGAGCTTAAAACAACTCGGTATTTTCTTTCAAAGTGATGCCTTAATTTCCTTCAACGTTGCTTGATTATCCCTTTCCCTGCTTTTCCTGTATCCATTCCAATTATCATGATTTTGCTTTCCATTTCTCGCCTAATTTGCTTTTATCTGCAAGCAAATTTCTAAAAAGGTGTTTCAAAATGGTTGTACGTATCCATTTTCGTTATTTGTACCTTCTAGGTCACCGTATTTCCTTGCTATCTGCCTTATTTCCATGTGCTATTCTCGGATTAAATGAATGCTGTAATTATCATCTATCATCACCTTCCCAATTATTTGATCAGCCATATTGTTTCTGTAATGGAAAAATCAGCATTTGTTGTCTTCAAATTGTCTTTTGCAAAATTAAAACCTTTTTAAATTTCCATTAATGATGATAAAGTTTCCTTGAGATTCAGAGAATGATAAATGGATTGTCCTCTAAATTCTAAATTATCTAATTTATATTCAAAATAAATTCTTATTGTTCAAAAGCACAAGATCTAATTTGTAGTTTATCACTGTATACCCTTAAGTAGAAAAAAGTTTATAGCGAAATCCTGTACCCATATTTTATGGTCTTTTCAGTGCATTTGGTCCTCTTTATAACAAAATGAATTTCTGAATGGCGAATGAAGTGTAAAAGTTGAAAAGAACATTATTGAATATGTTGCCTACATCAGCAAGTATTTCTTGGATAGGTGGCAATCTTTATACATTTGAAAAAAGAGAATGGTATTCCTAAATGGCAGTTGTGGTGTGGTTTTTGGCGTTTGGAATTACACTCTTTTTTTAAAGAACAATTTTATAAGAACACGATCCTCAAAACTGGTCAAAAGTTAAGAACAAATTAAGAACAACCTGAGGCCGAGCTACTGTAAAATTCAATTACAAACGTTCTATCTCAAACACGGGGATTTTAGCCATGTGTGAGTGCTTTTTCGGTGAATGTTCAAACTTGACGGCAAATGAAGGTTGTCACACTCACTTTGTTGGCGGATGACGCCCAAACACCTTCCTAGAGCGAAAAGCTAGCAATCGCACTGTTTTTTTTAACTTAAGAACAAATTAAGAACAATCCAGTCTCAGATTTTCAAAAAAAAAGAGAACAGTCAGCCAAAACTTAAATTTACTGGTTCATATAAAAAAGAGAGTGTAGTTGACACGGCCTTAAGATTGATTAACAAATATCAATGGTCTTGTTAGGTGAGCTTTGAAAAGTAATGACAGAAACAGGCGTTTATTGCAGCCAGTGTCAATTTTAGCGATTTCTTGCAATTCCAAAGTATGCCGTTGGAATTTTAAATCTGTAGTCAATTATGTAAAAAAATGAAGAATAAAGCGAACCTGCATTGGAAATTTGGCTTATTGTCATATTTCATTTGACTCCCAAGCAAATCAAATATTGATATATCTGCTGTTAAAATATATCTCGGTTCTAAATAGGGGGATATGCTGGACTAGATGCTACCCGACAAACCTAAATTTTACAGGAGCGAAAAGGGATTGTTCCCATATATATTTTCTTCCATCCGAGACGTGATATTTTCCGTGGTCTTGGAAAAGTTTCTTTAGAATAGTCACTCACAGTAACTCTTTGGTATATTTTCTCATAAAGCCCTAAGTTCTCAGTCAATCTTCTGCTGTAATGTCTCGGTTGAGATTAACAGGTACACATATAATTCACGGGCTCTGACACAGCTTGGAAAGTAAGGGGGCAAGGGAAAATGTAACACCCATAACAAAAGATTTTGAAAAAAACACTGAGAGGCCCTTCTTGTTGCATAATATAGTATCTAAGCAAGCCCTTCCCTACTCCAAAATTTCATGAATTTCCAGAAAGTGGAAGTTTTACGAGACGTTATGTTTGTTTTATAGTGTACTGCTTTTTCGTAATGTCTTGAATAAGAATATCTTCATTATCATTTAATATTAAAAGAACAGTTTTACATTTGATGTGTGAAACCGAATGGGGTGAAAAGTGTTTAAAGACATACAAAGTATTGCCCCCTGCGATCTTTATCCCATTGACCTGTTCTAACTGCATTAGAATGCATATTTTGAACAAAGCTTCGGTATAGCGAAACGTAAATGAAACTCCATACCGTTTGATTTTATCGTTATTAAATATATACAAAACGTGACTATATACAACTATAACATGAACTTAACTTGTTAGGCTGTCGTAAAACTTGTAGTGTATCCTGTCATAACATCACTACTTCAATAAAAAGCAACCTTAAAATACAGGGGTGAATACAACACGTAAGAAGATTGGGACGAGCATATATGAAGACAGCATAATGACAGGGCTAAAGGAATCCCCCAAAAATGGCATGGGCTGTGAAAATATACTGATTTCACAATAATGCAAGACACGAGTCAAAATGTCTGTTTGTCCTTCCTCGTGACAACACACTAAGCTTTCATAACCTTTTTTAAACAATAAGCAAGCTGTTGTTTGGACGAAGTTCTTAGTTTTATTTGTGTTCAATGGCCATGTTTTCGGTGGTCTACGGGACCCCTCCGTATCATTTCGATTCACAAATCTGTCTTTTAGGACAGCATACACCTTCAACCTTCCTTTTCGAATGCATGCTTTTCCCTTTCAAGGCAATATTGCTAGTGAACCTAAACTCTCATTAACGTTGTGCACATGATATAGACACAAGCAAATATGCATTAACTCTCAATTACCTGGTTATTGGTTTCCAAAGAATAACATAATATATTGTTCATGAATTTAGCGGACAAATTGCAATGTGCTCTTTGAATCAGAATATTTCCTCGTACGAAAATTTTGAATCTTGTTAAATTCCATGGACAATCTGCTTATTTCGTTTTTGATTCACGAAAAATTTGATCAAGACATTACGACAAAAAGTTGTTGCTATTAGCATCTCTGGGTTGCTTCGTGGAATTTTCAAAGAATCGTCATCAGATTCATATCACGTGATAGTGCCTATCCACCAATCAAAGTGCTCTATTTTCAATACGAGAACGAGATTCGTGTACAGAGTGGCCTTTACTCTCGTAGTTTGGCTGCGGTGAAGTCATATTTGACAACAAGTTGAGAACTTCGCCTTATTGAACCATGACTTTATCCAATTTGCAAAATAAACTTTCTCAGCACGGGCAGCAACATTTACTGAAGTTTTGGGATAAATTATCAGATGACGAGAAGGTTACATTCGAGAAGGAATTGCAGAGTATTGACTATGGATACGTTAGCAATATTCATAAGAATGCTGTACATCAGCTAAAGCAAGATCAAGAGAAAAAGGATGAACTCATGCAAGCTCTTCCTGATAATGTCTTTGCTCGTCTTTCAGAAACAAAGGAGGAAAAGCTTCAAGCCTGGTATAACGAGGGACTGAAGCAAGTTTCAGATGGGAGGGTTGCCGTTTTGTTGCTTGCCGGTGGACAAGGCACACGATTAGGCGTTAGCTATCCGAAAGGAATGTACGATGTTGGATTGCCATCGCAAAAAACTTTATATCAACTGCAAGCAGAAAGGATTCTCAAATTGCAAGAGCTGGCTGCAAAGCGCCATGGCCGACATGGCTTTATTACTTGGTATGATCAGATTTTTTCAATTGATGATTTGTAAACTACCCTTGAAGAACGGGCCTTCATCATTCATTCTCTGTGTACGTGTATTTTTCAGCTTTGAAATTTAATACATTAGATGTTTGAGACTTAGTATGTGGATGTAGAGGTGTTGACACGCCCAAACATCTTTCCTCGGTTTGTTTACAAATGCCACGGTGTCATTAACTTTCCTGCAACATAATGGTTTCCCCGGGTAACATAAAGAATTGTAACACGTCTTATAAGATAACTTGAATACTGACACCTTTTGTGAGTGACTCCTTCTTTTGATAAAGAGCATTTGTTAACTAACAAATTCACACACACAACCCGTGATATGCCAGTCAAGATACTTCCGAGAAATCATCTGTATAGCGGAAATAGCAAAACTAGTTTCAACTTGTCCGCCGTTTAAACAAAGCTTCTAGATTGTAATCCAGTTTGCAGTTGAGCCATTGTGCATGTCTGTTTGTATGTTTTGCAAGTCTGGACAGATTTTGAATGAAAGTTCTCATATGCCAATCTGTTAATTAAAGATAGCAAAAAAATTATCAAAGAAAATTCTTTCATAGTCAAATTTTTGTTTTCTCTGCAGTTAAGAAAAAAGTGCAAAAGGATGGACCTAGTTTCCTAACAGACTTTGATTTAAGTGCTTTTGGAAAAAAAGAAATTGAAAATTTGATTACGAGACAATAACCCCAAGAATTAGTAATATGCAAATTAGCAACTATTTAATTTTTTTTTTCTTTGTCAATTTGTGCATTGACTTTAAGGTAGCCTAGTGAAGTCAACAGAGTTTCAAACAGTACCTCTGCCATTTATCCGTAAGTGGTTTCTAGGAAATGGTCTTTAATAGATAGTTGGTTTATCAGAACTAAACTTCAGGGCCCAACAGCACAACAGGCTGGTCAACAAAACTACACTTATTTGTGAAAAATTTTTAATGTTATGTTTTCAAAGCAGTTACCTGCAACATTCCATAAAAGGAGTCAAAACCAAGAATCTAAAAAGGAGAGAATTTAAACATGTGATGCTGAAAATTACCCACTTATTCTCCTGTAGTGTTTATGAAGATATTATGTTTACTGAAAGAAGCTTTTATGGTGACATTTTTACCTGATATAACTTATTTGTTTATTTTAGGTACATAATGACAAGTGAGGCTACAAAAGGATGCACTCAAGAATACTTTAGTAAGCACAGTTATTTTGGGCTTTCTAAAGAGAATGTTATTTTCTTTGAACAACACACACTCCCTTGTATGACCTTAGAGGGCAAGATTATTTTAGATAACTATGGAAAGATAGCCAAGGCTCCAGATGGCAATGGTGGGCTTTATAAAGCACTTAAGAGTGAACAGATAATAAGAGATATGGAGAAAAGACATGTCCATTCTATTCATGTTTACTGTGTAGACAACATATTAGTGAAAATGGCAGATCCAGTCTTCATTGGGTTTTGTTCAAGCAAAGGTGCAAAGTGTGGAGCAAAGGTGAGTTAGAAAATTAAAAATTTTGGTCATATAATATCATATTTTTATTCTTATGTTTAATTTATATTTACAGAATATTTTTACTGAGATGGTTTTACAATGGTTTGATCTTTGTGGTTGAAATCATAAATACTTTATTTGGGTTTTAATTTTGCAGTTTGTTTATGAAACCTTTTATCCCATTTCTTAATGCCTACAAGACTAACATGACAATAGAAGTTACTTTTTTAGTATTGGTACTTTTCTTTCTGCATTATTAATTGCATGGTTTTCTCTGTACCAGAAAAGAGGGTTTATTGATATTTGGTTAATAAGTAGACCACTCTGTATCTTTTGAAGGTTGTGGAAAAGACAGACCCCAATGAGGCTGTAGGTGTGGTTTGCAAATGTGATGGCAAATACCAGGTGATTAAGCCTTACCATTTCTGCAATTTATTCTTACCATTTAAAGCTTTTAAATATTACAAACTGGTCTCAAAGAATCCAATTTATACATTTAGTATTTTAACTAGTGATATTTATCTGCTATAGGAGTTGTAAAAAACTGCATTTTTGACACCCCAAGGTCTATTCCTTTTCATAGAAATAGTCTTTAAAAAAGCAAACATTTGAGTATTTGAGCTTTTCGTCTGACATTCTTCAGAGTGTAAAGCATCAGAACACAGATAGCTACATAGAACAATAAAATCTATGCTAGGAACTATATATATACCCAGTTGTGGATCAAAATAGCCCAACCTTTTTCATAGGTTAAACCCCCTGTTGATTGCTGATTCAAGTAGTTTACACATGAATTTTAAATGATTTTATGTATGTATATATGATAATTATATATGATATCATGATAATTTTTGTGTCATTTGATGCGGAAGAAATGTTTTCAAATATTATTTGTGTTTTATTATTTCATATAAAATTTCATTTTATTTGCCCTTTGTGCTAAATGCAGCCATATACTTTAGGTTGTGGAGTACAGTGAAATTTCGACATCTACAGCTGAAAAGCGAACTAAAGACGGCCATCTGGTTTTTAATGCTGGGAACATCTGCAACCATTACTTTACACTTGACTTTTTGAAAATTGTTGTAAAGTATGTACTTTTGGATATAATTTTCTATTGTCTACTCTGGTGTCCGAATTAATGGTATCCTCCCTTTTTGCGCAAAGTATTTTAGAAAATCTACCCATGACGCATCAAGAACAGAAAGAAATAGTGAAAACATTATCAAAAACGGATTATTTCTATCACAATGTTATGTTAGATAAAGTGACTGTTTGCAATCTAAATAGACTGCTGGCCATGATCACCCACCTTTTCATTTTTTGGGAATTTTTTATCCACCCTGTTTATTCCAGACCCTTGATTTATTGGGATGTGTGAAGTTTTCTACCCACTATTTTATTCCAGCCCCCTCATCTCTTCCGGTCTCAATTTTTAAATGAGATTTCTCATCAGTTGTGAAATTTATTTAGGTTCTTTGCCATGCCTTTTACCCATTATAATTTATATAAGAGCTCTCTTCACCTTTTACCACCTTTCCCTTGAGCCATTCTACCCAATTTTTTTTTTTTTTTATATATAAGTAATATTTTTTAAGTAAAAAAGCTAGCATTTTGCTTTCCTCACTTATTCAAAGCTGTATAATAATCTTTTCAGGGGTTCTCTGCTTCATGAAAATTTTCTTTTCTTTTCTACAGTGATTATAGTGAAAGTTTGCCACATCATGTAGCCAAGAAGAAGATAGCATATGTGAATGACAATGGAGAAAGGTGAATTTACACGTGTTAAAAGTTACAGAGATTTTTTTATCATCAATCAAAATCTAAGGAGAAAAACAACTTACTTAATTTGCACCATGCAGTTGGGAAGGACATATAGTCATCTGGTCCCAACTGCAGATGGTGCTTACAATTCAACAGAATTACAACGGTCAATAATCAATAGTCATAGAGATTGCATCTCAGCTATTCAGTATACCACATCAGCTAAACAAATGCCTAAAAGTCCTTCAATGGTTTCCAAGGCTGTATAACTCCATCCATTTTGATGCAATTTTGTGCTGGTTTTGCTACTATTGGGACTAGGAGATAGCTCACCTGTGACTAGACCTGCTGCTCTTTCCCCCCGAAACAGTTACAGCTGAAAAGCAAAGGGAAAGTTTTCTTTAATAAGGAAATGTAGCTCTGAACTTGCACTTAGCATTTTGTTTGATAGTCCTTGGATAAATCATTTTTTATAAAACAAGTCCTCTTTATTCTAGAATCAAGCCAGACACGCCAAGTGGAATAAAAATGGAGAAATTTGTATTTGATGTTTTCCAGTATACTGAGTAAGTATTTTCTAGAAGATTTCAATCTTTTTTTTCATTTTGACATCCAAAGCGTTGTTCTGGTTCAATATATATATCCAGAATCCATTTTTGGTTCCCTGTGCCTCTTTTCCAACAAAATACTACCAGTTAGATTATATTTTTCATTTTAAAGTTTTATTTGTCTGTTAGTGTTGTCTGTGAATTTTCAAGATATTTGTCGGTGATTTTTGAATTCCCAGAGAACATGGCCAACACTCAGTCCAAGACCTCAAGAAAGGCCATTTACTGCAAAAGAAATTGAAGACTCTTGCTAAACGACTTTTTTCATTGAAGAAAATTATACAAATTCAGTATTTAAGAGAACCACTGATGTTGCTCTTAATTTGCAGGGAATTTGCTGTCTTAGAAGTTGAAAGGGAAGACGAGTTCTCTCCGCTAAAGAACGCGCCAGGAGCAGGATCTTCTTGCCCTGAAACAGCTCGACAAGATTTAATCAACAGCCACTTCCGTTGGATAGCCAATGCTGGTGGGGAATTTTTCAGTCCTGATGGCTCTGTTTACAAGGCTGAGCAGAGGTAGCTACAGTCTTTTTGTTGTTTTACGACTCATACATAACTTCAACTTGCCCGTTTTATTGAGAATTTTTCATTTTGATTTGCCGGCCCAAACATCAGTGGGTGCTTTTAGCTCCATTCAAAAGCATAGCTGACGAAGGAGTGATGTGCTGACCCTGTGTCCCAACTTTATTACAACGGGACGGCGAAACTTTTATTTTTTTGTTTAAGTTGTCTTAACTTAGGTGGAGGATCTTGTGCTGACCCCTATGCAAATTTTTATAGGCCGATGTAGCCATTAGCTGCTTGCTTGTTAGCTTTGTCTGAACTCAGGTCAAATAGGGACAGACCTAATTTCATATATCATTTTGTATGCAGGTTTTCCTTTAATAGCACACCCATCGCTTGTTTTAACGTCTTATCGGATGTACGTTCATTTTGACTTAAGGTTATCATTTGCTTTTCTCAAAGGGATTCGCCAGTTGTTTGTGAAGTTTCGCCTTTATTGTCATACGATGGAGAGGTAAGACCCTGCAATCTTTACTTGATACTTGTATAGTCTCTTAGAAAAGTCAGTTAGGTACATATCCTTTTCTTATATTAATGTGGGAAAACACAGGCTGATCTCCGTTTGAATACGAATTCCCGTGATTCAGCGTCTCTTCAATTCCTTACCTTCTATTTAGGTAGCAAGTTGCGTTCACGTCGTATCGTTTATATAATTTAGCATAAATTATCATATTGACTTCAAGGTAATCAGTTGAGAAGTAGTGGAGCAAGAGGCCTTAGATCAAAGATAATTAGGCACATTTAAAAATGGACGTCAGAATATTTAACAAATGTCGCACATTCCCTTTTGTAAGTCACGTGCTTAAGCTAATGCCCTATTTTCATTCCCAGTTGCCACCTACCTGTCTTTCTTATAACCAGCCATTTTTAACGCGAGAATCTGTTTATTCAAATATTACAGGGACTAGAAGAGCTGGTGAATGACAAGAAATTTCCAGTGAATGAAGTTTTATATCTGCATACATCTGATGTAAATGCCAATGGAACAGCTTTCGAGCCACAGTCAAAGAAGCAGAAAGAGGATTAAATGACGATTTTTTCAGAAATGAAATGAAGCCTTCGAACGTAATGTTAATTAATATTCTAGGATAATCGAATAATGGTAAATGCTTTCTACGTATGTAAGTCAAATTCAGAATTAATCAAAGCCGTAGACAACATCGCTATTGGGGGAAGTGGCCGTGGCAATTCTATAGGGAAAAAATCAGTTGAAAAGCGATCCAAATCAATTGAATTTAGAGCTCTAGTCAGTAGCAGATTCAAGGGGGTAGAAGGGTGGTTGCCCTTGCTTTGATGATCAATGTTGTTGCCCTCTTGTTACAACTTACCCCGTTCGACCTTTGAGGTACTTATAGGCGTTCATATTACCGACCCAACCCTCTCACCCTCATCGTAATAATCACTTAAAATGGCAACCTTGTAATATCAAGTCCATCAGGGTTGAATGATTGTCCCTTTATATTTTCTAGATACTCGCAATTTTACCAAGGTCTCCATGATACTATCATCACATATTACTTTTAACATAGGGCAGTTATAGGTCACCTCTTAGATGGAAGCCGGAAGGTCATTTTTATATCTATTGTAAGCCTTAGCTTAAAACTATTTGTCTACTATTCTATTTGAATAATCTTTTAAAGAAGCTGATCCTTGGCTTTTATGCAAATTTCATATATAATGGAGAATTATTTTAAACCCACTTAGAAGGGTTAGGAATTGCACGTTTGTTATATTTCATCGTGGTATTTTGTTTGTTGTCACAATTCCTATCTGACTGATCAAAGGAGAATATGATCAAATGTGATTGAACGGGATTTAAATACAGATGTCAGATGGCCTACTAAAAGTTATAATTGGGCGTATAAACAAAGGATAAAGTCAGGAATATGATGTCCAAGTTGAGTTGGTGGACATAATTTTCACTGTGTTCAAAGGCGAATTCATGAATTTCCTGCCTTTTTAAACTGGCTAAGATCCACAATATGAAAATAATTTATGGTAAGCTTCTTGCTGGTCTTGGTATTGATCACTTGCTCGTTAGCTTGGCATGTTTACATACGACTTGCAAGATCGATTGACTCGTTTTAAAGGTGTAAGATTAACCCATATTCTAATTTTTAACCAACATCTTACTATTTACAAATCTCTGGGACAGATTAGGACAATCAGACTGGTCGAAAGATAAGATTTGCATTTTATATTTTACTTTCTGAGTTTACTGGCCAACTGGTCTATACAATATGTTGTATAAATGAAAAATTCGTTTCTCTATGTGCATATGAGAGACAGATCCTATCGAATAAACGCTACATCGCCAGTGGCGGATTTTAAGGGGGGCAGCTAGGGGCAGTTGCCCCTCCCTCAACGAGTTGAAGCAAGTCTGGCACCCCTTTTTGGAAATTTTGCGTCCCTTTTGAAGGATGAGAATCAGGTGAAAAAGTTTCTTAGACCTATAGGTTAATTTACTTCAAGGATTATCTCAAACGCATGTTTTTTGTTCCAAAAATGGAACTGCAATTGTTGTATAGCATACTCTGGCCACCAATTTTTGAAAATTTTCAAGCGCCCCCACAACCGACTGCCCCTCCTTCAAATTTGCTCTGGATCCGCCCCTGTACATCGCTATTCGCTATATCCAAAAATTCGTTCATCTTAACTCAGGCAAGGCATTTATGGGAAAAATAGATAAAAGAGCTAAGTTATCAAGAGAAAGAATATAACTGCATGAAGTGCAGGAAAACCCCGATCCCCCCACCCCTGATGAGTTGAAGTTGCTTTACGAAGGAGTCTTGCATGGTGCCTGGGGAGGCGAACTTGGGATAGAGGCTGCAAGAGGGATCAAAGTAAGGCTAGAGGGCCAGGGAAGAAAAAGGTTATCTCAACAGAAAACTGTTTGACAAAGTAGCAAGGTCTTTCGGGAGTAAGTTGAATTGCCCAGACTGATGCTGTTAGAATTTTGATAATCATTCAAGCAACTACTGCTGTGATATCTGGTTTACTAACTGGCTTCTTTCTGACAATAACGACACAACAAACAGAGGACAGAGGAAGGGGTCTGGAGATAAATGTTAGTTAGGTATAGTATACAAAGTGAAAATCCTCTTTGTACAAGCCTATTATATCAAAACCATTCTAAATTTCAGATTCAATTTTTTGCCTTGAATCACTTAAGCACCTGTTTGAACTCTTGGAAAGAAATTCACATATTTATTTTGCTTCAAAGTCTAAATGCACTGAAAGTAAGCAAAGCTTAAACATGGTAAGACTCAACCTTAAAGCCCGCCCCAGTTTACAGCATAAAACTTTTACGAGATACTGCTTCTTGTAATTTATTACAATTGAATGCTCATATTTTTCATGTTTTTAGTTTTAATGCTTTCTTTCAGTCAGTGCCTAGCAATGATTACAAATTGCTTTGGCTAGCATCTCTGTGAAGAATCATTTGATAATCATACCTCCCCCTGCTATAATACCTTCAACTGGATTCATACAATTTCTTTATGGTTACCAGAAAAGCTCTATTAAGTCCTGACGGGGGGCTCATTTATGTTTTTCAGTCTTAGAGGGGGGCTTAAAAGAGAGAGGGGCTTATTAGAGAGAAGTAAAAAGTGTTCTCGGAAATTTGCCCTTGTCAATTTTTCTGGTATAAAAATGTAATACAAATGTTCTCAGAAAACTTTGCTAGCAGCTTCGAAATATCAATTACAAGGTCCTTATCTTCATCAGAATCACCAGGATGAAGTTATTAACCCTGAGACATCTTCTAAGCAAATTTCAACTGGCGCACAAGTAAGTCTTTAGATGGGCCGTATTTAATGCCCACGATCTTATTATCATCACACCTGTTAAGAGACCTACTAAATGTGCATGTTTTCCTTGTTTGACAACAAAGGCTAAAGAGGGAGGGGTGGGCTTAATAGAGAATGGGGACTTATTTTAAGTTTTTTTATAAAGAGGGGCTTAATAGAGAGGGGGCTTAATAGAGAGAAGGGCTTAATAGAGCTTTTAGGGTATTTGTTTATTTTATGCTTCTTCTGACTTAAAATTAATAAAGAAATATGGCACAGCAGTTTGGTCATTTTCAAGAGCCAAAATGTTATCTTATTCACAAATCAATCTGCTGCAGAGTATGGTACTTTTTGACAAGATCTCACGTGTGCACAGTCTTTTCCGCCACTTTTCTCTTTGCAAATCTTTTTTTAACTTTACATATAGAATGCATAGAGGAATTTTTCTCAATATTGTTGTAGAAAATTAACCATCATTTTAAAATTTGATGCGCAGCACTACAATGACCTTGTGCCTGCATCACCCACACTCTGCAGACCCTGTGCATGCATGCATCATTATAATCTAATGGGTAAAATGGAACTTAGGAACAATTTTAAAAATGCTATGTATGATTTGATGCAGGAAAAATTAGGCCACAACAATATTTAGGACAAAAATCTTTCCAAGATTCTTGGTACACAGGCAAATCAGATTCAGGCTTGCTCTTGAGTGTTCTTTGCTTTATAAGGAAGTGCACCACCTCAGTATTTATATAATCAAAGCATCAGGATAGCTCTTACACTTTCCATAGTCATTCAAATGGCTCTGATGAGGTTCAGATATAAAATCATTTTTTCAATGATCTCACAATGCTGTATTATTGCAAAGTTTTATATAACCAGAAAGCTTTTTGACCACACTCCTTGTCTTATGCTCTATTAAAACCAACAACCCCCCCCCCCCCACATCAGCTCAATTCATTACTCTGGCTCTCTTACAATATTAAGCAGTTTTCTTCATTTTCCTATTGTTTTGTTTTTTTTCTTGATGCTTGGCACCTTAACCCATCTTCAAGTGTCCTGCCCCCGCTAGTACCTAGTAAATTACCAAACCACATCTTTCAGTTGCATGATTGAAGCTCCATTTTGATTTGTCCACAGTTTTATGTAGTTGAGAATTTCATGTGATAAGAACAAAGGATAACAAGGACAATGGGGGACCTTATGTATCAGTATGAGAATGTGGAGGTTGGTGATCAAGGAGCTTACTCCTCAGGCCAGGATTTCCAAGAACCAGTTAGTAAACCATGATTTTTTTATTTATTCAAAACTATTTTTGAAATGTAATTTAAACAGCTTAGAAATTTTGCTAGATACAGGAATTATTGACTTGTCAATTACTATCAAAATGCATCCAGGGTGGAATCCATGTAAATCTCATGCCAGATATACACCAATAAATAAAAAGACAATGGAAAAATGTTAGTCTATGCCAGATATCTCCAGTATAAGCTATATGGATTCCACACTGGAAATGCATGCAAAATATTCAAAATATTTCATCAAATACATAGCTACTTATTCTTAGTAAGATCCATTTATTTATACCTGAAAACATCATAAGAAGAGAAATAATGTTTTCATTGGATAATTCGATAAACTGCCAAAAATGTTTGCTTTATAAAGATGAGAAAGAAGCTCTTTAATTTTCACTTTTGCCCTCAAAATTATGTCTTGTTTCTCTAATCACTAGATAACTTCTGGATTTGTGAGTGTGAAGACAGAAATTGATATTCCAATCTTCAAACGAGAAATAAAAAACTATCGGTAAATTCTGGTTTCTTCATCCTTTGTTTTGGTTTATCTTTGTCCCTTTTTTACTTTCTTTTTTCCTCCAAACACCTAATTTGTTATTGTACTTATGTGTTTTTTCGGCAAAATGTATGACTGGCAGACACAGATGCAAAACTCTATTGAAAACTTTTGTAATAAAGAAATTTATATCCCTTTTGTTGTACTGCAAATTGTTTTCTAAGTTTTTTTTTGTTATTAACTGCTCTACATTTTCTGTTTTGTGAAATGAAACATTTTTTTCAAAATTTCTTCTTTTCAATACAGATATGCTAATTTGAACATATGATTTTTCTGTTTTTTTACAGTCCACCTGCTAATATTGTTGATTTCAAAGTCAGCAATAACATCGCTGCTATTGCCCATGAAAATAATGTGGTTACTCGACTGGACTTGAGCAACCCATCAGAAGTAGACAGTAAGTAACCATATTTAAGAGTTTCAGTTCTAATGCTGATTGGAGAAGAAAAATTTTTACGTCATTGAATAGGAGAATTCACAATGAATTGGAGAATCAGACAACATAATTGATATTTTGACTTTTTAACCTTTTTTTGCAAGCATTCATTTCTTGTGGATACAAGAATTTTGATAATTCACGCTTTTTGAATGACTATAAAATAAGCAATATTGTCAGAGTTTAAGGGGAAATATTTAAAGACCATCTGCTTAAAATTTGAGAAAAGTGAACAAGGTTTAAGTTTAACATTTGCATAAAGGTCTTCATGTATGGTTTTTAATTTGTTGGTCTTCTGCTGGAATTGTGGCAAGTCTCTGTTATTGTAGCATTATTTAATAGTTTCTCTGTTATTTTTAAAATGAGCCAAATTTGTTTCAAAGTATGATTTTTTTCTTTTAAGCATGCATTGTTATTCACAATTTTTTATTTTTCATTTTTAATTATACTTTTTTGTAGATGTTGAGATTTCTAAAAGGGCAGATGACAAAATACATAAAATATTCCTCGACCCAACTGGCAGACATCTAATTGTTTGTATGCAGTCCCTTGAGTCATATCATCTTGGAAGAAATAACAAAAAGGCAAAGGCTCTGCAAAAGTTCAAAGTGAGTTTTTTGTTACTGTTTATTTTATTTCAAACAGTGAGGAATTTACTATGATTTTGCAATTATTGATTTTTAGTGTTACATTGTATCACAGTTTGCCAGAGAAAAGAAAACAACTTTATTGCTTTACAAGCAAAGCTCCAGCTTTCTAAATTATTTCTACCATTGGCAGAATTGTTTACAAGTATCGTCAACTTTGCTATCTTATTTGAATTGAGCATTCTGCTAAAAGTAAGTACCTGCTAAAAAACTTTCAATAACTCTCAGTTATAGATTTCACAACACTTTCAAGCAAGCAAGTGATTTTCTCTTGCTGTTGTCAACTAAAATGAGTTGTAAAAACGAGAATTTCATGATTTAGTTCCTTGTTATTTGGTTTTCATTTTATTTGTAGAGTCACCAAATAGAAGCAGTTGGTTGGAATAAAATAAATATGAGTGAAACAGCCACTGGGGAAATTCTTATTGGTACCAGCAAAGGTTAGGATTATTGCATATGTTTCCACATAACATGAACATCAGAAACTAAACTGGCAAATAAACATCAAGCTCAGATGTTTTTAATGGATTCATGACACATATCGATTGGTTAATTTAACATAGTAATTTGTAATTATCAGATTTTGTGATAAAGTCCTCAGATAAATCCCTATCCATTTTCAAACTCTTCTGCAGTCATTATATATCTTGTTACATGTGCATGTTCATAGTTTAGGTTTTAACTTATATTCTTGAAATACTATTCTTTGCAGAGATTTATTTTTTACATGTCCCTGGTTCAAATCAGCAACCTCTAGATAAGGAACTTGCAATAAGCAGGCCTTGTGAGGAGCAAAAAGCTGGCACTTGACAAAATGAGCACCTTCAACTTTATAGGGGTTGAGCATCAACAAATGTCATCAATAACAAAATTTGGTTTTTGGTTTTTAGTTTTGAGACATCATTAACATGCTAGGTGCTCGACCACTCAAGCTCCAATTGCTGGAGGCACTTGATTGAACTCGAGCGCCTCTCATTGGAAGGCCTGGCACTAAGTAGATACCTGTAAATTAAACTCCTGAAAATATCAATTTTCATAGCTTACCATTTGTTGTTTACTTTAACTAGTTAACAACAAAAGTACCATACATTAATTTGGACCAGTTTAATATCTTTACAGGGACAATATATGAGACTTCCATTGAAGCGGAAGAAAAATTCTTTATTCAAATGGGAGCTGAAAGATATATCAAAATGGTAAGGTCTTAAAAATTTACAAAATTTATGCACAGTTTTTTGTCAAAATATGTTTTTCTCTTCTTTTTGATTAGCACAGAACCCTTTTAGATATGTCTCCTTCAAATTGCTATTTTTAAGATGTATGTTTTGGTTTATCCACTGATAAACTTTATCCATTGGTTCTAGAAAAATTATTGTAGATTGGCATTCAGATATTTGCTTCAGGGTTAAAACTGAAGAGTGAGAAATATTCACATTTAACCAAAAGACTTTCCATTCCAGTGAATTTACATTAGAAAGAGACCCCGATGTGAAACAGTTTTATCACTGAATTGAGACTTCGCTGGTTTGGTTCTAATTCCAATCAAATCTAATGCAAGCCAATCCAAAAATGATAAATTAGACCAGAAATCAAATAAACGCAAAGATATAAGCAAGGTCATTATGTAAATGAATTTTAAGATTTTATAACTAGTTACTGCTTTTTGTTTTGAAATCTCGAAGAAATTTTTTATTTTCTTGGATACATGTTTTTCTCTTGAATATTCTTATGTCTCCCTGTTGTGTAGTTTCCTGCCATTCGAAAGCCCAGGATTTAACAATTTCTTTCTGTTTGCTCGCATCAGCTCTATGATGTAAACCAAGGAAGAAGAAACGAGGAACCAATCTCTGGTATTCATGTCGAAAGGTTTCCTGGAACTGAGAAACGGATGTTAGTCATGGTTGCCACTCCCAGGTAAGGCATTGAGATTGAACTTGAGTTGTCCCCTTTCAGCCCTGTTTTGATTAAACTTGCATGATAAGTTCAAAATAAAGAGGCAAATATCATTCTTTTTAGTTAAGAACTCGCACAACTGTTATTTCCCAGTTATAGAGACATTCGAGCAACTAAAAGGACAAATAGTTATAACCTAAAGTTTCTCTACTGCAATCAAAGCAGCATAGCTGACAAATCTTGATTGGCTGTTAGCGAGATCCCCTTCTTAGGAATCCTCCAGGAATTCTACCAATCAAGGCCTTGAAGAAACAATTTCTAGATAACGAACACGTTCGAACAACAGACTGTTACTCAAGCTCCCCTGATGTCTGCTATTCAGAGCTGAGTTGATTTCTGTTTCCTTTTACAGCCAGCTATATCAATTCATTGGCGATACTGGTGCAGAAGGGCCTATTTTTGCACCTGTATTTGCTGTCTTCGAACCAAATCCAGGTAACATATGTAAAACTATGTCATCCTAAATCTAATGAAATTACCATTTACCGGTCTGTCATAAAGTCATAAATATGGAGCATAGGTAGAGCTGTGGACACTTTGGTGTATAGAACTGAACGGTTCTAAGTCGCAGCCTTGTTTCACGCTTAATGAGATCATCAGATAACTGTTCTAATCCTCAATCAATCCTCAATATAGCCGTGATAAGCAATTTTCTTTCGTAAAATATCTAACTTGTGATGATATTTTCTAGTCTGATAATCTTTCAATCAGATCATGAGGTTTTTCTTCAGCCACCCAGTGACGTCATACTGTCATCATCTCGAAGGCATTTTGTTAGGAAAGAGACATACTATGTCCCGTCAGTCAACCATTCAGAGTTAACCATTTCTATGGAGTTAACAATAGGCTTTGCAGCGCATTTATGATCAAGAAAACATTGAGAATTAGTCTTATGTTTCCGATTGGATAATTAACAATAGACCTGTTGTGTAGTCCAACCGATGGGAAATTTACATGGCCAGCGAAATGCGCCGGGACATAGTGCCTTAAAATCGGTTACAAAATCACTGAAAACCTATTGGCTGAAAACGTATTGTAAGATAATTTTCTCCGAATACTTTTCAAATTTTAATCATGAGGCCTTGTTATATCTGATTTATGAAACCATTCACCGACACTTCATTTCTGTAACTGTTTTTAGCACCTTTCTTGGAATTACCCGGGACTCTGCATCACAGTGATCTGGCCTTCTATTTTTCAAGGCCAAAGGAACCACCGAAACTCTTTGCGTGGATAACTGGTATGATTTTTTATGACTAATCTTTTTTTAAATTTGGTGCACATTTTCCATTGGGTATCTGCATCTTTGGCAAATGGGTAATTGACTCCGTTGCCTCCTTGCGTGTATATTTTGTCGATACTATTATTGAAGGTACTAACAACGAAGTACGCTGCAACTTTGACTCCAAACCATGTTATTATTACCATTGAACATAAACGAGCAACATTCGAACATTCATATGCTAAAAGCTATCTGTTCTAGAAATATTTTTATCCTTTGCCATCCTGATTAGTTCAGTGTCACGATTGAGTTTTAAAAGAGTTTGGTAAAAGTGCTTCTCCAACAGCTATTTTCATTTGTCCTTTCTTTTTGTCTTTCGTTTTATCTCTCTTGTTTTTGCCTTTTGTCATTTGTCTTTTAGCTTGTATTTTAAAGATTTCTCTATCTTCTTTTTATTATAATACAAATCCTAATTTTATAAATAATTGTACTGTATATATCATTCTCAACTTGAGCTATCAACGATGAATGTCCCAAAGTTTTCTGACATTTTGGATTTCGCAGTTTTAAGTAAAACTCTATTTTACAGGACCTGGCGTGTATTTTGGTGGTCTCGATTTTCAAAGATCGCAGGCAAAAGAGAACATCACGCTCGACACACGTCTCTTACCGTATCCTTTGCAAAATCTTAACTTGTTGTTTCAGTATTAAGTGCTTAATATGATATGATGTCACTTTGTAATTTCTTTCATTCTTGGCAAGCAGATGGCCTAAAAATATTTTCCATAAACCGTTAATGACCAATGGAGCACCCCGGACTCAAATAACTGATTTGTTCTTACAAGCACCCAACCTGACAGCCTGAAAATTAAATAAATGTTAATCCAGTTTGATTACCCTTTGAATCGAAAAAAGTAGAATCTGCCCATTTAAATTCACTTATAAACAAGAAATCCATCGTTTATATCCGACCTAAATAACGGTCTAATGTTTCTATCTACTCCGTTCAAGCTCGCAATGTTATGTGAATGCTATGCGAGGTTGATTAGGACGCGCAGGAGAGTATACTAGGATATTTCCTGGCAACTACTTAGCGTATTTAAGAATGAAACTTATATAAATATATACAATAAAACTGTTAGAAATCAACAAACGTGTTTCTGGTCTCAAGTTTAGATCTTATTGAATGCTGCTCACTTGTATCTCACGATCGTTGGATTTCTCAGATTCTTTTTGTTGCACCAGAAGCATCAGATGCTTTTCGCAAATATCTTTCCAGACGAATCCTTTCCTTAACTAGATTGTAAGTCCAACAGAACCAAAATTAAATGCTCCATTAAGTATTGCAGTTACAGAGTTCCACTGTATCTTGCTATACCCAGACAGGTAAGCATCAAATGAAATAAAAACAAACTGACTTATAGCCAATAGAGAAAAAGACGGAGCTAACTGGTTGTGTTTTCCCAATCGATGCCTCTGATGTATCGTACTTATGGCGAGCCTATTAAATGCATGGAATAGTCCTTTTGGTCGTCTAGCTGAAAGCAATGCAAGCTCAAAATGACTGCTACGTAAGCCTCGACACAATTCAATGACATAGCGCAAGCCTCGACATAATGCAGCAGCATAATGTAGGCCTTATTATTACGAATGACATGAATTAATCCACAACTTGGTACAGTAACAAGCGCGTGCCTCGATGTTGCTTTAAAACTGAATATTTTAGAAACTGATGTTATCCTTGTCTTTTATGGTATTTTCGAGAATTTTAGAACCTGGTTAAAAGATTTGATGACGTTTATGCAAAGACATCAGATTCATACCCTTCAATCTCCCTGCTAACAATGACATTGCTTTGAAATATTGCTTGCACACACGGACCTTTCCCTGTACCAGTAACGACAGCGATTTTTGCCTGTGTGTCATATGTTACGAGTACGTTTTCATATATTTTTGCAGGTTTGAAGCCATTTGCACATTGGATGACCAGGAAGTGTTTGCTGAGCACATTCCTTCGCGAGTATGTTGACAATGTTGCTACTTACAGTAAACTCCTAGCAAGTCATATTTTTTAAAGCTATTCGTACCTTCTTTTTTATATTTTGTTTTGATTAATCTTTGTTAAAGAATCAAAACAATATACCCCATTCATAGCCTTACATTCATTTACTGTAATCGCTAAGATGGGAATATGCCGCAATTAAAGAGCCCGTCAGATCTAACAGTAGAGTATTTGACCTCCTGTTGAAAAGCACTGATGTATAAAAAAGAGCCAGTTCTCTTGTTTATTTTGGAACCCCGTTTGAAATATCGTATAAACACAATTACATCTTCACCGCCAGTGCTGTGATTCGAGTGGCAAGAAACGATTTTATTTTTCAATGGAAGCAGCTATCACATGTTAGTGCGTATTCTGCTACAGGCAGAGACAGCGATTGATGATGATGCTCCCATGAAGTCAAACTCTCGATAAATCGAACATTCGCTAAATCGAACTGATATAGATTCCCTTTGCCAAATTTTTTCATTTGAAAATCCCCCGATAACTCGGGCATTCGCTATCTCGAACCAATTCATTGGCCCCTTGGATGTTCGAGTTATGAAGAGTTTAGTGTATGTTATGGTTTTTGTTAGCAATGCCTTTCATTTCTGCTAGTTTGGCCGCGCAATCGGAATGTGTACAGATTACGTGAAGAAGACTGTATGGGTTTTTACAGAGCTTGCTATTTATCAATACGTGATCAACAAAGAAAGCAGGTAGGCACTCAACCTATACCACTAGTACACAAGACTCGCTTACCCATAGCACACAAAGCTCTGAATACCATATTCTCTCTTGTATTCCCGCCCTTCTTACTTTTCTCACCTTCTATTAATCCTGCCTTTTTTCTCTAATGTAAGAAAATAATCCCGCCTCCCTGATAATCTCGCATGCGAGTGTGATTAAATGAAGGGACCAATAGATTGCAAATGTGCTTGGGGCTTTGAATGAATTGCGGGCATTCAGCAAAATGTCTTGTGCTCTTCATTTGATGACAGCAAGGGTGAGTAATGTTTTAGCCAATCAGCGTCCCTTTTTCAACCAACTTTCGTCAACATTCTTCGCAGTTTAAATACAAAGTTTCCGCGCCAAAACATGGGAGAACAAGTTGAAAATTTAAGCCCGCCTTTTTTAAAAGCATGTTGAAAAATTAATCCCGTCTCTCTGATAATCCATCCTTTCTAATAATCCTGCATTAAATAAGGAGGTTTAATCAATAAACCCACAGCGGGAATACAAGAAAGAACATCTGTCATTGCATATATTTCTCTTATGATTAGAGTCTTAAGATATTAGAGTCTTAATATATCTGATTTGTTGGGCTAGCGTTTTTGGCTAGTATGCAGTAGATATAATTTCAATGGCAGTTTAATAGAGAGCATCAAGGCCAACAGCCTTAGGCCTTATGCTCTTTCTATTTAATTTATAACATGTATGACCTAGTATGACATACGGAGGGCATATAGCATTTTGTTATTTTGTAACTGTTTCTAAAAAATTGAGTGGTTGTGTTAATCGAGTTTTTTCGTGTAAATTGTGTTTTTATAAAGAGGACTTAATCGACGTGAAGTATCCCCGCCTCTGTTTCAAATCGAAGCATTTCAAAGATGATTACAAACATAGATAAGTTTCATTTAGCTCTATTAAAATATACCTAGCGTTATATTTCTACTTAAAGATTCATCTCATATTCATCTTGCAGAAATGTATGGAGGATTTACCTTGACCAAGGAAAGTACGAGCTAGCCAAAGATTACTGCAGAGTAAGTGAAATTTGCAAAACTCGCGTTCGATTAAAACTCGCAAAAATTTTTTAAATTTTGATCCCAAAGTTTTTAATCAGATCTGCCCTGCCTCCTGCCGAGCTAATTCAGGTCTCAATGTTTTTACAGAAAAGTTTTAAATGATCAAGGGTGACAGCGTTTTGTTGATGATAGTAGCTGATCACTTTCGAGGCTGTCAGATTAAATGAAATCATGAAATCTTGTTTTTAGGACCCCGCTCAAACGGACATTGTGATTCGGAAGCAGGCTGAACAGTTATTTAGTGATAAGCGGTGAGTGAACTGTGCTGTTAAGAAAATGTTCTATAGAAACTCTGCATCATTATCGTCATCACAATAAACATCAAACATATCACCAACATCATCGTAATCATACTAGTCACATTAATAATAATAAACATAATCATTGTCATCACCAGTAATCATCAATCACTATCATTGATCACTGTCATTGATCACCATCACCAACCATCATCATAATCATACTAATCACAGTAATGATAATCATCGTAATCAGCGTAATCATTATCAATCATCATCAGCTATCATCAATCACTATTTTTTATCACTGTCGTTGATCACTGTCATTGATCACTGTCATTGATCACTGTCATTGATCACTGTCATTGATCACTGTCATTGATCACTGTCATTGATCACGTGCAATCAGGCAGCCTGATCTGAAAAGTTTCATTGGATTTTAACTGCCCAAAAAGCCATGTGTCCTATAGACAGATGTTTTGATTTCAGATTACTTTTTATTTTTTTAAATGAATTTGAATATTACTGTCAGCTGGTCTGTTGCAAAATATTCGATGTCGTATAAACACAGCTTATGATGTCAGGATAGTTCAGTGGCTAAGGTCGTGGACTGCAGATTCACAATGCTGGGGTACGAGTCACTGACACGGGGAAACTTTCACCTAGAGTAAGGAGAGTCGCCAGCTCTTTGTTATTTCAGACATAGAATCATGGTGATTAGATTCATGAGATGTCTTCACATTGAGAAGATGAATTAAGACAGCCCGATAAGCATAGCTTTTCAGATTCCTTAAAGGACAAGTGACACGCTTTTGGCGCCAAATTTTTTTCTTCTTTTAACTTATAGTAAAATGGTGTATGAGAGTGTTGTTGAAATATTTTTCCTCTCTGATTTCATTTTTCTACTTAAAAACCCTTTTCAAATTATGGCGGGAAATGAATCACGTGACACCGTGACGTAGATTGTGATAATTTGTTATTGCTGCTACTGGTATACAGTGCAATATTAACGTTTACAACACGCTTCTAAACGAATTCAGTTCGTCTGGACCTGTCGCGTCGTGTTTCGTAAACTTTCTATTAATTACAGGAAAATTCCGAGTTATCACAATGTACGTCATAGGGTCACGTGAGAAAAGGCAAAATCACGCCCCCTGCGCCCCCTGATTATAATTTTTTGTTCTAAGCCAGGAAAAACTTACTTCTAAAAGATGATCTATAAGTTAATGAAAAGAAAAGATAGGGTGAAAAGTGTGTCACTTGTCCTTTAAAGAGCATGGTTGCATTGACGTGAAACTTGGTGTAGCAATTTATTTCCGCCTTGCAATTTATTTTCTCGTATCTTGACTTGATAATTTATGTTTTGCAGTTATGAACAGGCAGCTGCATTCTACGCCCTTACACAAATATCTTTTGAAGAGGTTGCTTTGAAATTTATACAAGTGAAGACCCCTGAAGCTTTGAAAACGTTTTTGTTAAAGAAAATGGTCAATTTAAAACCACAGGTGCAGTTTTGTAGACTTTTATTTAAAGAATTTCTTTTTTTATCAGACACCTTCTGTATTTAACATTTATTTGAGTTATTTTTGTTTCTCAAAAGAAAAGAAGTTCCATTTTGCAACTTAATTAATTTTTTTCATCTAGTAACAATTATAAGGATTTTCATATTGTCAAAAAAAGCGGAGAACCCTACCTGGTATAAAACAAATCAACATATTACCTGCTCTTAAAGTCAAGGCAAGATAAGCTGTTAGAAATTTTGTATTCCAACTTTTCCTCCAATGAGAAACTAATCATTGCTCTAATTGAACAATTTTCCTTAAACCGGCATAAAAGCTCTTGTCTTAAAAGAAAGACCAAATGCTTCTAGCAAAATGCATAGAGACTCCCCCCCCCCCCAACCCCTCTCTCCTTATCTGTAAGCCTTCAAGACTTTCAGTAATATGATACTGACATTGAGCGATCCCCCAAATAGGATCGAACCCAGATGACAATGATTCTTACGTGGCTTATCGAGCTGTATTTAAATCAAATTGGAGAGCTGAAAGACCAAGGCTCAAAGTCAAGGACAGAGCTGGAAAGGCTTCAAGAGGATTTTCGCAAGTTACTCGCGCAGAGCAAAGTCAAGGTAAGATATCTTTGAGTATTATTGATGTTTAAGTTCAAGGCAGTTGAAAGCTAAGATTAAGTCCTTGAGCAGGGCTTTCTAGTCGGGAGTGAACTTTATAATCTCGTTAAAACGATTTGAGTCATGAAGTCGTAGATATGTTAAATTTGCCAAATGTAGCTTGGGTAGTGACATCTTATTAGCATCACGCAAAAAAGTCAGATATTTTGAGACAAGTTTTCAGTTCAAGATCAACTTTTTCTCTAGTCGGTAATTAGTATTATCAAGAATTCTTCAAAAAACCATATTTGTTCTAACAAAAATTTGCCCAAAGTTTGAATGTGCTAATTTTGATTGAAAATTATGGCTATTAAGAAGTTGGAGGGGGGGGTGTAAAATTTTTTTTGTGTCCAAAATGTTAAATGCTGTGTACTCTCATTTTAAGCATTGTCTGGAACAGAATCGCCAATTGACTTATGACCTACTTGCAAGCCACGGCGACACAGAGAACATGATCTTCTTTGCAATGATCATGCAGGGTAAGTTCTATTTCATCAAGCCTGTTTTCCACATCAACCCCCAAATTGCCCCTGTAGCTGCCATCCAGTTTCTCTCTAATGGCTCTCCAGTCTTGCACAGCCCAGTTCACCCCATCCTAGTTGCTCTCGCCCCAGTTGCCCACATACCAGTTGTCCCATCCAAGTTACCCTCTGCTACCTGCTTATCTGCTATCAAGGTGTGTGAGTTTCAAATACTTGTTGCTACATCACTCAGTTAAGTTTATCAGTTTTTAATTAGGATTTTGTTTATGTATGAATTCTACTGCTAGTGAAAGTAGAAATATTTTGTACTTCTAAAGCTTTTCAGTTAATCATTATTGATAATACCGTACAATGCCTGCCAAAAGTCTTGGAACACTGACGTCAAATTTGAAGGTCAAAATCACTCATCCCCTCTTCCCTACAGAACAATGTTGGTTTACTATCAAACGGGTTAGAATTTTAGGAAGCACTTTCTTTTGCGCTTCTTTTATGATATTTTTCTAAATCATCAACATTGTTTTAGGGGGAAGGGGCAGAAGTAGTAATTTTTTTTCATGAAAGGAGTGAAAGATATCAAATGCAGCGTAAATTTCTGGGTGTTCCAAGTACTTTTGGCAGGTATTGTAGCTCCTTTTCAGCTTATCATGTTCATTGTGTTCCTAATCAGGTAGTGCTAGGACTTTATGTGTTTCTGAGATTCTATTGAAAAGGCTAATTTCTTCATTGAAAACCTCTGTATGCCGTAAAAATATGTAAGGTTATTGTATTTCCTCCAAGTTCAAGTTGAATTTTAATAAGTTTTCTTGTGGCCATATTTTAGGCTCTTTTTTTCTCTTACAGCATACTTCGCCATTTGGAAATTAGAACTTTGCAATTAAAAAATTCACTTAAAAAAGTCATTTAAATCTAATTAAGGATCTGTGTAAAGTCAATTTAGGGTTTTTTTGGTTGTACTTTTTAACGATACTTTTTAACGATTCCTTGCAGATTATGGAAGAGTTATCAGCCATCATATACAACAAGATGACTTCAAGTCTGCTTTGGAAGTTCTTAGAAAGCAGGTATAACTATGACCATTCCCTAAAAAAGAGTCCGATGTCAATGCAAACAGCAATTTACTCTACCCCTCCATTAATTTTCTAAGGTTATTTTCAAAAAATTTCTGTTTGATTCTTTCATCTCATTAACTTTTTAATTTCCTTGTCGTTTGCATTTTGATTTGCACCACTTCAAAACATCTTTTCGTTTCAATACATTTCGGGGAGAAATATTTCGCCTTCTGAATATATTTTAATCTTTGAATTTTATATTGCCTTCTTTTAGTAATGTATGCTTTCTTTCTGGGTCAAATATTAAGACTTTTGTTGGACCTCTTTTCCCTTTAAAGTTCTTTCAATACCCTTAAAGAAACCCCTCTTCAACTTTCCAAGAATAGTAAGCCTCAATCGAAGATCCAACCACAAATTGCTTTCTTGTTGCAGGGTGATAACGAGCTCTTCTATAAGTTTTCACCAGTTCTGATGCAGCAGATACCAAAGGAAACAGTTGATGCTTGGAAACAAAGGAACCTGGACCCAAGAAAACTCATTCCGGCTTTGGTCACACACGAGCAACAAACAGATGTTTCATACGTAAGCACAACTTTTCTTTCCCATGTTCCTTCGCTATTGAGCTTAACTATGTCATTTCACCTTGCATCTTGCAAAGTTATTGTCTTGTATGCTAGATTGCCATATGCTAATAGTGAAGACTTCATTTTATTGCCAAACATTTACCAACTAAGTCAGGTTTGGTGCCGCTACATTCTCTAATGCTCTACAAATTCAAAAGCCTCTCCAGTCCCCTTTATAATGGATCTACTTACCTGGAAGATTTAGGCCTTACGAGCTAATTTCCCAGTTATGACGTAGCTATGACGTAACAGCCACCCCCTAATTCCAAACCCAATACACCAAACTGCCCGTCACTTGGCCTACTTATCTTTGTTATTACAAATGCATTAAAGATTCAACTATGATCGTGCTTACAAATGTACCACGTGGCTATATTGGTTATTACCCTTCTTTCATGTTTGTTTACAAACAAATCGTTGAACTTTGTTTGTTGATTTTGTGTGCCATCCTTCATGCAACCAGCCCCCACTCTCCCCGTTGTCTCATTTTCGATATGTTTCCGAATCCACATTGTCTCTACTTAGAATAGGACGCCTTGATGTATATCTAACGTTTTTCTTAAATTCTTTCTTCTGCTTTCTTTTTAGATACCAGAGGCGATAGAATACCTCGAACACTGTGTTTACAGTCTGCTAAATGAAGATCAAGCCATCCATAACTATTTGATATCTCTTTACTGCAAGCTTGATGATGAGAAACCCTTGCTACGCTATTTGATAGGGCGTGGCGATGTAAGTGTCATTTTTTCATTCAGTGACTTTGGATCTGTTCCGTTCTTCTGTTGTTTTTCCAAGAAAACATCGCGGTCACGTGGTCTGTGCCTCATTTGTAGCTCGTCTCGTTTTCGTCACTTTTACAAGCAAAGATATTGTCCAGACACTTCCCTTGAATGTGATTTTCAGATGTCTTTTGCTCTCAACTTTTGAACAGTATTCCAGCCTTTTTGTTTTTCACATTCGATGTAGCTTTGCAAATGACTGGCATATTTCTTTTATCGTCAGACATTTTTATCTTTGTTGTCAGGACCAAGATCTTGTTCCCTACGATATGAAATACGCCCTACGACTCTGCTCAGAAAACAACAAGCAAGAGGCTTGTGTACATATTTACAGTGCTATGGGGCTGTATGAAGAGGCGGTGGATTTGGCTCTGAAGGTATTCATTTAACATTGCTTGCAGTATTGTGATTCTTAAGTTCCTTCACAATTTACCTTCATGATTATTATAGACATGGTGGTGGCCAACTGATTAAAGTGCATCAGTGCAATGAAAGGGTTTTGGCTCGAGTTATAAGCTACTTCAATGATTTCTAGGCAGGGACGCCGGAACAACCAATGGGCAAAGGGGGCAGGCTTTAGTAAAAAGACATTTGAATAAAATTCCCAGCTTCTGCTGATTTTTTGTAACTGTGATTGTGTTTTGATGTTCTGTAGTCATCTTGTAAATGGGCTTACTGCTGTCAAAATAATTTCTTGTGCAAGTTTTGAGAAATTTTGTTATGAAAAAGGAACTACAGTCAGGATTTCATATGAATCTCTTTACATTTGCCGAAAACAAGGGCACTTTTATGGAAAGGGCACTTTGGCCCCCCTTGCCTCTCCTTTCAAAGGGCAAGGGGGCGGTTGCCTCTCGAGGGGTGGTTGCCCCCTGCGCCCTCTTTCTCTGGCGTCCCTTTTTCTAGGACATCAAGGATGGTTTTGTCTCTAACAGATTCTTCCCCTAGTCACCGATTGTATATGGGAACCCCTACCCTTGGTCACAATTAAGTTTAGATTCAAAACATACTATGAAAGATTTGCAATGTGTGATGAATTTGAATTCATCATAAAAAAATAATAATTCATGATCATTGTTCAGCTTCAAATTCTAAGTATTCTCTAGGTAGACGTTGAGAAGGCCAAGATCTACGCTGACAAACCAGAAGAAGATGATGCTTTGAGAAAAAAGTTATGGCTTAAAGTTGCGCGACATGTTGTTGAAAGCCAGTTGGATATTGGGAGGTATGCACATCAATCTAACGATATACGTTGGCAAATTTTAATATATACACGCACATTTATAGGAAGATCTTTGAAACATCACGTTAGAATAAGAAGTATAACAGGAACAGTGAATATGTTTTTCTTTCTCATGATTTACCCTGATCCACATATGGAATTTTCTTTATCAGCTTATAGTTTGTGCTTTATATAAAAGAATCCCATACAGTTTGTGCTCACTTATGATTAATTAATGTTTTTCTTTCCCTTTAATAGCTTCATGTTACTTTGCATACTCTCCCAAACACATTAGAATTATCCTAGCCATCTATATTTCGTCATATACAACAACAAATTGATTACATTTATGAGTTTGTTTTCATAAATATTTTCAAATCTTGTCATATTCAGATTTGACACTTATATTCTCATATATATAATGTATAACACATATATATATAGTACAGATTCAACACGATTATTTTCAACCTTTCGTGTTCTTTCCGAGACCTGTTGAGAACATTTAAATTTCAATTGAACAAGAATCAATTTTATAGCTCTTTTTACAGCGTTATCTCAAAAACAAACGTTTTTGCCGTACTATTTTGCAATGCTTAAAATATGCCAAAATAGTTTCTACTTTTCTGTGGTAAAGAATTGGAATGAAATACCAACTAGCGTACGAAACACTGAATCTGTTATTGATTATAAAATAGCATTTAAAGATCATTTACAATACCGGGCATACCCAAACACGACCCATTGGTAAAGCAGCACTTTCATTAACAAATTGGATACTTTTTATTTTACTTTACAAACCTTGTATTATATTTGATTAAAGCTAAAAAGGTATTGTGTATAAGTTTTAAGAATGAAAGAAAAATGATAAAGTCTTTGATTCTTGATTTATTTGGCATTTTCAGAGCCATGGAGCTACTAAATGAGTGCAATCTGCTTAAAATTGAAGACATTCTGCCGTTCTTCCCTGATTTTGTTACTATTGATCAGTTCAAGGTATATTTTCTTCTGTTCTTTCTCTACAGTATTGAGTGTGATCTAGAATATAAGCCGGCACGAAATCATCAATCAATGGCAAATTTCCGTTTAAGTTTCTTTTACTTTTCAGTTCAGTCAAGTTTAGTTCATTTTTTTTATTTCAAATTCCAATATTTTACAAGTTTTAGCAGTGAACTATAACAAAACTTAATCATTGGTTAAAGAGGTGTTTTTTGTATTACTACTCAAAGACATGAACTTGAACTACTGTGAGTGAACGGCTTTAGGTGCCTTAATATCATTGCACCCTATTTATATTTTTGAGCAATCTTCTTTTGCCCAGGAACCAAACTAAATGATATAAAGGATAAACTGTCTCACTTTTTAGGAAGCTATCTGTAAGTCATTGCAGGAATATAACAAACACATCGATCAACTGAAAAACGACATGCAGGTAAGTGTTGCCAGTTGTTGGTCAGTAGCTCATTGTGTTAGAGATACCGATGAGGGTTCCTCAGAAATCCCAGATTGAAATGAATCTATTCGATTGGTCTTCAGGCTATTTCTACGTCACTCCCAACTTTTTTAAATTATTTGATTTTATCATTTTACTACAATGATGCATTAACAATCATGTTTTTGCACAAAACATAGTTATTAGGTTGAACAAAAATTAAAAGATTTTGTCATCTCATTTTGTCATTAAAAGATTTTCTCTAATATGCATCCATACACAAAACATTAAAAAAAGCTCCCATGATCAATTTCTAGTTTGCTGTTTTAGTTGAATTTCCATCTGATGTGCTCAGCCTATCTTTGTGTAAGCCGTACCAAATATGAAGCAAAATGTTTGGTTTTTATCCCTTAGGACGCAACAGATAGTGCTAGGGTCGTTCGGGAAGAAATTCATGAAATAAGAAACAGGTAAGGTGAATTTCTGTGTTGAAACGCAACTTACATCCCGTTGTGCATATTTTAGAGTTGAAATGCAAAGGGGGACAGGCATAATGTTTTAAAAGGAGCACTCTTCCTTAGATTGAAAATGGTAATGCAGTCTTATACCTCTTTTAAAGGAAAGTACATTCCAGTGCTCTCCTGATGTCCCAGAGGCAAATCCCGCAGGCCAAAGGGTCAACATTTTTACGATGTATTCCACAGTTTTGGTATCCTAATTCTTTTCGTCTTTTTTGGGAAATAGCAGTGAAAAAACATCTCATTTTTCTGTTGAAAGAATCTTGGTATTTTGTCGTTTCAAACAAATCAGAAGCTACAGATCCTTATCCGCCAATAATGTGTTCATAAAGTGTTTCTTCTTCTTTATCATCTTCGAAGTCTTCAATTTGATTATTTGTCGATCAAAGTAGCTTTTAACTACTTCTATCCCTCTGCTATCTTAAAATTTACCTGCCAGCTAAGACTCTTATTGTGTCTTAGCTGTCTTTATCCATCTTATTCTTAATTTATCTTGTCTACACTTAAAGATTTGAAACAAACACAGATGTTAAGAAAATGTGATTTGATTTTTAGATACGGTACAATAGGAGCCCACGAGAAGTGTGCAGTCTGTCAATATCCGCTGCTAACAAGATCGTTCTACTTCTTCCCTTGTTCCCATGTGTTTCACTCTGATTGTCTGGTAAACGAGGTAATATTTTAAAGTTTGTTTTCATGTACACCTTTTCACAAGAACCAGTAAACTAAGGTTCAGACTGGATGTTCTTGAATTTTTTCCAAACTTGTATTTAAAAGAAGTAAATACCCAGCAATGAAAAATATATTCTTAGTAACATTTTACAGTACCACTGTCTCAGTTTGTTTGTTCTTAATTTTGATCAGTGTTTAGGGTCGTGTTCTTATATAATTGCTCTTATATGAGATATCAGATAAGTAAGAGTTGAATTGATTTAGTTGTTACATCGTCGATGATCTCAAAATTTTCGATAAAAGTGCCATCTTCAAATTTCACGGAACCAAAGGCAGATTTGCAAAATGCAAGACTGTGGAGGGTTGTTCCAAGATTTCAGATCTCCAGAGGAATTCCGTTGTTCTTCATATTGATTAATCTGCAACAGTTTGTCGCAGTTATATGGAAATATCATCTTTTAACTGACCAACAACTATAGCAGCCATACCTATGAATATTTCCGATTTCAGGGACGCCAGGGCGCATTTTAGAATGGGGCTATAGAAATGTGGGGGGCTCCCTACGTAGTTTGCAACCCTTCTCTTTGATACAACAACCTCGAAATGATACTTTATAGCGAAAAGAGGGGGCTACAGCCCACTCAGACGCCCCCCCCCCGGTGTGCCTGTTTATGGAGACCGTCCTGCATTGTTTACATCTTCTTGAAGTTTCTTTGACTATGGACAGCTGTCGTCTACAGATTCTTTGATTTCTATGCTTTAATTGCATTTTAATATTGTGTTTTGCTTACCTTTTGGTGAAGCATTGAAATTAAAGCTAACATGCTTGATTGTCGATTTTAGTTTTCATTTATCATATTTTTTGTTCAATTCAGGTCAGCCACCACATTAAAGATAAACAAAGGTATTATGAATATTTCATTTAAAAGGATTTGTTTTATCCCCATCTCCCATAAACCATAGTAAAATTACATCCGTAAGCAAAACAGACGAGAATACACTAATTGATGCACCGCAACAATTTATTTCATGACCTTCGTTATTGATGGCTTGAGAGCAAGGATAAAATTTGTTTAGCCAGCCAAGGAATTGGTTTAGACTTTGGCAATTTAACCAATCAGAGGCCCTTCAAGATGCCTCGTCATGTATGGTGCTCAGTACTGAACAGACGACAACAAACAACAGCAAAATGTCTCTTTTTTTATTGAATGGGTGTTGATTATTTTCTTATAAGACTCCATAGATGCCTAATTTTTTCACCATCGCAGATTATTTGGGGGTCAAATCTTCAAGCCTTTGTCAAAATCTATTCCGCTATGCAGTTGTTCTAGCCCTATTCTCATTTCTTTGGTTGTAGCATGTAAATATGCGACGTCTTAGCGGATAGACATATGACGTAATTCCGTATAGACGTGATAGCATATAGAGATATGACGTAATAGCGTATAGACGAATGACTTAATTGCATATAGAGATATGACGTGATAGCAGATGACGTAACAGAAAAAGAGATATGACGCAATACGTATATACATATGACGTTCTAGTGTTTAGGTGTATGTCGGAAAAGCATGTAGAGATATGACGCAATAGCAGATAGATATATAACGTGATATAGTATAGAGATATAACTTAAAAATAGCATAGAAACATACAACAACATATAAGAACCTGTAATGGCACAGAGACACATACTTTGGCGTGTATCGCAGTTTATTGTCAACCAATTATTTTCTACACCAGGAAGAAGATTGAAGAAATTCAAGCCAAGCTAGCAAACCTTACTCTGACGTCATCGGCATCAATGTCAACTGTCAGTGGGTCAATCACCCCTGGTAATGCTTCTGCGAAGGAGCAGCTCAAGGTAGGTGTTACAAGTATAAGTAGCTTTGTAGTGAAACATATCGTTAGTTTTTAGAGAAGTTCTTGTTGGAAATGCTTTGGACCTTGTATGTCTTTTTATATAGAGAGTCTTAAGAAATCCTGTATTTGGGCATTGTATTCTTGTTGTCCAATTTTGTTGTCAAGTTTTATACTTAGAGCTTCTTGTGAGGTAATCCAGTTTTAGTGATGTTTATGAAAATCGAAAGTCAATTTTTATTTATACACCGGTGAATGTCTTCCCCAGTGAGAAATTTTTCGAACAGAGAGACCTCTTTCAAAAACTCCAATGATTTGGGCCATTTTTGCATTTCCCGCACGTCCCCTACAATCTGATTTTTTTCGGAGTAAGTCATAAGTTCCCTTTTTAGCACGACATCCGATCCCTTACCAATCCAAGAAAAATTTTGCAGCCCCTGCGCTCGTGTGATTAGCAAGTTTTCATTTCAGATTTTGTCGGTTATTTGTAGCAAATTGCAAGAATAATTTGTTGAAGAAAAGTTGTACGTTATAATGAATTGATAAATATTATCCCGAAGCGGATTCATCAAAAAGAACAAGGAACAGACACATCATAGCTTACAGATTTATGAGTTTTCTTTTTTCGTTTATCAACCAGTCGGAGCTAGATGACATTGTTGCATCCGAATGTATCTACTGTGGTGACGTCATGATAAGGTAGGTACCAGTCTCCTTGCATATCAATTCAGCGATACAAATCGGTCTTTTATATGTTGTAAGAAAACTGTATACTGATTACGATAGAAATGCATTTTAATAGCATATTGCCATCGAAATAGTGGAAAATTGCCAGAAGAACCTTGTGGCGGAAATTCATATTTCAAAGGGGGGGGGGCAATGCCCACAGAAGCAAGCAAATTTGCCGACAAATGACATAATTTTGCAGGCAAAACCCTACAATTTGGCAGGTTGCCCTCCCACACCCCCGCAATTTCCGCCACTGGAAGAACCCCGTCACTGTGGCTAAAATTGGGACATCTTAACAAAGCTTGCGTAACCGTGAAGTAAGGGGTTTTTAGTCTGGAAGCTACCTATGTAAACCTTTTATTTAGCCTTACTGTTGTGTTGCTTGAAATATGTTATAATGTTTCGTTATTTTATATTTCTTGTTAGATCATTGGATAAACCGTTTATTGAAGAAAGCGAATACGATTCGGTCGTTGCTGAATGGAATTAAGGTCGAAAAATCATCACAAGAGATCAAGTGAGAACATGGATGGTTTCTACGTGTTTTCTACCATAGATAGCTTGACAATATATGCCATGATATTTTGTGGAAATGGCGTTGTAAAGGGACATGTACATCGGAACTGGAGGCACAATATTCATGTGCCCAAATGTTTTGAAAATGCCCCCTTTCTTAGAAACACCGGCTTTAGGACTTTTGGTAAAGCCGCCCTACTTTTAGCCCCTATGTTTGAGAAATACTGCCCCTTTCCACCGTTGCTGCAAGAGATTATTTTTTCAGTTTTTGTTAATATGTGTAATTTATGTAATTTCATGTTTCATCTCTTATAAAGGAAACGAGATTGGGTTAGAGCACCCCTGAAAAAATGAATATCTAATAATGTATTGGAGCACAGATAAAAATTTTCAATCGTAGAAAATTTTTTCGACGGATAATTGTACAGGAGGCACGGTCTCCGTTAAACTAACCCCTCTCAACTTAAGCTTTCCCTGCAGTGTAGCTAGTTGATATGCGGAGTTTCTTCCTCTTTCATTTTTTTTAATTTAATGGACTATTATTTTAAGCAACTTGAAAGAGAAGCTCTTGTTTGCAAAAAAAACTGTCGGGATAAATTTTTCTTGCATACAAATGAATCATAATTTATTTGGAATTATTCGTAAATATACAGTATTCTAGTTTAAATGCAATAATAATTTAGTGAATTCAAAATCACACATGATCGTCGGCTATGATCAATTTTCAGAGAGAATTTATTATTACGCAATGCCGAATAATAACCTTTGGTTAGCATTCACATTAACTCTCGCAATTGCAAGTTTTTGTATGATTTTCTCTTCTCTGGCAATTTCACTAAACTATCAATATCAGTAGCTCAGCACACGCCGGTTATAGTCATACATATATTGTTTGAGAAGTTCTGACAGTAAGTGGAATGTCACTGCAAACAGATATTAATTGAAGAGTTTAACATACTTGCGTCTAAATGATTGTAATGTGAATACAAGTCATGTAACATGACTGTAACAAGCAGTGTGTGACTTTAAATGGAGTAACTAAAGGCGGAGAAATTGGCCTAGCCAACTGAATCAAAGAAGGACAAATGCAATCTGCTACATTTCTCTTTGATCGCATGTCCTCCTTTAAAGAGGCCTATTTGAATGTGGATGGCAAAACAGTACATCGTAGAAACCGCTTTAAAAGATTTTTCTTTAAGAACTTTGAGGCTGAAACGTTTTCAGCCCCTTAAAGACCCTTTGCTGACCAGCAGCCTTTGCGCGCGATTGTTGTTGTTTTTATTGCCGCACTCCAAACTCACAAAGGCGGACGCGAATGAAACAGCGAATATGTCAGACAACAGGTTTAACTTGGATGTAACACCACCTGGCGATGTACGAAATTTATGCGGATCTTTGGTTATTGACGATGAAAGTTTAGCAGCTAAGATACCAGTTATTGATGAACTCCATTTGAAGTTTCAGCATCAGATCTTAAATAGAAAAGGTCCCTACATTTTCGTTTGAATTCACCTTACTCTCTTCCACCACGAATCAAACTGTCTTCATGAATGGTCCCTCAACAGATGTAGGGCCTCCGACGAAGGAGCCAGCGATGCCCCGGCACCACTTTTTTGCAAAACAATAGTGCGTGTTGCAAAATCTTTCGCTATTGGTCTAAGAGTTACCTTTGCCCTCCCGCTTTGCAACTTGCTTAGAAGCCCCTGAGATGTGATTCAATCCGTTTATCCTTGTCATCTCATTTATAACTTTTGTAATCATCGCTTTTGGTTTATGCTGATGTTATGTATAACAGCATTCATTTACTTGGCATAAATTATGAATTTTATCTTGTCCTAAAAAGTCCCCTTATACAAGCACCGTTTAAGAGCCTCGAAGACTGTGACAAGTGTCAAAAAAGAATTTATTCAGGCTGCCAATAAAAAACCAAGTTTCTTTAAGACGCTTTTTTACAGTAACACTTAGCCCCAGTTTCAGCCTGGCATTTACATATTTTTTCGCAAAATTTCAACCTCACATGTTTCTTATTTTGACTTATTTTTGTAATCGTTTTTCCTGTGCATAGAAGTGTCTGGACATAACATATGCTTGGTAAAGTAAATTAAGCCTCTGTACGGGATGTTGTACTTGTACCTGCAATTTTATCTCCACCAAGGGGACATATCTGATAAAACAATGTCAATTTTGATAAGGTCTTTTTGCAATTTTTGTTTCGATGTTGTTTTGCTTATCTTTTTCTGTTGTTCTGTTGCTATCTCTTTGCTTGAATATTTGCTGGTTTATTTCTTTTGTTTAATTAAATTTCAGCCTGCCTTGTTTCTTATGTCGTCCTTACCCTTTTGAGCAAATCTCAGCTTGAAGTTTTTTCTAAAGGTTGTTCTTATAGGGAAGGAGAAATTAGTGAACGAAGCTGTCGAGTGTTGAGATAGCAGACCTGTATCATGTACAGCCACATTACGTCAGATAGGAACAAAAATGTGGATGCAAAGATGAAAGGAAGAAAGGAGGCACAGGGGGCACGTTCCTTTTCAGAAACAGGGGTAAAGTACCTACTTGCAACTCACAGAGATGCCCCTTTTTGCATAGACGTGTCCCCTCCCAAAAGTTCCTCGCTATCATTTGATTAGGTCATATCTGATAAATTTTGCAAGATCTTGTGATCCACCTGTTAAAATATATCTTTCAATTGTCGCTCATCGTCTGCTTGTCGTCAGTTTTGACACCAAAAAGAACGTGGACAGCAATCACCACCTTGAGCTCAGTGGGATTGCCCAATGTTCATGGATGAAGCAAGAATTGATCTTATGTAAATATCTTCTATGCTTGCTGCAGCCATTTTGTGCATCAGATGCCAGAGCCATGAGTCGTTTTTTGCTTTTTCTTCTTTTTGCTGCCGTTCAATGTCGCAATATAGGTTTGTTGTTGTTTATCTCTAATCAATAAGCACGTCTAAATTCATTCTTTTTAAGAACTAGTATATTTAAGTTCAGGCTGGCTGTTCTTTAATTTTTTCGAAAATCTGAGACTGGATTGTTTTCAATTTATTCTTAAGCTATTAAAGTGTAAGACGTGCAATTGCTAGCTGTTGCGCTCTAGGGAGGTGTCCAGGCCTTACTTGCCAAAGAAATGAGAGTTGAGACAACCTTCATTTGCCGACAAATTTGAAAATTCACCGAAAAAGCACCAATACATACTAAAAATCCTCGTTTTTTGAGATGAAACATTGTTCAAAATCACACTTGCTGTAGCTCAGCCTGTTCTTAACTTGTTCTTAACTTGTTCTTAACTTGTTCTTAACTTGTTCTTAACTTGTTCTTAACTTTTGATCAACTTTCGGGTTCGAGTTATTCTTAAATTTTAGAGGCGCTACTTATAATTCTCTTGTCTATCCTTTTTTGAGTGAAATCGTCTTTAAACTTCTAAATTATTAAATGTGAGATGACTGAGTTTTTTTCGAAATTTTCAGTAAGCTGTGTTTTCATTTCAGATGATAAGCATAGAGCTACCATGGATATTATTGCAGACATCAACAAAGGTAATTTACGAATGATACGTCGTGACCCGTCACGAATATCTCAGGTTAAAACTTTCAAAACCTCGCCCCCCACCCCCGACGCAACACCCAGATTCTCAATTATTTCATTACTCGATCAAGGATTAAATGTGTCCTTGTATGCATGTGTATAAAGTATTTCGCACTAAGGTCAGATCTTTCATGTTTTATCTAGCTTATGGAACGTCAAGAAACAACCAAATTGTTGACGGGGACATCATGATACCTCGTGTACACCGCAATCGAAGAAACGTGGTGAACAAGGAAAACTTACTCTGGACAGCAAAACAAATACCTTATAAGATCGATGCCTCAGGTGAGTTTTTGATCATTGATCACTGACCTCTGATTACAAACCACTTATCACTTATCACTAATCGCTTTTTCAAACAAATCACTGCGTGTTTTTCGGCAATTATGACTTGAAACAAATGAACCCCCAAATAACACAAACAAGGACCGAGATACAAAGGGGGCCAGGGGGCCGGGGGGCCTTGGCCCCCAAAAAATCGTAAGTAGCTTAAGTAAAATACTTTTATTTTGTAAAATATGCCTGTTGTTACACTAATTCATCAGGGCTGCCTCCCCCCAAGCAAAAAGTTATATCCTGGTCTTTAATCAGAAAATCGGTATATAGTGCGATTCCAAAGGAATTAAATCCTAATATTTGTAATAAAGGCTCAATGTTCAATGAAGCTTTTAATATTTCTGACTAAAGCAGTTATCGTACATTCAAATTTTAGTTTCACCTCTTGCAAGAATTTCAATCAGTAACGCCATTGCCGAAATTGAGAAAAACACGTGTATTAGATTCAGCCAACAAGAACCAACAGATGAGCACGGGGTCAAGTTTGTGCAAGGCAAAGGGTAAAATGTTTTACAGCCTTACTTTCGAAATATTTATTTTGTTTAGCCTTTAAGACTTCTAATGTATGAGTAGAGAATTTTTGTCTCGATAACACTGGAGTAACGAAGTGACGACGTCACAAAAATCTACTTTCAGAATTTTTAATTCTTACATCCCAAAAGAGCATTATGAAATACCCCCAAATGTGAAAATTAGTTGAACGTTTTGCAAATTGCCTGACATATTGCCAGGGATGGATGTAGTCGTAGAATTTTAACAAGGGGGGGGGGGTCTATGAAATACCTAAGTTGATCTTTTCATGTAATCTTGCAACTTGATCATGACGAGGTTTGATGTTTTTTCCGAGCAGCTGAGATCTGAACTTCGGTATCATGGGAAATGCCGGGGGAAACTTCATTGAAAGTAAGAGGGAAAATGTTTATATTGCTCAGGGGTTTAGTGAAAACTGCCACCGTGGTTGGAGCGAGAAAAATTATTCTCAGATCGGCGCTCCTCCGCTTCTCCACTCCTATCTTCGGTTTCCACTCTCGAATTTATGTGGTTCTGGTACACAGGTTACCTTCTTTGTCGCTCGGCTCTCTACTGTGCAATGAAAAAGCTGATAAAGTTTTGGTATGACAGCTAAAAGTCTCAGTTAAAGAATAGGATCATTCAAGATCAATTTTTAGATTGGTTATGTTCTCGACTTATCATATACCCATCATTAAAGAAATAAAGATTGATTAACCTCGTGTCATACACATCGAGGAGTTTTTTGACTGCATAAACGAATCACAGGTCACCTAGAGTCATGGAACGCTCTCCTAAGAATATGACACCCAGCAAAACATATACCTATCCGGATTCTTCATGTCCGCCCAAGACAGTCTTTGCTCTTCCTTTCCAGATGCTGGTCTAACATCGGACGACGGGTGTCACCTGGTAAAAGTTACCAAGAGTTGTCACTTGGACCTGAGTGCTTCTCCAAAGGCATTATTCTTCATGAGCTGATGCACACCCTTGGATTCTTTCATGAACACTCAAGATATGACCGAGATAATTACGTCACAGTTAACTGGAACAACATTAAGCCATGTAAGGATTCATCTTGTTGTCTGAGTGTAACATTGTATACCCAGAAACCTTTTTCCGATTACGAAACTTTCTCAAACTTTTTTACTTTTTTACCCCCCTAATTATGTATTTTATGCAAAATTCCTATTTATACACCCCCTAGTTTAAACATAATTTCGGAAGATCTAAGCATCTCAATCTATTATGATCCCCCATTTTAGGGTTTTTAAAAAAATTGCCAACCCCCCTCCTTCTTAGACCCCCTACAATTAGGAATTTGGAAGTATTCAGAAAAATCTTTGAATTAAGAATCATTAAATTTTCTTGCAGCCAACTACCAACTTTTTGAACTGGTAGACCCATCAGTGAGCGATTTTGGTGCCTTTGCCTATGACCTTAACAGCCTAATGCATTATGGGAACTTGGCGTTTTCAAAGAATGGCAAGCCAACTCTTCAGGCAAAAGGAGACCAAACAAAGATCCTTGGACGGACGGGATCTTTAAGCCAAAAGGATATCGAAAAGATTAATCGAATGTATCGTTGTCAAGGTAATGTTTGACTATGTAGTTTCGTCCCAAGTTGTGTTGATATAATTAGATATTTATCATTCAAAAGTCAATTTGATAAATTCATAACTCAAGATACCGTCCTTTCATTCATTCATTCATTCATTCATTCATTCATTCATTCATTCATTCATTCATTCATTCATTCATTCATTCATTCATTCATTCATTCATTCATTCCTTCATTTATTCGCGGCTTTTCGTGTTACTTTTGCTTCTTTTTGTCATTAGATGTCACAGCAGCGTGACAAACCCGGCACCTTCTCCCCACTATACCCTACATTATTTAGATCCTTGGTACATTTGCTGGTTCACGTTCACTCGCTATTTCGTTCGTTTGATTCCATTTGCTTAATCGTTTTTCTTGTCATGGTCATATATTTTGTAATATGCCTGGCTTTAATTCCAACTCACCTTACGCAATTATGCTGGCTCTGCCTATGCATTCTGCTTTGTTCTGCGCAGAAACCACCCCTGAAAGCAACTGGAGTAAATGGTCTGCATGGGGACAATGCATGGGTGATGGCAAGCGCAGCCGAATGAGGCATTGCAGGAACCTGGAAGCTGCCTTATGCGGTGATGCCAGTGGAAATGGCTTCGAGATCCAAAAGAGACCTTGCTGAGGTAACCCTGTATGTGCAGACAATTCTTTGATATCTATTGAGAAAATTATTTTATGAAGTTAAATTCATATAAAATTTCTGAAAGGTTTCATCTTGCTTTTTTTACGTTTTCTCCCATTAAATATTGCATGCAAGCTTGCTGGACAACAGAAAACCATTTTTGTTTTGGTAAGACTAACGGTCAAAGTTGTTATCAGAGGTCATAAAGGTTAAAGTTGTTATCAGAGGTCATAATGTCGTTTGTGCACCCAACTGGCCAAGACCTGTTCTTACTTGGGTTACCTGCGCCATGTTTGTCACTTCTGATGGATACATTAAATGGAAATAAAACAAAATATAAGCTATAAAGAAAGATTACTCAGCAGTCAAAATCCACCGATGATTCAAGTTTGATATTACGAAAATCACTATGCGATGCCATGCATTGCAACTTAAGGAAAAAACAACTGTTGTTTTTTTCTGTTTATCACTGTTGAAATTTTGCGATTGAATAAATTTGTCAATACAACTCGAGTTATATCTTTCATTCATTTTCTTTCTGTACGAAGCTGTAAAAATTTTTCGCAGCCCAGAAAGTTTCAGTTCCATGTGCCCCGCAACAAAGATTTACTCGAAATTTTTCCTTCCAAAAAATTTGCCTCTCAAAGAAACCTAGCAGAAACAATTCTGATGATTAGAAATTTTAGGCCACTGCTTGTAGAACATAAGGAGAGATAGATAAACTTTTCTGTTCTGCTTACTATATTCAACTCTAAATCTGTCAATAGCAGATTGTGATACTAATGAATACCATGTCACAGAACGTGCAATATGCGCATCGCCGAAATTTGTGTAGCACATGATTGTGTGCGAACAAAATGTGTGTGTGTTTTCAATTCGCTTTAAAAACAATGAAAAATTAAAGACATACGAGAAAATGTAGGTGAAGCGCTTGACTCGGAGCAGAGAGGTTCGTATACCGCTTCACCAATGTAGCTTTACCAAACTCTTGTGCAGTGGACTTGACTTACAGCGAGAGTAGCTATAAAAATAATATTTTTCTGATATTATGATATTTTTCGAATAGATATATAGCTTAATATCTCACGTAATTTCGCTTAAACATTGTTTTTAACATCCGTTGTTTGCCTTGGTTTGCTCATTAACTACAAAACATTGTTTATAATCTTTGTTCACAATTTTAACTGGTAAAGCAGGTTACCGATTCGATATCATTAATGGTCACTGAGGTATCAATGCTAATATGTACTATTTGGTGTTCATTCTTTGTTTTGTTAAAACTGCCACTTTCCGACAGTTGTTGCCTGTGGAAAATTATCCAGATTTGCTGGTTATCTTTGGTAGGAGAACAGTGTGAATACTGGTGGTGCATTCTTTAACAGGCTGGAAGGGAATTATCATATTACGAAGTTTGTGAAATTTTCTTTAGTCGAAGTGAAAATGCTTTCTTTCAAGTACATTATAATAACTGCACTGGTGGCCTTTGTGGGTCTGGGTTCGACGAGTAAACTCTCTGCGGAAATGGCTGCGAAAAGGATAGGTTATACTGCAACAGCCATTCTTCCAGCAAATGGTGGGCCTTACTCGACGGAATCATCGATAATCGCTGCCCTGTCAAAAGTTGTCGGAGGTAGACGCGACGAAGCCATGAATGATTTGTACGCTGCGGTGGCAACCATCACTAATTATATCATTAATGATCGGTTTCTCTACATGATCGGCAAGGACGCGATTGATAGCATCAGCCGCAGCAAAAAATTTGCCAAGACACGAGAAGCCTTTGCGAACTACAACAGAGCCCTGTTCACGCACTTGTTTGAGCTTCAAGATGTCACAGATCGTAAAGAAATACTTGCACAAATAGAGCGAGCAATGTACTATGTCAAAAGGGCTTTTGCCGACGATGTGTACAAACTCAGTGATCAATCAAAGACTATCAAGAAAATGAAAAAGCTTAAAGACTGGGGCGGAACAAATGATATTACAAGCATCATATCATTTGCCTTTGACGTCATATCTCTACGTGTAAATCTACGGTTACTACGCGATGCAATTGACAATCACGAGTCGATTAACGTTGCCGCGCATTGTCTCGGGATAAGCGCAGGAATAATCGGTATTGACGATTTTGTTGCTGCTGTTAAAAGTGAAATCAGAGTTTTGAGCTACACTGGGATGATGGTGGGCTCTTTAATGAATGTGGCAGTTACGTTTTTAAACATACATAACCAAAATCACTTCACTGAAAGTAAGACAGATGTAGAGATCAACTTTGAGAGTAAAACAGCCATCGAGACGTTGGGTGAGCATTCAAAGAAGCAATTGAGAATGCTCATGCTATTCTTATCGAATCAAAAGCTGTTTCTTAACGATATCTATGTTGTCAATCAAGGTGTTTTGCCAAAATGGGGAATACTGTATGGAGAAGACAGGGGTGCTTTGCAGTTTGGAGCATTTAGTAATGGCAGTGAAGGTGATTCCCCAATATACAGAAAAGAGGATAGCTCGGATATTTTTCTTGTGGCTGGCAAGGCAAGGCGTGTTCGAAAAGCTGAGCAACCAAGAGCAGATGTAGAGACCGATATAGTTGGGTTCGATTTTTATGGAACGTTTTCACGTGGTTACCCATACAAAGGAAGCACGGTCATTGTTTCAACTGAAAACATAAACACTCAGAAATACCGTTTAAACAGCCTGAAAATCAATACTTGCTTGCAGAAGCAATGGTACCATCCGAGCGACCATTTGTTGTTGACTGATATGATGAACATTGATCAAGGTGAGAACATCGATGTTAACATGGGGAAGGGGGACGATGTTATAATCATCAATGGTATGTTGGGTCGATTTGAAAACAGCAGTGAGGGTCTGTTAAAAGCTGATCTAGGCAGTGGGTTGAACTCTCTCTCTTTTGAAGGCATGGATCAAAATCGCAAAGACATTAAAGGCGTCTTCTTCGACTCCAAAGATGGCAAGCTGAGCTATTTCCATGGCCCTGATGCAAAACTGCACAATATAGGGACGGTCCAGCCCATTCATATTCTCTTTGGATCCCCATTTAATGATTACATAATTCTTTTCGGTGTTGACAATGGAAATCCAAATGGTCATGATTTCACTGTCATTCAAAGGTCAGGCAAAAATTTCTATGAAATAGACATCGATCAAGTGATAGCATCAGCGCCAAAAAGACGGTTCAAAATTATTGACAACAGCAAGAAATTCCCAACCATCGTCATTAGGACGTCAGGCAACGTAACAAGAAATGAGCTTGTTTTTGTTGGTAATGTCTTCAAGGTTTACAAACAAAAAGATAAGAAGATGCCAATCCAGGCTATTGTGTCAGTGCATGTGATCTCAAAAGACGTTCCAATGATAAAGGTTGTGGATGCATATGACAACTCAGTAATGGATGATATAAAGAGTAACAGTTTAGGGCCAGAATTTGTCAAAGGGTTGAGTATTGAAAGCAAAGTAAGTACCAGTGTTAATGGATCAGAGTTGAACGATGTCTGTGTTTTACAATGCAGTGAGAAGCGCTCAAGCCCTGAGCTGGTTGTCGTTGATTTAGGCCAAGGAGAAGATGTTGTTGTCTTAAAAGATAGCACATTTATGGAACCCTGTGGAATCAATAGTGAGGACTTTAAGGTTTGGTTGGAACCAAAATTTAACAATGGAACTGACGGAGAAGGCAATGAAGAATGGTTTCTAAAAGTAGAAAGAAAAAACAACGTCTTTCGAACGTATTTTTTGAGAAACGTTGAAAAGATTGTGAATGCATTTGGGTCATTGATCGTCAATTTAGCTAATGAAAAACGAACAACTACTAATTTACTTACTACATATATATCTGTGACGTCACATGAAATAGGTCTGTTTAAGTAAGAAAAGGAGAAGCTCTCTTTTTCTCTTTTGAACTGAGAATGTATGCTTTGCGTTTTAGATGATAGGATTGAATAAAATTGTTAGCAGTTTAAAGAGGATATTTAGTTAGCATTAATGCCTTTTAGTGTGCAGCGCACGCAGGTCTATAGAAATATGGACAATCTTATCGCGGATAATTTTTTAGATACAACAATTTGTCATGCTGGGTATCAAGACTTTTTTAAATACAAGCCCAAATCTGTCTGCTTTTAGATACCATAATTTTATTGAGGGCTAAATAAGGAAGTTTTGATGGGATTTTGAAAAATGACACATTATAGCAATGACGTATTTTGGAGGAAGGGATGGGTCGATAGAGCTCTTCTTAAATTGCTATTTACAAGAAGGAAAGAGTGTATTTTGAAGTTAGCTATAAAAATCTTTGTTATTTAAAGTTAGTTAGTTATTTATTGATTGGAGATGTTGTCTCTTTTATTATACGGTCAGAAAACTTTTCTCTAATTTATAGTATGATTGAAACTTGCAAATTTATTGTCTAAAAGTTGTTTGTCTTTTCTAAGAAAGAATTGGCTCGACAAATCAACGGAGGATAGATTCAGCAACATACAGTATATCCAGCAGTATTTTTAATAAAACGGGCTTCTTTTGCACTTTTAGAACGACAGGAAAGTTTATAATAACTCGTACAGATCAAATTCTAAGCGCAATACAAAACAACGAAAGTTCTGTCTCTCTGTTTCCTTTCTGACTCTTCTCTGTTGTGATTCCGAGACCTACTGCCAAAAAAGTTCATTATGTACCAACTTTTGCCATTCTATGCTTACATGAAAAGAAATTTTTTCTGTAGAATAACCAAGCAGACTAAAATGTATCAAAATTAAGTTTCAGACAGACACGTTCAATAATTTGGAGTGTACCACCCCAACAATCCATGTCCCTGTTTTGCGTATACCCTGGTTATCTTATCTGCTCTATAAAATCAAAATTTACAAAAAGTCTTCAACTACGAGAGAAATTATCAAAGCGTTCTTTAAAAAGTATACAATTCTTGTCTGAATGATTGGCTTAAGAGAGTTTAAATGTCAAAACAATCTTGTAACTGAACTACTGGATGGCAAAGAGTGCAGTCCCTAGTAATTTCTCGAAGTAAATATTTTTACTATAGGTGACGCAACCTTTAATAAATTTTGTTTTTGGGAAAAGGAAAGATTACAAGAAATAAAACGGGAAATGAATCTTCCTTTGTTGAGAGAAACATGTCCCTCTAAATTCAAACCCCCAATCAGCTTAGATTCACAGGCACTGATAAAAAAATCAGATCCTCATCACGAGGCTAGCTTGATGGAAGGTCTCACCCAAAGGAGGTTTCACATGAATTATGTTTGGAGAATTGGGAGGGTTCGGCTGGTTGCTGAGAAATTTTGTGTAAAAATGCCTTGTTCGTGGTAGAAAGGTCAATATAGAATAAAAAAGCAACTGCAGCAATATATTTATAGTTAAAGATATTGCCATTTATTGTTTGAAGAGCTGATTACCGGACGATGACGGAATACAAGCTAGTTGTAGTTGGTGGTAAGTACGGGCTTCCTCTCTTTTCATTGTAGGCCCATTTGCTTTTTTGACGAAATCAGATTCGTACCATTTCAAGGCACGATCGTTTTCGAGAATCTTTTGTTTCGATGAAAAGTAATTTTTGTAAAGAAAATCAGAGAAATCACTTTAGATTCTAAGTCTGTTTGCAATATTATCAAACTTGATTTAGTCGATGGGAAGGAAGTGTATTTGCATAAAATATTTCAAATGTTCAAAAATAAGTATTTATTTGAATGTTGCAAGTTTAAACAAAGAATTGAATTTTTGATCTAAATTACTTTTCGATTTTTACGGCGTGACACATTGACTTATTGCTCGCATTTGAAGAATTGGTTGCAAACGTACTCCCAAAAATACGAAAAGCACGTTGAGTTTCAGTAGCCTTCAGAGCCTCACAAAAGTGTATATATCTTAAGGATATAAACGATAACATTTTGCAACAACAAAAAAGATATCAAATGTCTGATCTTTATTACAGAAGTGTTTTTTGCCTTGATGATAAACAGTAGTGTATCAAATGTTTACTTTAAGATATGTTTCATCTCTTGCAGCTGGTGGTGTTGGTAAAAGTGCACTTACAATCCAATTGATTCAAAACCAGTATGGATTTGTTTTTTCTGTCTGTTTTTGTCATTAAGGCGTTTTTATAATAAATGTTTACATACTGTTTTGTTGATGAGAATTTTGATAGCTGAAAATTATAGATTCAAGAAACTTCACTTATGTTCACTTAATTTTGGATAATGGCACAATTTATACATTATCTCTAGAATTACCACACACAAATCTTTCAAACATGTAACTTGATCTGCCTATTAAAAGGCTAACCTAGAGAGTAAAGTAAATGTTTAAACTTTTGCCATGCTAAGTTTAACATTCTTGAAATGGCTAACCAACAAAAGGTTTTTATAACAATGACTCTACAATTCAATTTTAACCTGGAATTGTAAATATTTCAATCAAGCTATGCTTTACCAAAATTTGCTCTTATGACTCTTGTTGAACAGAATCTCAAAGTTCAACCATAATTTAATTGGTTTCTTAATTGTATTTTGAATAACCATAAAATAAGCCATTATATTGAAGAACTCAGTTGATTGTTGGTTAATCAAATGAAATCCCAAATGAAATCAGAAAATGTTAGCTGCAGTATCTAATAATTTTACTGATAAAAGTAATGACAAACAGCTTCTGCTAATATTTCTTCAATACATGTCAATAATGCAAGTCTTAATCAGAAGACTAACTCTTTTTCCAATGACAGATATGTTGAGAATTTTTTTGAGAATAATACGTAGAAGTGACCTGAGAACTTTACATGTGACTCCTATAGTTAAGAAATATTTCATATAATGGTGTCTTCATTGAAGTTGAAAATAATTTTGTTCTAAACTGACAATGCACTCAGTTCAATGAATTATTATTACAATGGCATTCTTTTTAACTTCCATAATTATTCCATACCTAATTATCAACCATAATTTTTTGTAGCTTTGTTGATGAGTATGATCCAACTATAGGTAGGTTATGTTTTCACCCTTTGTTTTTCTTTAAAAATTTATACACAATAAATTTTAATCAAAAGTTTTTGAATCTGCTTGTACAGAGAAAACAGGCAAGATCTTTGATAAATAGAAAGACTTTGGTAACCTGCTAAGTCTATTCCTTAGCTGCTTGGATAACAGTCGGTCTCAAGCAATTAATTAAATTTCAAAGGCTGTGATAGAGGGGACCCATGGAGACAATGCCTCCTATGCTAAGCATTATATGATGTTAATTAAACCAAACTTTAGGTACTCTATGGCCTCTCCACTTTTAAGTTCAAAACAAAGCCCTTAATGTGTATGTGTAATACTATGTAAAGTAAGATGTAAAGTAATGTATCATGTGAGTGACATAGCATCAATTAAACTTTCCTTATCTACCATTATCATAATAAGCAATTTGATCATTTTATTTCAGAGGACTCATATAGAAAACAAGTTGTTATTGATGCAGAAACATGCCTACTTGTAAGAGTTTTATTTCTAACTATATTTAAAGCTTTTTATTCTTCATTTTCCCATGTTGCAAATTATGGTTTGAAATTGAGTGTGAATTTAAGGGGTAGCAATTAGGGTCTGTAGAGGCCTTACCCCTAATAATTTCCCTAGGATTAGATCTATAAACCGACAGACAACTTTGAGATGGGGTTGTATGGTAAATCAGGCATGCCTCAAACCCATACAGAGGAGGCTTAAAGGTGTTGTTTTGTTTACCATTTGTGAAATGCATTTGTAGCCAAGTGAAGAAGGCCCTTTGAAGCTTATTGGAGTAAGGATGCCTCCATTTGCTATATCTAATTGTTGCAATGAAATTATTTGTTTCTAAACATCAAATCAGTTTATTTAAGTTCTTCTTTTTTTAAATGAAAAGAAAGTGTCCAAAAAATATCTTCAATTCAGATCCATCTGAAATTTATCTTCAAGTTTTCTTTTTTTGTCAGGATATTCTTGATACAGCTGGCCAGGAAGAATACAGGTTTGAATTCATTATGAATTTTTATGAAATTTGAAAGATTTAATGGGTTTATGTAACTGTATTTTTTGTAGCTTTGTATGCAGATTTCTATTAATCCAGCCTTTCTTTCTTTTAAGATATAACTCTTAGCAAAACATGAATTCTCTGTGATAATGAAGTATGTTGAAGCTCTTGCTAAGGACCATGAAACTCATAATGTGACCAACCTAAAGAAGCTCAATTCTAACTGCTTTCAAATGAAAAAAACCTGGAAATATATGACAACCACCAAAGGATGAAAAAACTTAAAACCTTGTTAAAAATTATAATAAAATGATGACTGCTCATTGATATTTTGTATTCAACAATTTGATCATTAAAAAAAACAGTCAACAGTAAGAAAATTTAAAACAGTTCTTTATGTAAAAGACAAGACAAACACAAAATCTTTTGTCAAATTTATTAAATTATGTCTCATTTTGTATTTTTTTTTTCAGTGCAATGAGAGACCAGTATATGCGAACAGGAGAGGGATTTTTATGTGTGTTTGCAGTGAATAATAGAAAATCATTTGAAGATGTTGCTATGTATAGGGAACAAGTAAGTTTACACTGTAATGGAGATGTTATTTATGACTGGAGAAGTGAATTCCTTTGTTCAAAATTTTATGGTTAGAATTTTGCTAATTTGACAGCTATGCCACTCAATACATAAATACTGTTGTCTTTTAACGGTGCAAGTCATACAAACACCATTATTTTTGTACAGTGCTCTGATGTTTGACATAACCAATCCAAGCTTGAAATTATCATTTTTAGCACAAGCACTGAATTTGAATTATTTCATTTCAGATTCAACGTGTTAAGGACAGAGACAATGTTCCTATTGTCTGTAAGTTTTGCATCTTTTTCAGCATTGTTTTATATTTGCCTACTTTTCTATAATTTTCCTGGCCTTTGCTCTCTGGATACTAAAAACATTAATCCTAGGGCAATCATTTCCATCATAAGGTCTTAAAATGTTCCTTAAAGGTGTGAATCTTGCAGATTTGTTCCAAATGCAGGTACTCAGACTTGTAGAAGATCTACTTAGTTCAATTTTTGCTTCTACATACTTCATTTTGTTAAGCACTTAATCTGCTGATGGTTTCTCCTCTGCTAACTCCTCTGTTCGAGCTCAAGCGCCTCTTCTTGCAAGTCCTGATGTCTGTCTAGTTTTCTACTTGGTGCCCAGCACCTACCTTCCATAATTTATGAAGACATTTTCATTATGTTAAAGTTGTAGAGAGACCCAGGGCAATATTTTTTTGAGTTAAAGACTGAATTTGTGTGAAACTTTGGAATTTATTAAACCCATAGCTGCAAAACATATCTACAGTTGAAATATTTGCAGAAAGCATCTTTGTGCTTCCTGACTTTTTAAGGTCATGGTAGATTTGTCTAAAAATTTATATTATGGTTGGAATTTTAACAAAATTGACTACTGGAATGCCTCTTTATTTATTATGCAAGATTCTAAAATAAAAGAATAGCTAGGCATTTTGAATCAAATATCTCCAATTGGACTTTTTTAGATGTCATTTTAAACAGAGGCAAACAATAAAATATCTTTGAGCATTCTTTGCTGTAAATCTCGTTGCCTTTGTTCTTTGCATCATAAACATATACTTCTGTCACTGTGAACACAGTCCGTTAATTGTGGCAAGTCACCATGAGTTGTAAGTAAAGGCACAACACAAGCAGTTGACTGTATGAAAGAGGGACTAAGCAATAATTAACTAAAATCCACTATTCACCAATATATCAACCCTTAATCTGATATTAACAAGACATTATGTCTTAATAAGATATTTTCTCTGTTTAGTGGCTGCCAACAAATGTGATTTGCCAAAGCGAGAAGTCTCTTCCCAAGATGCAAGACAAACTGCAAAAGATTTTTCAGTTCCAATTGTTGAGACCTCAGCAAAAACTAGACAAGGGGTTGTAAGTATTGTCTGTCTTTCCTAAATCAGTTTCACTAAAAAGTTTTTGCATGTTAAACCCGATAATTTGCGTGCTAAGAGAAATGAAAAATCTATGCTTATACCAGTGGAAGCAAATTTTGTATGTTTTGATGATTCTTCTTCTATGATTGAAGGCGGTATCATTTTTTTATGATGACCATTTTCGTTTTTTCAGGAAGAAGCATTTTTTACTTTGGTTAGGGAGATTCGAAAGGATGTAAGTTAATATTTATTTTCTCTAACTTTTAATACTTCTATAGGTTTTCTGATATAGGAACAAAGAGCATATATTAATACCATCTAAATTCTCCGTGTTGTTGGCGTTGAAATTTGTTTGATTTGAAAAAAGTCTAAATTTGTTTAGTTTTTCTTATATAGATAAAATTTATGCTAATACTAGTCTCCGTTATTGCTTGTTTTACTTTTTTGTCTTTATTGGTAGTGTCTGATTGCCAATAGCTATTGTTTGGAAACTTATAAGACTGGAATAAGAATTTTGTGATTAAAAACTTCAAGACAGCTCAAAGTCTTTACCTGACATTCCACAAAGCATGAAACATGTGAAAATGACAATAAAGGTAACGATGAGTATCCACTTTCAAGGTTCCCCTTTTTTCCACAGCAATAATATTTTTTGTTGATGCTAATCAATACCAAGCTTATTCGTCAAATTTGTTCAGCTTTGTAGGAGTCAATGTTTATCTTTTTTAGAAAGAGAGGCGTCGCCCCGAAAAACAAAAGCCGCCAAAAGGAAAGTTTAAGTGTGTTGTTTTGTAGTAGTCCTTGCGTCATATATATGTACTGGTGCGTCTAGTGTGTAGATTTTTCTCTTAGCGTATATTCAAATCAAGTGAAAAAGTATTAGTGAAGATATTGTTAATGCCTGTTAGTAATACCAGTATTGTTATTGTTAAAATGCAATGCTCTTGTCGCCGATTTATTTAATAAAGGACAGGTTCGTTGGTGGAGTAGCTTATAAAATGATGAAATTTCTTTTAGATAACTCAGTTATAAAGGAGAATCTTGAGCAAATCAATGTTTTTTTAATTGTTTGTTACGTATTAAAACCTCCTAGCTAACCAGGCTCGATCAAACAGTAGGCAGCTACGTGTTTACGAAAGATATCAGTCCAGCAATGATGATAACATCGAAAGGACAATCCGCAGCGAAACCTCTGCGCAGCGAATGTCGCCTGTCCTTATTCGCTATGTCCGCCAGAGAAGCGGCAAAAGTGGTGAACCCTATGTTTCTATTTTATGCGTTGTATTACAGGATGTGTAGCTGAAGCTAGGTAGTGACAATTCAATGATAGTTTCCTATCTTGTTGCTTTTGATTGGCAAAAAATCAAGGTAGTATTACATTATTGTTTTAGTCAGATTCAGCATAAGTAGTGTGTACCAACCAAGTGTCAAATAGCGCCTTTGATACCCGTTCGAAGTTTATATCTCACGTGTTTTACAGTTAAATAATTTTGACAGATAAAGCAAATATGTTAGCTTTTGTGTCATCATCAGGCAAACATATCAGTCTGCCAAACATTTGATACAGCGAATACAGTGGAATGAATGCATTTCCACCCTCCCCTCTTGTGCCGATTCAACGCTGTGGCTCCCCCCCCCCCATTTCTAATGTATGCAGCCTTCTTTAGAGACGTTTTTCTTCATTTGATCCAACGGAAAATTTCCTTTGGAGTAAAGCTTTTTTTCCTTTGCAATGAAAGCACAGTTTATATCAAATCTTCCAAATGAAAAACGGTTAATCTCACCAAAAACCAAGAACTTTATTCGATGATAGAACTGACCCGGAGGGGGGGAGGGTACTCCTATCAAGGCTTGACAGGAGGTCTAGTCAATTTGAGGGTCTTACCAAATATCTACCAAGTGGCCAGTTTCGATAATAACACAACGGCCCCCACTTGAAAAATGAATTTCCGCCACTGCCTTGACTGGACCCCCTGTTAAGTCATAATGGGAGTAACCCCCCCCCCCTCACTCCCCCAGGAGAACGGGTGACAGCTACTTGTTCTAGGTGCCCGTTCAAATCTCCTCACTCTCACCACTAATGACTATAAACGTCAATCAAAACCTCAACATTACTTTGTTTTTATATCCAATACTTTATTTGAACAGATTACCATTACATGCAATCTGCAAGTCCCTTTTTCGTGCAATTTCTTTTTGTTGTTTGATAATTTCAGAGATTTCATTTTTCGTCATTTAGTTTAGATTATTTTGGTAAACTCGCAACTTGCATCATATCCTTTTTGCGTTATGAGGTTTAAAGTGGCCAAGCCTTGGATCGTTTCTGAGTAACAACAATGTCAACATTATACTAGACACTCTAAAAATCTGTTGACATAAATTGTCAGGTTATTGATTTGCAATATTAATGTTTGTCGTGAGAAATCTTTATTATTTCTGTTTTCAATTTGCAATTCGCATTATATGCTTGTAATGCTAAACTATATTTCTTAACATACCTAGAAATACACATTTTGTTGTATCTTCTTTTTCCTGCGGGTTTCAATATTTTAAGGCCTGTTTCTGATTTGTCCAGTGTAAGAATCTAAATGATGTCTACATGTGTCAGATCGTGTCCTTATCACAGTCGTTTTTATGAACAATTATGGTCATTACTGTGTCATTAGTCATAATTGTCATCATCATAATCATCTATGACATATACATATGAAGAATAGAGGTCCATACACCCATTTCAAAGGAATATGGCTCTTGAGCTTTTTGATAAAAACACGAAGACCTTGCTTGGGGTGGGATAGCAGGGGAGATATCTCATCTAGTACTAAACAGTCAATGCTTGAAAGCCAAAATATATTAATTGTAATTCATACATGATGTTCTGAGCTTAGACAAATCTGAAGGTCCTTCCTCCAAAGTTTTGTTGTAGCACTTAGGATCATATAAAACTGCCATTTGGTGATTAAAATATATTTAAGGAGTTGCTCCCTATTCAAGATTTGTTTAATTGTGGCCACATACTTTTAACAAAAATTTACCAATGACCCCACAATTTTTCCAGGACCTCCAAATGGGATAATAGAACAGATGTTGCTATCTAAAACTGCAAAAGTGTTGAGAGTTCAGGAATTAATTAACATGTTGGATTATTATTACTGACAGTTTTTATGGCCAAGTTGTTTTGTTTCTAGGAACCTGATAATTACAAAATCTTGTAATTAAAAATACAGAACATTAGCACACAAAAATAATTTAACACCTCTCAATTTATGATGTTTGATAAATCCAAAGTTTTAAGACTTTTCAGCAAAAAGTACATAAAAACATTGTTCAATTTCAAATTTGTTTGTGAATCTGATATGAATTATAACTAAGATCATTCTATATTAATCAATAAATTTGTCTATTTTGTAACCAGTTCAAGAAGTATTTGATCCATTAGTCCCTTTTTGCTGCCATTTTTGACTGGATCATTTCACTTTTTCTGCATTCTTCCTTGAATTCTTTTACACTTTTGAAGTAAAGCCTTTCTTGCTCCACAATTTGCAGATATTGGTCATTAAATGTATCACGCTTTATTTTCTCATTCCTCTTCCTCTTTTCTACTGTGTCTTTGTTTTTCAGGACTCCTGCAAGAATATTTTCCATTTGGTCCAAAAATTGATCCTTTGAACTTGATGAAGATTTCAATGCTTGGTCAAAATTGTCATGAATTGATGTCAGTAAATTTACTTCCTTTTCCAAGTAAAGTTTTGTGTCATCAAGGGTATTGTAAAGAGTGTAAAACTGCTTTGTTTCCTTGTGTGTTGCAGCTACCTGGTTATACAAAGCAATGAACCTTTGCTGATACTGATTCAACTCGGCTCTAGCAGGTACATCATCCATCTTCCACTGTAGAGAAGCAATTTCTCTGTTCCTTTTAGCTGCAAGTAATCTTATTTTCTGAAGCTTATTCTTGTCTTTTTCAAGCTGCTCCAGGACAGTCTTAAATCTCTCTGAATCTTCCATGCTATCTAACGCTGACTCTTCTTTTAGTTTTTCAATGGCTTCTTGTAAACGAATCATTTCCTCCTTACAGTGTGCTCTAAACTCTTGTTCTTGTTTCTTCAAATTCTCATTCATAGCCACTAGCCCTCTTAGTTTATCTAATATGACTTTGTTTTGACCTTGTTCTTCTTTTTCCAATTCTATCAAAGCATCCTCAGTGGCTTTTTGTGCCTCACATTTCTCATCATAACTTTTCTTTGCATCTTCCAAATTGCTTTTTGCTTCTTCCCAATCTTTTTGCACCTTTTCTAACTTATTCTTAGCCAGTTCAATTGACTTGTTTATCGCTGCAACCTGTCGTTCATGCATTTGCTTTATATCAATTTTTCTACTCTTCTGAGATCCAGTCTGTTGTAACCCTGCCTGTCTACTTGCATATTCCTCTGCCATTTTTGCAATTTCATCAGACTGCAAGCCAACAATAGAACCAACTAAATGTGAGGACAAACTTTCTTTCATATCTGCTCCAGACATACCTTCAAGAAGCATTTCTAGCTTTCGCTGCTGCTCTAAAAACTCCTCAGAGTCTGTGTTTTCTTGAGAGGCCTTATCTGTCAATAAACCAGCTTTTGCTGCTTTTTCTTGCATTTTCTCCTCCTTTTCCGATTTTGAAGATTTGCTAAGACCATAACGTTTTCCATACTCAAGCAAAGTGCTCTGAACTTGAGTCTCTTCATCTGCATGTGTTAGGTTTTCTGGTTTCTTCAACACCCGTTTTGGTTTATATGTATCTTGAACAGCTCTTACAGCACTGGTTGACTGTCTTACTTTATCCAGCTTTTCAATATCCTGAGGCATAGTATGATGCTTGTGAAACTTCATTATGGAGAATGCCCTTATTTTGTCACCAAGTTCTTCCCTTGTTGCAATAGCTCGCTTTACAAGCCATTGGATAACTGGAAAAATGTGGATGAAATCAAGACCCTGAATTTGATGTGGCTCAATGGGATGTGGACACTTCATCTTGGGCAGAACTGCAACAATTTTCTCTGTAAGAGCAATCTTTTGTCCAATTGTTGAATTTTCTTGAAAAAGCAAGTCAACATCTACGTCGAAATCACATGTAGTTATGCACCAAACCATGCCGCCCACTATTTTGTCAAAGGGAGATAGACCTTTGATCCTGGCACGGAAGTATCCAGCAGCTAAAAGCAGCTCAACTGTTTCATCAAACTTGACTCGTTGCTCTTCGTCTTCTCGAGTTTCAATTTTGCCATCCATTTCTACGATGGAAATGTTTTCTTAAAAATGGCTTTAGTTTCAATTTTAACAGTGGCGTATTTCACAAAATGAGTTCTGCGTTGGCAAACTTTGGCCTACCTGAACTGGAGATTCAGCGACAGTGTCGTTGTTGTTGCTAAAACGGATTTCTTATTGGGGGGAAACAGCCAAGCATAACAAGGAAGGGGAGGGGACCGAGCTAGATGAGAAGCCAAGAGGCAATCACGCTGATTTTAACAGTAAAATTCATTGTCAATTATAGACAATGCATTTTACTAAGACAATTTTAGCATATTTCAATTCTTTTTCATAGATTTAAGGACTTAATTTCATTATAAATGGGCTTCAAAAGAAAAATTATCGGTCTTCCGCCATACTCATAGCGCAAGATATTAAGAATTTGTTAACATTCACTTGATGCTAAGCTCAAGCCATTTTATTGAATTCAATAGCGAGGGATGTAGCACTACCAACAAAACAAAATGCCTCATTGGGGCTTGTGCGCAAAATGCCTCAAAAACAATAGCAAACCCTAGCGCTGCACCCCTGCCTGTAACCACAACTTTCCTTGTTAATTATTTCTACACCCAGCATGTTGAGATTAATTTTACACAAAGTGTAAGATTCCACCGAAAGCCCCCCTTCTAACTCCTATGTCTCATACACATTTGAGTACTAGCTCTGAAAGGTGAAACAAGTTTCAAAATCTGAAATGCCCAAACCATGTTATTCTGCTCGTGCTGTTAAAATTAACAAATGCTTTAGCAATCCATCTCTATTAATTTCAACGAAAGTGTTGAATTTACATTGTAAGTCCCCTAAACATACGGTATGGGGACTCAAAACAATGCCTCATAGTTCAATAGCTCAGCCAGTATTACCGGTATCAGCAAGTTTAAAAATACCTTACTTTCCATTTAACAATTCAAAACGTACACAACTTGTTTTTTATAAAAAGAATACCTGAAAAACAACAAGAAAATTTAGCTGGTTTCATGCGACAATATTTTATTGTGACGATGAGAGATATTTGCTGTTAATAGTTTGAGCAATAGAAAACAAATATAATTCGATCATGTACACGACAATTCTTTCTAATTTATATTTGATGAAATTCCTTTTCAATAGCTTTCATTGAGGTCAATTCTAGAAACTTTCCATTTTGGTGGATGCAATAATGACCATTGACGTCTTCAGAGAGATTATCTAAATTTACATCTTCATTCTAGCCACAAATATAACTTAACTACCAAACAGGTAAAAGTTAGTTTCAATTTCCTGTTTCTTTGCTAGGTGGAAATGCAATAGATTTCATAACTTTACTTCTAATTTGAAGCTTCAAAATCTGAAATAAAATGCTCTATATTTGCCCTCGGAAACACCCAGAAAATTAATTTTATTATTGTTCAAGTGTAAAACTGAGAGACTCGATGTTTAGCTAATCTTTGAAAATAATGTGAGAGAATCTTGCAAATGTTTTCAAAATTAGAGTTGATCTTTATCCTTAGTAGAATGCCCCCTCAATTGTTACAGCGGCACAACCCACGCCCTGGCTTTACAGTATCTGTATTACAATGACGGGGGTCTGAATGGTTGGCCTCATAACGATATAATGTTGATCGTACTAGATCGTACTAAAACCCAGGTGTCTGGATTACTTGCCCATTGTCTGATTTGCTTGTAATTTTGAGCAGTTGGACCTGCAAGCTGCTGCAAATTTGAGCTAGACCTGGAGGTGACGGCTTTGCAGAGTACTCGTACTTCTCTTTTGTGTATCTACTTCTAGGATTGCTTCATCAACGTGCGAATAAATCCAACGTAATATCATGGGAAGTGACCTAAAAGGCCTAGTTAGGCCTAACGGATCATCGTAATAAAATTTTAACTTGAAAAGACTACACCAGGACTGCCAAAAGACACAAAGTTCAGGATCAGGTGAGATAAAACGTTCTTTTTTAAATTTTTGCCTTGCAGTTGAAAGTTTAGTTCCACAAGAAGTTGTATTTTTCAATAAAATCCCTCTCTCGTCAGCCTTTAGGTATGTGAATGTCTGCTATTTTCTTGTTTGTCTTTTTTTTTGCAACATATGGATGTGATCTAAAGTTTTTTTGCATACATTTACCATAGTATTTCAAAAGCAAAGGAACAATGTGGAAACCAGGAGTTGGCTCGCGACCATCAGTATCTCAAGAAACTGAAAGGGAGAATTTAATAAAAAGCCCTAGTTTGTCAACAGAAAACAGCTCAATCAGTAGCGATTTAGGAAATTTAAGGCTCAGCAAAGGTGGTTCAGAAGCAGATGAGTCATTTAGTGGTATCGGGAGCCCAACTAAAGAAATACCAACTTCTTTACCTGGAAAAGATTCCAGGAAGGGTGGGAATGGTGAGAGGCAGGTTATGATCGAAGTTAAACCTGGTGGGGCTTTCAAACCGCCTGTGAAGCCAAAACATGGACATGACAGGAGGAAGGTGAGTTTAATGATTAAGATAATTTCTTAATATTCATTTAAGTAACACTAATTACCTTATCTAATAAATTTAGATTAACCATTTATTTCAAATAATCCCTGGGTTGAACAGGTAAACATTTGAATCAAATATTTACAAAGGATTCAATTTTTTAGCTATATCCTGAAATTTTAATACAATGTGATGATCTGTTGGAACTTTTTACTTTTTGAAGACATAATGAAATATGCTGGCTTTTATACAAACCAGATGTTTTTCTCTGTGAAGTATTATTGATAACTTGAATATAATATTGAGTGAATCAGTGACTATATAGAATTTCTTCATGTAATGAGTTTTTGTAGATACACATATAGATAGCAGTTTTTTATAGATACACAATACTCTGAAACCCCATGCATTTGGTAAAAATGTCAGATAATTTGGTAATAATCGGTTATAATTGTTTGTACTTGATACTAGGCTAATGCTGGCAAATCTTTTCTTTATCAAAGTTAAAAATCTAAACAATGTCAAACAAAAAGCTCTCAATTGATCAATGAACAAGTTCAACTTCATTATTATTATTATTTTATTATTACTTTATTATTATTATTTTTGTTTTAGGGAAGTGTTGCCAATTAAAACCTTACTATGTTTGATGTATTTTGTTGTACTTTTGGACTGACTTAAAACACATGGGCACCTAAAATAGTTTGTTGGCATCTATTGTTGACAAGTAAATCCCAAAACCTTATATAATACATTTAAACTCCTAATCATCCTGAGAAGCATTGAGATGCATTTGAAAGGTAATGCGAGAGAAGGAATTGTGTTTGATTGTTCTGTGTTTTTTGTTGTTTTCTTTTATACATTGAAACTTCTTTGGTTTTTATATCCTGAATGATTCTTTCCTCATACCCTTAACAGTTGGACCAAAAGCACTTGAGTTAACCATCTCTGCTTTTCCATGCAATTTTAAATTGTGTAGTATCAAATGCTTATACTTAATTCCAATTTTAAGTGTAAGGATTAAGTGGTTGTTAAGTTGTTGATTCACACCCTGTTACACATACTGAGTATTTCAAATTTGCCTGCATCTTATTTCGAGTTAAAAAGGCACAAATACAGGGACATCTGAATCCTTTTCAAGTTTGAGGGGCAAAGAAAGAAAATTGTACTTTGTCTCTGACCAAGGACACTTTTCAGAAGTCCTAAAGCCGAATTCACACTAGATGCAATTTCTTTACCCTGCTCATATTAGCTTTGTGCTTTTGATAAAATACATACGCAACACATTTTTCAGCAATACGTCATGATCCATCAAAGTTGGATAATCAAACTTTGATGCTTTAGAACATTAATTGGCTTTCTAAAAGTTGTTAGGAAAAATATCAACAAGGAAGGTTTGATCTAAGCAGTTAAAAAATATCTGTGTTTATAAAGACAAGTTTTTGAGCTTGCTTTGAAGTTTATAAATAGGCAACTGACAGTGAGAAATAGCTTGAAGAAGGTAGTCTACTGCAGTTACTTTTCAGTATTATATGATTTGGAAATGATATGATGACTATCACTTTTTTTATTATTAGCTCTATAGATAAAATTGATCTTTGAAGTCCTACAGACTCAATAGTTTTCATTACAAAGGGCTTTCTGTGGCTGCCAGTGAAGTAGCGGCACTAATTTGAGTTCGCAAGGCCAAAACAAGCAGAAAATGCTTAGTCTCTGTTTTCTGGTGCATTAGATGTGAAAACCTCAATGCATTCTTTACACAACATAAAATTCTGCATTGTAAAGCAAGGTATTGTGATGGCAGGCATCAAGGTGCATCTAGTGTGAATTCAGCTTGAAAGGGTCACTTTTGGGAAAAAGGAGAATTTTCTCCAAAAGTCAGGGACATGCCTGGTGCCCTTGTCAAGGTATGCATTTCTAGAGTTTGGTGCCCTTGGTGTCCCCTAGTTCTGATATTCCTCAACAAATAATAGCTGAATACTTTCACACTTTTCTAGAAGCCTCTTTCTGTATATGATAGCATTTTAGAGCAGCTTTAAATTTGGCAATGTAATCTTTAGAAATATATCTTTTAAGACCCAAATGCCTCTTTTGTGACTGAAATTTTTTACTTATTGCCTTTTTAGAAAGTGCCTGCATAATTATAGGCATAAGTGCCTGATAAGGGTGCATAAAGAGAGACATATTGTTCTAATCTTGAGACAAAGCATATATTAAGTTGAAGTTATGATAATTTCATCATCAATGTTTTTAGCTCAAGCAAAAAAATTAGTATTGTTTCTAACTCACGTATTCAAGGCAATATGAATTTTGTATTCACCAGCTATGGTAAGTAGTTTGGTCTTCCACCGTCAATTGCTTGTCCATGTATTATAAACTTGTTTTAATATAATTAGGTCACTAATTTTTTAATACCTCTTTAAGTTCATCTCATTCATGCATGCATAAAATAGTGACATGTAATCTTCCTAGCCATAAACTTGTAAATCTGGTTTTATTTCTCATTGTTTATTAAGATAAAATCTTCCCTATTTTAATCCAGGCTTAACATCAACTTTTAATCAATTTTCAAGCTACTCTTGCTTAGTTCTAATACTACATCAAACAATAGCAAATCGTAAAAGGAAATGAAACAGAGAATTAGTGACAAAATACAGATAATTCTTTTTTGAAATGAAAACGTTTATTTATACTTGAAAAAAGAATTGGGGGATTATCATTGCTGCCAGCAAATGATAAGATTTGTTTTCTAAAGTTATCTTGTCAATATAAGAAAAGATTTTATCTTCTTAACTTGAAGATACTGTCTAGATAATGGGCTCTTATTACTTGGCACCTGCTACATGGGCTGTTAATACTTGACACTTAATTACTAACTGCAAAATTTAAAATAGTTTGTATTTTAAGTGGATGAATTTTTATATATGTAATAATTTTAAGAGATGCACTTTAAATAGTTTTAGCAAAGAAAATTGAAGAGCTAGAAAAGAGCTAAGGAGATCCGTTTCATCCGGTATCACCTGTCAATATAATTGATTTTTGCCGTCATCAACGTAATTGATTGATTGCTTTGTACGTCGACCCTACATCAGCCTTGATAGCTTTATATATTAAGAGATTTTTGAATCAATTTTCAACAATGCTTTAGGTTGTAATTAGAGTCATCACTTTTGCAAATTTTAATCTATACGAAAGTACGCACTGATTTATCACGTCAATTTTTTCTGGTCTTGTGACTGGGCTCAGAACGTTCAAAGGCGATTTTTTTGGCTGTTTTCGCTCCTATGAACACGCTCGGTTACTCTGCGTAGAGACTCCAGAAGCTATTAGGAATATTGTTACATTTAACTAATCCATGAGAGAGTGTGCAAACCTATATATGTTTATTCATAAATGTATGGCTATCCAAGGGAAATAGTGAAGTTTGTTGCAGCTGGCAAATCAAGCGACGAGATTTAAAATCGCTTTATAAACTTTCTTGTATTCTTTATGAGATATAAGTCGATCGGTCTTCCTTTTCTCCCTGCTTGAAATAAATGCTAATGGTTATGATGACGTCTGAAAAATACGAGCATGACATGAGGCAACTGTATCAAAGCCTGGCCGAAGCTCTTTAGAAGGGAAAAAGCGGCTGGAGAATTTGCCTGTGGAAGTAACTTTACGAACATTCGGTGGATTATATGTCTGATCAGTTGAGATTGTCATGTGCAAAGTAAGATCATCATAATTCAGAGAAAGATTTTTAGCTCAATCGATGTACACTTGACAATTTCCGCTTTGAAAAAGTAGGCGAGAATGTCTAAGTAACCTGAAGAAGGGTATATTTCTCTTGGATATACGTTGGTTTTTCCCTCCAGATTTTGAGATACGCATTCTAGAAACGCCACTTTTCCACAGATAATGTAATTGAAAACTTGCCAGTCTTTACGACTGAAAACTTCAGACTGGCTATCTTCCTTTAAGTGCCTTTCTGAAATCGCTTGCAGATGTCTTGACTTTAAATCGAAAAAAACCTTCAAATTATGAAATTTGTCCTAATTTTGAGCAAGATTTCATTCCATTTTGCTTTTTTTAAAATATCTCTGGCTATTTATGATCTCGAAACTAAATTGAGGTGTTTATAATTTTAGGAAATTGTCAAGTTGATAAATAAATGCAAAGAAGAGTCATCACATAGACTTGATCTCAGCAATTTAGGGGTAAGTGCTTCTAGGTTATTTGAGTTCGTTCACGTTTAAATCGCATAAAATCATGTATACCATCATGTTCATGAAATGTAGTTAGATACTAGAATGTGTTTAGAAAGGCATTTTGGTATTCATGCTGCATTAACAGGTCTTTTTGGCTTTAAACGATTTTCTAAGTTTGAGGGACAAAATCTTGTCAGTCAACCGTTCACGGAATCTAGTCTTTGAGAATTCATTCGGATGTTGTGTGCTCGATTGTCAATTGGGTCGCGAGAACTCCATACCACACCACCCATCGACAGCTCTAACATAAACTTTAGCCATTGAGAAACTTTTGATTTTTACATGATCGATATAATGCATAGTCTATAACATTTGGGGCTTAAACGCCCCTCCTTACATCACACCCACCTCATCCTTCAGCAGCTCTTTAATGAACACGCACACCAAGCTCTGTCCGTTTTCCATTTCAGTCAAACACACTACCTGTCAAGGAACTGAAAGAGGTTAGTCTATTTTGTCTTTTATTCCTCTGTGACAGATTTATAAGGCTAAGTATTACTACTTTGAGGACCAAGAAGTTTATCTTCATTATCTGATTTTTTATTTAATGTTGCTTGAATAGTAATTAGCTTCGTGTAAAACCATTTTATCATTCTGACGGTTATCTTGAATAGCAATTATGATAAATAGTTTGCATTTTACTGTGCTCCGCGTTAAGTGATGATTGAACGAGAAATTTGTCTCTTATTAACTCAACACAATTTTTTATTTTGTATTTTAGTTAACGAGCTTACGGGAACTATATCTTTATGGAAACAAGCTTCTCAATTTACCATCTGAAATTGGATTACTGAAAAATCTCGAGTGTTTGGCTGTTAACGAGAATATTCTGACAAACCTACCAGGTGATATACTTGACCTAAATGCATTTAAAACACCTCGTTAACTGCACATTCAGAGCTGTAAAATTTATAACCTTAAAGGTATATAAGATAAGAAGAGTTGTCGTTGCTAAAGTTAGAATGCCCTTCCCAAGCTTTCCTACCTAAGCTTATTCATTACCTTGTTAAAAGTTAAAATTTGAAATCGTTTTTAGGATAAGAAGACATGTGCTCGCTGATTCTCTTTAACTTCCTACTCCTTTTGCTCATTTGTGTGTGTTTTAAAAAGCGTTTTCCATGATATCAAAAGTTTGGCTTTCTTCGAGAAGCAATAAGCTTCTATTTCTTCTTGATGTCTCTTTCCAAATATGAACAACTCAACAAAAATGCCAAGATTCTAGGTCGACTTTCCTTTATAATTTCCCTTTGTTTCCTTTCTGCTATCAACATTTACCTAGAGCAGCAGTTTACTGTATTTTTTATTTGCAACTTGCAGAGAACTTGGAATGCCTGACAAAATTGAAAGTGCTAGATTTACGGCACAATAAACTTACAGAGGTAGGTGATTGTTTGTTGATATGTTTTTTTCAAATTAGGGAGGCACGCATTTTATTTTCAAATTTTGAAGAGAATAAATTGTATGCCACAATGTCTCTTTATTTGTTTCTATGATGAAAAACAGAAAATCTTGCAATGCCGCTGACTTTTTATTTTCCCAGGGTGGCACAAAATTCGAAATGAACAATATGGCTATAAAAAGAGTCCATATCATTCTTAATGTGTAGTTGAAGCATTCCAGTCTCAAGAATATTTAAACGAAGTTCCTTTTGATAGAGAATCTGTTATTTTAAATGGAGAAAATATGCTGCTTTTTAACTGTTACCTGAAAATGTTTTGTGTATCTAAAATCGCCTGGGGTCTTCTAAGCCTTCCCTGAAAGTCCTAGAGAGGCTTGAAGCCTGGACCCGGAGCATTGCTTATGATCACGTGATATTCTCTAATAAGTTGACAATTCAATTGATCAGCTTAGGCAGTTCATTTATCAGCTTGCTATAATCTTTAATTGGAGCAAAAGTATTTGGCGTTGTATTTTTAATAACGGCTTTAGAAAAGGCAAACATTTTTAGAGATTTTAAAAAAATTTTACCTCTCACTCTTCAAAGTAATAACGAGGGAATAATAAATCACTCCAAGAAAATCTCGTACACCTTTTGTGAAAACCCTATTGTTTTATCTGAAAATCCCTGGAAATCCTTTTGTTTTAGGGAAAATCTCGTACGCTACTTCCAAGAGTGAATTGCTCCTCGAGTAATAACGTCAGAACATTTTCGTCGTGTTTTCGATCAATGTTCTAATATACCCTGATAATGTCAGATAGAAAGCTTCAGTATACCATAAAATGTTTGCTTTTTTCAGAGCCATCTCTAATTATCATTTATCATTATAAATGTTTATGATTTATATTTGACAAAGTGTTTTTGGCTTAGATTCCAATGGTCGTTTACAAGCTGAAGTCGTTAACTACGCTGTACTTACGATTCAACCGCATCTCGTCAGTGGAAAATGATATTGGCGACCTCACAGTATGTTCTATAAGATATATTTCTAGTTTTGTTATACTGAAAGATGGGTATTACAAAGAAGGGGGGAGGGTGCAAGACTCTGGAATAAGCCTATTTTGGCTTAGAAGTAAATAATATATGTTGTGTCCAGTGGCGTGACGGAAGTATCTGGGGCCCTAAGAAAAAACAGAGACGAGGCCCCATTTACGGACGGCAAGAAGATCCCATCCAATGGTGCAGAGCATGTCAGACACAATGCGAAGATGTATAAATGACAATTTTTTCTTTTCTGCCGAGTTTACGGGGGAGCTGGGTTATAAAACTTCAATTAAAGATAAGGCTTTCAACTGCTCAAAGGGATTGAACATATCAAAGGGTGTTTATCTTTTCCCATCCATATGTTTACATATTCAGTTTCTAGTTTATGGTCTTTTATCGTGTGTTTTAGTTTGGATATTGTTAAGGTGAATTGTCTCAAGCTCCCATTGGTAGAATGAGTGCCCCCTTTACCCCGGTTAGCAGTAGATTCCTTTTTTGCGTATAGCGATACAGAAATGGGTTAGGTGAATTGTCAAAATATTCTAAGCTTTCAACGATGCTATTTTGACTCCTAAGCGTTTTCTGTTATGTCTGAGATAAATTTGATAATTGCAGTTAGTGTGATTTTGTCTGATTGATTTTTGTAGTTGCTAACGATGCTGAGTCTGCGTGAAAACAGAATTCGTGAACTACCCTCAACTATCGGTAAGTCTAACATGTATCGACCATTGCATCGTTTATTGTTTGTCGTGTGTCGTGTGTCGTGTGTCGTCGTGTGTCGTGTGTCGCAATGTGTCTTGCGTCGTGTGTCTCTAGTCGTGTGTCTTGTGTTGTGTGTCGTGTAGCCATTATCACCGTGCCTTTGGAAGAAGGGGGAAGGAGTGGTGGTTGGAGAGAAGACATACAGAGAAGATAAATATAATAGAATAAAGACAATCAAATGTATTAGTATATGCGAGATTTATATTTTCTAAAAACAAAGAGTTCAGATTAACAGGAAAAGATTATGGAGACAGAAATATCTTTGACTTTGAAACTTGAGTTTGAAAGAAAATGGTATTATAATTGTATAAAGTTCTCTACACGGACCGCGGAGCATGTTAAAGATTGAGGGGGCATGAATGTTTTTGGGGCTAAACATGCTAAAAACAAAGAGCAAGGCAATTTTGTACGGTTTCAAGTAGATTTTGGAATTTTTGGTGAGGGCTAAAAATTCTCACAACCAGTTTGATACGGCGATACAAAAATTTTTGATATGTTAATAATTATTTTATTGAAATGTACCTGAACTTGCAAGTGATTTGCTTATGGCTTATATGTGTATAAAACTTTCCAAAGAATCATCTTGTATTTGGCTTTTAGCATGTTTGACCCCCAAGAATAATTTGTAGCCCCCCCCCCCCCTGATCGGCAATAGGCTCCTCCATCTTGGTAAATTGCGATTCCTGCTGTGTATAATGATAGCATTTTTTAATGTAAAGTCAACGAAAATGGGAAATGAATGCGGTGGGAGGGTTGAAATGCCCTACAGTTATGCAACTGAATACCATATAATGGGAAACTACTCTGAAGTTTGACAAATAAAACTTTTTATTTATTCCTGCTGGTTCTTCTTTATAGGCAATTTGGTTCATCTTGTTACATTCGATGTCTCTCACAACCATTTGGAGCATTTGCCACCCGGTAGGTAACGAGGAATTCAAACTTTGAATAAACCCTACCCTGCTTCAGAGCTTCAATGAAGGAAATGGTCGAACACCCACGCTAAATATATCCTAATACAAGATTGTGTTGCTAGAATTGTTAAGAAACTTTTATTTTGCTGACAAAATTTATACAGTTGTGCTATATTGAAGTACCATTTTTGAAAGAAAATCCGAACTAAAAGGGAAATTTAAAATATTCTAAAACATAGCAAGTACATATTGAAAATAATGCAATGTTGTTTGGCTATACGTGTTATGCAGGTCCCGCACAGAACTGATACTACCGTAAACTGTAACTTAATGCCACTAAAATTTGGGATTCATATAACGTTGACTAGAAAGCTAGGGTTTAAGGAATTAGTGATGCAAAATACAGAACCACTGCACAAGTACCCAGCTCTACTTCTATGAAATGACTTGTATGAAGTTTCCAGTATTGCCTCACAGAACTTGTTGCTTGCTTCATAGACAACACAAATGATCTTTGATAAGCACTTCAAAAGTTAATATGATGGAATGTGCCTACAAACTGACTGCTTGCAGTTATTAGAATATTTCAGATCACGACTATGCACTTCTGATTGATGCCCCTCCTCCATTACATGTTGTTCTCAAAGGCTTTGCTCGAGACTATGTTTTGCTAACTCTTCAATTAAGGAATGCTCCTTGTTGCTTTCAGTGAAAATTTTTCTGTTGTTCAAAATTTGACATTCTTTATATTTTACGAATTAGCAATCTTGCTCTGCCATTTCTTTCTCATTGCTAAAATTGTCATGTAAGATCGTTTAATCATGGCGTTAAGATAAGCGTGGTTTGATTTAAATTTATAATCTTCAGCCTGCTTGGTTATTGCCTGCAGTTTCTACACCAGTCTCTTAAGTTACTAATCTCGTATGTTCATCTTTTCTAGAGATTGGCAATTGCGTTCAAATGAATTCGTTAGATTTAGCCCATAACGAGTTTATTGATTTGCCTTCAAGTATTGGCAACTTACGAGCTATGACACGAATCGGCCTAAGGTGAGACTGTGTGGCCTAATCATGCAAAAAGTTCACGTATTGGCAATTGTAGACTGCTTTTGAATCAATCAAGTTTTTGACAATGACAAATTTTTGAGATGCCGTTCGTTTGGTTAAAATGTTTGCTTTGATTCCATTTTGATAGTTTTTAGTTTATCGACTTTATCCCCTTTGTTTATATATCTTGTGTACTCGTTTTAGGTACAATCGGCTAACTTCGCTTCCAGACAGTTTATGCAACTGTGGCCAGTTAGAGGACCTTAATATCGAGAACAACAACATCACTAGTTTACCTGTAAGTTTTCAGATTGACTGATTGACAGGCCAGGTGATTGGGAATCTCTGATAGGTCGAAAAAGATCTGTCAATGTAAAGTTGTAGTCTTATGAACCAATCAAATTTCTGCTATTATACACGTGCTTCTGATATCATACATAGCGCACTTGCTTTCAGAGAGAGATCGATTTATTAAAACTTGACTTGTCTGATTTAGTTCAAAAACATACATAACATATAATTACAAGCACAATCATGAGACGCATATCTATGATATACATGAAAATTCATACAGTATTTAAACCATTACTGGCCTAGTTCGCTGTATTATCCAGTAACGATATACTCCCATTCCCTTTTTAACTGTAATTAATTAGTTTTCAGCATTGTGTTTCTAAACATTTCAATTCCATTTTTTAATAGCAAGGACTCCTGATTGCAACCCAAGGACTGTCATCGTTAACGCTTTCTAGAAATCAATTTTCGTCTTTCCCCAACGATGGACCAAAGCAGTTTGCATCGATCTGTGTAAGTTCATGCGATGGTTTCTACTGATCTTGTCTGTAATTTTTATGATTTGAAGTGATTTGAAGTGATAAGCAGTGATTGGTTGGTTGTTTGAATCCATTAGTATGAATAATATTTATTTACCTTACAATGTGACGTCATTAACTGTTGAGTTCTATCAGCAAATTTTTCAAACTTCCCATATTAGCAGGGACGGATTTACTTTCGGCTAATTTTGTTTTGATTCGATAAAAAGCATTTTTTGGTGTTCAGTAGTAACAAAATAATGCACAAATTTACTTTATTCATCTTCTTATCTTCTATATCTTGAAATGAGAAGCTTGATTTTCAAAATTGGCATTTCCTTCATTTTCCAGTCACCTCAAGCCTGTGGCACCAGAATTCCAATCATTAATTGACCCCCCCCCCCCCCCGCCAATTCTTGCCGCTTTAATATGTCTCTGCGTATTAATCATGTTGCAGTATATCCTTGAGGAATACTCCACTGTGTACCGCATAGGTCACATCTTTTTTCGTCAGAATGGACTTGGGAAATCGGGCTTTTGAAGCCTATTTTAATCTGAATTAATTTGGAGAATGAGACACGGAGGCAATGTCATTAAGTTATTGAGACAAGGAGGGCACATCTCTCACCTTTTCTATTTGAGTTTAGCTTATTGAGTTTATTGTATCTTGAGCAAGCTTGACCTATTCATCTAATATTCTTTTTCAGTTGATCTTTTCTTTTTCATTGCTGATATTTTTTAATTTGATTTCAGTCTTTGAACATGGAACATAATCAGATATCCAAGGTGCCATTTAGTGCATTTTCAAGGGCTAAATATCTGGTATGTGGATTAGCTCTGTGCATGCTTGAAAAATAATTTTTTACCGAGGCCATATGGCTTCTACTGCATTATAATAACCGACCGACTCTCAATGGCAATTATTCAAGAACGCTGGAATCTTAGATACTTCAACCTTGCTAATGCTAAGAGAGTTAAACAACTATCATGTAATCGAACTTTCTAAGCCTGCTGCTTTTTCATAATTTTCTTTCTCGGGATCTCTGATTCGCACATTAACCTACTCTTTTCTATCTCTAGAGTTTTCAGAGTTCACTTCAAAAATTTTAGCTGGCCTTAGCTGTCTTGTTCGGTTAAGAATGAATGCACTTAGTTTAGTTCGATGAAGAATTCAGTTGTGCTACAGATTTTTTCAGCTTTTGCTTAGTTTTTTATTTGCATTAAAAGCAGTCTGTCCCACATCGTTCTCAGAACTCCTTTTCGTTGCCACGATATTCATGGATTGGTGGTTTAATGCACAAATAACCAAAAACAGCCACCATAGCATCCTCTCCCTGAGCGAGTTGCTGTGAATTTAGTTTTGATCTCAAACGTTTCGTTTTTTTTTGCCAGTTTTGATGATACAAAGATTAGCGTTTTCTGTCGTATTCACCCACAATAACTATACTAATGTCAGATGCTAAAAAGACAGAAGAAGGCAATCACGGTGGGGACAGACTGCCTTTTAGTGCTTCAGTGTCTATTTGCTTATCGATATCGTGTCTGTATCGATCCTTTGATTATACATTCTCACAGGTACAGTCCACGAAAGACCGCTTACACAGTTGAGTGTTGAGTTCAGTTTTTTCAGTATTTTTAGTAAGAAATTGATGTCATTTGTTAAAGTTAGCGTAGAAGTAGGTTAGATATGACCGAAGTTTAGGCAAGTTGCAGTTAGCTCAGTTTGTTAGAAGAAAAAGGTTTTCCAGTTCTAGTTACATCATAGATTTCAATGTTTTTCAGCTGAGATTAACACTGTGTTTTTGGCTGTGATTAAAACTAAGATTAAAACTAAGACGGAGACCAATGTAGCCCATTAAAGAACTAAATTCTACGCTTAGATAGGTTCGAAAAGTATTGCACCACTTCGACGAACGAGTAATGGCGACGGAGTATAGCTAAAAAAGTTTGGCGACAGTGCTGCCATTTTGTGGCGGGTGATGCAATGCTTTTCGAACGTAAGTGTAGTATCTTAAGGTTTTGATTCCGAAAACTCAAACCATCCCAGCACTAGTTGAAATGGTATGAAATTGTAGCTTTGTTATTTTTGTATGTGTTCGGCTTTCTGTTTCTGTTTATGTGCCTCAAAGTTTGCGTAGATTTTGGCTCTTTATGTTTTTCCTATATTGCATACATCAAGCGTTGTCTTTTTCTTTGCTCGGTGTTTTTTCGCTTTTTACCCATTAAATTTTATAAATTGGTAATTTTATGATGTTAAATGTTTCAGACGAAAGTGAATTTGAAGGACAACAAAATATCTTCATTGCCTTTAGGTGAGTCTGGTAGTCGTTTTCTTCTAGAACTTTCAATTTAACCCTTTAACCTTTGTGTTTTTACCTCTCACTCAAATTCTTAAAAGTTGCAAATATCTCCTCTAGTATCTTATTGATAAGTAAAATTATTTACTTTACCTCATCTTATAATGATATTCGTTGATTCGGCCATTATATTCCTTATTGAATGATTTTAGTAACCTTTGACCTTACCACTAGAGTTGACTAGAAGTATTCTGAAACACTCAATTCTTGTACAAAGTGAATGGATTTTAGCGTTCTCTAATTGTTTTAAAGACTTGGGTTTGTGTCTATCAATTCCTTTTAATCTGAAGTTGCTTCAATTGGAAAGCTAATCATGTCAGACTATAATCTAAGTCTGAATTCTTTCCATTGCGTTTGCTCAATTTTATGGACTTATATGCCCAGGTCGAATTTTGCCAAGTTAAAGGTAACTGACCCTGACATATGCCACTTGATGTAATTATTTTATTTAACTGTTAAATGTGATATCATGCTTTTAGATTTTGGCAGCTGGGTCAATCTAGTTGAACTTAACATTGGGACGAACCAGCTGCAAGTCCTTCCAGGTAGGCGTTACAAGATTTAATATTGTATATGTATTCAGTAGAAACATGCAGTTAACACAGGCTCTCTTAATTACAATAGTACACTTTTCAAGGACCATCTCATATCAAGGCAGTATTAACAGATACTGTAGACAAACTATAACAAACAAACTATAAAATCATGTTGGTCTTGTCTTAGGTTGTAGCTGGCATCTTGCAAAATAGTTGAATCTTCGATTCAATTAGTATTATGCAAACAATCTTTTGGTGGTACAAAACTTGGAAATGGCTTTGAAAAAAGCAAACATTTAGTAAACTAAGGCTTTTCGTCTGACACTCTTCAGAGTTTAAAACGTCAGAACATAGACCGAAAACTCTACGCTAGGAAATATATATATACCCAGTTGTGGATCGAAATAGGCCAATAAGAAACACGAGCATATGACTGTTGAGTTCCTCAATTGATATTGAGTATTATGCAAGAGTTTCTTAAATGATACAAGTGGATTTATCATTGTTGCCAATGTCAATTTGACAATGTGAGGTCCCAATGGTTGACGCACTTGAGCTATTGAGAAGATCTCTTCTCTATTTTGCCTTTTGTAAATTATTTCTGCTTTTTAAACTAATTCCTTATCCGTAAGCATTCCGTTTCTGAGCACGCTTCCAATGATATTTCAAAAACTCCCTATCTTGCAATATTTTTTTGAAAACCAAAAGGATTTCTGATCTTGCCAATTAACCATTTATTCTTCTAAAAGTAGTTCTTAACTTACGGTAATATTGACAAATTTATGTATCATGTTATGTTCCGTAATACCCCGTTATGTTCATGCTGCTTTTTTAAAAGGGAATCTCTTTTATTTTATCTTAGACGATGTCCAATGGTTGGTTAATATGGAGGTGCTAATTTTGAGCAATAACCAGCTGAGAGTTAGTATTTTCTTTTATGGTGTATTCGCAGTCGTTAGTATTTATCGCTGTTTTTATTTTGTAAGTGCGGTTGAAGAGTTCTACTGTATGCTTCAGAATTAGACCACATGATAAGTCCTGTTATGTATTGCATGTAAGTCTGTTTTGTGTTACATTAAAGTATTGCATGTAAAAGATTGTGCAAAGATTGTTTGGATTTCAAGTCTAAAGAAAAGTATACTAACTGGCGTGCTCTACAACATATTGTTACAGTGTAAGAACGAATTTTATAATCGACGTTTCCAGTATAGCCCAAATTGAGAAAGGTGCCTTGATAAAGGAATCTTCTCTAACGATAAACTTAATAGCATTGATTAATATTGTTTCGCCCTTCAGCGTATCCCACGATCAATTGGCACTTTAAAGAAGCTCAGGGTTTTGGATTTAGAAGAAAACAAGATCGAGTTTTTGCCTTCTGAGATTGGTGAGTCAATGTCCACTTTTTTACTTCAAAGAAACAGAAAGAAACACTATGATCTATTTTGCAAGTAATTAATAAAGATATCCTCACAAATAATCATATCTCGATGGAAGGAAGAGAAAAGTGTACAAAACCTACATCTTATCTACATCAAAACTGTTACTTGGATAGAATCACTCCTAAAGAAAGCTCAAGTTTTTGAAAGTGATGTTATGAGATGGATGACAAATTACAAGCTAAGAGGCCGCGTGAAAGTAACAAAGCTGAGGGAAAAGACAAATTAATGCCCATAACACATATCTTAAAAGAAAGAAAATTGAAATTGTTTGGCCACCTGAAAAGAGCAGGTAATTTAGCTAAAGTAATTTTTTGGGGATGCACGGAAGGAAACGGAAAGAAGGGAAGACCAAAAATGAAATGGAAAACATTACCAAATGGACAGGCATGAATTGGAACGAGATCAACATGGCAGTAAAAGATGGAGGAAGTTGGAGAAACATCGTCAAGAAAAGCTTATATCCATGAAACTTCTTTTGCTTATGCGGAAAACAAGTTTTTATATATATATATATATATATCTATATAATCATTTTCTTTTTCTTTTTAGAGCATCTTAGAGCTCTCGAAAAACTCATCCTACAGTCGAATAAATTGACAACGTTGCCGAGATCGTTAGGGTAAGTTTATTCCGAACGTCAACTGCCCACAGTTAAAGATATGATCTTCAAGACAAATTCTGCAAGATAGTACCAATGGAATAATTATGACATTAATTTGTTTCAATATAACTTCCATAATTTGTCGCTAAGTAAACGCTATCGTTTCATCTTCTTTGTGACCTGTAGCAACACTGGACGGGCTGTTTTCAACTGTTTTAAGATGTTCTGCAAACAATGTTCTACCATTTTTTTCTCTTTCTGGTTTTTTTCTTTTTCTCATAACAGCTAGCGGATTTCTTATGTCAATGGTGCCGAAAATGCGTGCGAGAATCTGTAATTTGTGCGTATTCAAGCAAACCTACATAGCTTGACATAATTTTTTATCTGCAGCCATCTGCATTCTCTGACATTCTTGAGCTGTGGCGAAAATGATGTGCAGCATATCCCAACCGAGATTGGTAAGTCCAGAGATATTGTTGGCTTAAACCAACATGACTAAATATTCGATCCTAAGTGGCCATTGGCCAAGAACTACCATTGTAGATATCCTTAATTTTTTACATTTTACTAAATCCTTACTTATTTCAGTATTTTGCTAGGTGAATGTGGCGCAAAATCAACAAAAAAATAAACAGTTCTTGGTTTTATACCAACTGTCAGTTCGGTGTAAACAGTGGGAAAATCTTGCCTGGGACTATTTTGTCACAAGCTTTAAGTCAGTTGCGAATGGCCACGGGGTTGCCTTGTCCCATGTGGTATCTTTGGTGTACTTCAATCGTATTTTTGTTGCAAATTTTTATGAGCATTGAAATCAGTACGACAATGTCTTGAACCTCACAAGGGTATGGTGGGAATTAATTTAGGAGAGGGGAGCTAACGACAAAATTCCGACAAAGTATGAAAGTGCTTGAAACGCACCGGTTCCCTCTACCACAAGCCTCTGCTGTGTGTCTTTGGGGCTTTGTATTGTTGAATATTGTAAGATATTTAAGGGTGAAAAACTGAAATGATATTTTATTTATTGTCTGTGTTGCCAAATAGGCTTACTTTGCTTCTCTTGAATATTTCTTATTGATAGATGTATCAGATTGTCGTTTTAAACAGGTATCATTAAACATCAAACAGAATTGAAGTCATTTTTTCCCAATTCCTAGAAATTTTGTTAACGGTCACCTTTGTCCTAAGAAAGTCTGTGCTATAAGAAAGTTATTTGCTATTGAGCGCATCTAGATAGTACTTAAAATGAACCTTTGTCACAAAGTGCAAGTGATTTGTCAATTTGTTTCAAAATATGCATACAAGTACTAGAATTAGTTCTGGCATACCCAGTGCAATAGATGCTAAGAGCGTGCAAGGATAGAAATTCGTCGAAATCCATGGTTACCCAAGTCCTCAGAAGACATGGTACGTAGATAGATAGATAGATAGATAGACTGGAATTAGCTTTCTGCTCGGGTCTACTCTACAACTTATAATGCTTTCCTTTAAATGTTGCTTTGAAATAACGTGTGTTTCATCTTTAGGAACGCTTGAAAACTTGGAACAGTTATACTTGAATGACAATGTCAATCTTCATACACTTCCTTATGAGCTGGTACTATGTCAGTCACTTCAAATTATGAATATTGATGGCTGTCCACTCACAAGCATTCCTCAAGAAATTGTAAATGGCGGACCATCTATAGTTATACAGGTAATGTATGCCTTATATGAAATGAAGCTTGATAATACGGTCTTCGTTTAAGTGCTTGATGTATAGGGAGAACTATTCATGCTTCGGTGCGTACAACATTGCAGCTCTATGTTGCGATTCCGTGCTTTCCGGAAAATTCTAAACATGGAATCGGTACACTGACAGGACATTGTACTTCAACATAAACACTAAATTATCTCATTAGAAGCAGAAGAGGCTGTATGTTTCCCTGATGGCTGAGAAACTAGCCTGATATTGAAGAAACTGCTTTTGAAATGTGCTACCTTTAACTGCGATGCCCGTCAATCAGAAGTGCGTGGTGAATCAGCCTCTATCTCGTTCCCAGCTCCGTTACGGGGCTTTGTATCATCGGCTTTCCGTCATAAAACTATGCAAGATATTGCAAAATGCTTCCACAGTATTGGTATTTTCCCAAACTGAATGTATCCATAGCTTTAGAAACTCACAATTCATTAAGTGTAGAGAAATTCGAAGTATGTCTCTTCCTTAGAAGCCTTCAAGAAAAAATTTAGATCATGCTAAGTACACATTGACCTATGGAAGCAATGCTTTGATACGTCGACTGTAATTCATATCAAAGTCAGATGTATCACTCTGGTTACTGTTTTTCCAGTCTGTCATAATTTTGGCTATGCCGTATAAAGCTGTACATGCTTTGGTATATAGAGCTGGTTGGCTCTTATTTGAAACACTGAGTTTCACGCTTAAAGGCAATCTGTCTCGTTGTGGATTGGTTAACGAGAACAATAGCTAGAACAATAGCCTAAACACAATTCCAGCGCTCCGCCATATTTTTTACAATGCGATAAATTAAAGGGGGACTGGAAACAATAAAAAACCCTTTGTTCTTATAATCAATCAACGTTGTGACAGATTGCCTTTAATGCGACCATCGTGCTACTTTTAACTACTCTCTGCTCTGTGTGGGTATTTTAAATATATAATCTTATCGTGTATGTTAATTAGTTGATATGATTGAGTTTCGATTTCGCCATTTGCTTCATACAAACGTGGGAGATAGGCAATATGGTGATGTAGAATCATCTCGCCAGTTTTTTTATTAGACATTTGTGTTTTTGATGCTAATAAAGATTCCCTTTTTCATTTCAGTACCTAAAGATTCAGGGACCATATAGCGGTGTTATTGGCAGGGCTTGATTGGTAGGAGAGCAGACGTGTTTTTACGTATGTGCTTTTTGCTCATTTGACAATGAAAAGCAGAGCATTGCTTTAATGCGTAATTGTATGACCTTGAGATAAAAGTTCTTACTTCCCACCGAAGTCTTTCAGCATCCATTTTCAACAACCAGATTGTTAAAATGACTAACCAACATCAACTAGCATTTAATTATTTTACATTTATCTACGTTTTAATCTCTAGAATTATATCTCGAGGGAAAGGTTGAAGTAAGTTTTGATCCCTGCCAGCTTGTAAACTCTTCCTTTCATTAGAAATGCGGTGGCGCTCCTGGACCTTTCTGACGGGGGGCGTGTCTGAGAATAAACTCAACTATACAGAAATGCAGAATTTTGCTGTTGAATGTAGAAATTATATTCAAAGCTGTTTATGTTGTCATGTTTAACACAAGTGATGCCAACAGATGTCAAAGGGTATGTTTACACCTTCCCAGTTCCCAAAAAAGTGACATTTTGATCTCAAGATAGCAACACTCAAGATTTTTAAGATCTCGAGATAGATTCAGAATTGTGCCTATTTTTTCTATTCTAACGATTTTATTATCCTACTGAGGATGTTGCCAAAACATTAATATGAAGGTTACGGTGTGCCACGTCCTTGTCCCCCCGTCAACTGAGCACCTGCAGATACATTTCCTTCAGATGTCTTGGCTACGCTTGTTTTACAAGGAACCCCTTAAGATTTTGTAGCTAAGGAATGAAATTGCATATTTGTAGATATTTCTGCCCTTTAAAAAGAGTTTTCATTCGCTTATTAGAATTCCTAGCCACCTGAAATTTTATTTTGGACGATAGTTATGTTCAAACTTCCGTCAATCAGAGTGCATTAACTTAAGATGAGTGGTACATATTTTGTGCCCCGTGTCCGTTTGTGCCCCGTCGCCTGGGAAGCAAAAGCTCGAGGATTCTGGCATTTTAAGCAATTCAACAGCACCAAGATGATATAGCAAAGCCTTGCCGTGTAAAGAGCTTCGCTATAAAAAAAGTCCAATTTTACGTTTTTATTTATGAAAATGAAGCAAAACACAATTTGTTAGACAACAATTTACCATTTTACTCTTCTCCTTGAAGTCCCCTTCGAACGCGCCCTTTTTCTTCTCAAAGTTCCGTATCTGAATCTCCTTCGCAGGAACGTCTTTCAGCATAATAATATTGCTATGCAATTTCCTTTTTCAGTTAACATTAAGTGGGACATCATAAAACTAGCACGATTTCACCATTTGACTTACTTCTTAAATTTATAGTGTGTCTTATCCCCTTGTAATTATTCTTTGTTGATGTGCATTGTACGGACGCTGGAGATGCCCAGGGGGCAAGGGAGTAGGTTTCAGGATAAGGGCATTTGAAAATTATCCCCAATTTCTACCATTTATTCGTAAATAATATTCTGCCGTAGTCATCCTGAAAAGGGGCTCGCCGTTGACACAGCATCGTCGTTTGAGTTTCGTCGTTCTAAAAGCAAAACTGAGTGTAAAGAGTTCAATCAATCAGAAATTCATATAAGTTTCCTTGATAATTACGAAGGCCATGTCATTGGCACTTTTATCAAGATGATACTTTTGTCCCCCTGTTACCAGTACCCATCATCACAGGCGTCTCTGGTTTTTGTAATGTTCATATATGTTCATTTTGTATTGCCGTTTAAATTGTTGTCTTTTTCTGTTTTGTTGTTAAATGTATTTTGAAGCGGTAAAGACCCTTAACATTAATTAAGTACTTTTTTGTAACGAAATATTTTATTTTTGATTTGCCTTGTATGAAACGTTACTATTTTATTTCATCATTTTGCATTGCATTTTACTTCATTGCAGCCATTTATATGGTATATTGTTATGTAAATTTTCATTACTGTAGTAGCAGGCTATTCCATTAGTTCATCAATAAAAGGATACACTCTTGCTTGTTAACACAAAGCCAATTTTTTCTGATTCATTTTTCAAAATGTGGTTTCATGATATGTCACATGTGTCAGGTCTCAGGATATGTCACAAATTTCAAAACAGTCTTATAATGCACAAGCATGCAAGGCAAGACTTGATATCTTTGAAGACTAGACTTGCATCTTCAAGCCACCCTGCAGGAACTTGCATATAATGTGTGATTTTAAAAACAAATGAAACATTAGAGGGCGGCAAGCCAAATGGCATTGACTATGCCCTTAATCCAGAAAAAAATTATCCGGAATTGTGGGTGGTGTCAGAATTTTACCATTTACATTACGATGTTTGAAAAACACAGCGGTTAAAAACTTTGGTCATCCTAACGCATAATAAAATGGAAATCCATATATATTACTTATGCTCAGTTATTTGATGGTCTTTGAATTGTTGTTATTAAATGAAGCACTGAAGAAGTGATCATAGCAAACCTGGAAGGGGACAAATAATTATCGGTTGCTGGAGGCTCGCATACAAGGATGGTGTTTCTGACTTTGATACATTTTTTACAAAAGATAATTCTGTGTCTGTACATAAACTGAATTTGCAGTTGCTGATGACAGAGATTTACAAAACCAAATCAAATATCACCCCAAGCTTTATGAGTGAATTTTTTATTGAGAAAAATTCCCCCTATCATCTAAGAAGCAAAAATCTTCTTCAAATGCCCAAGGCCCGGACAGTTCGGTTTGGAATGGAGAGTATTTCTTTTTTGGGATGTAAACTGTGGCATGGAATCTCAACTGACATTTTTATATCATCCCTCGTCAATCTTTACACAGACGCAGGTTATTAACTCGCTCTCTGGATTCAAGATGTACTAGAAGGCGTCAAGCCCCACGTTTAACCACTTTTTATAATCATCTCGTTGCAGTTCTTTATTATACACCATCAAATTTATGAATTTTTGGAAACGTTTCTGGAAGATTTATCCACTTTTGTGGCCTCACTGCTACCACTCCCCTATTCGCTCATAAACGATGGCTTACGAATGGCTTACGAAATCCCTACTGCGCATCTTGCTGAAATCACAAAATACTATTATGAAAGTATGCATAAATCAAGGGGCGCAGTCAGGTTGGCAGAGGGCTACAGCACCACCACACTCTCGAAAATTTTAGAAAATGAGCTCTTGCTGCATACCCTTGCCTATATCTCGTTGTTTTGTAACATCTATTTTTTTGCTCTTCGATTTTCTAATGCAGCCAATCCGCCTATTTCTGGCACTGATTGATGCTATGCTATATTTGCTGATTAAAATATCGATGCCTCTATACGTTTTTGGGGCTCTATAGGCTCCAAGCCTTTCATTCTTTTTTTGTCATATCATTATTACCATAAATTCTCGAATTGCTCCCCCCTCTCTTATAAGACCCCGCTTCGCCTGGCTGGGTACCAGAGCGACATAACTTCGAGAGCTCTGGCACCCAGGGTAACAAAATTGTTGATATACTCGAGTAAGCCCTGCTCGACTAAGCCAGTTTCGGTGATAAATAAAAAAATCAACGGAAATTGAAAAGCTGAAAAATAAAGGGTTTGTGCAAATTTTTTGTTGCGCCATCGATTTGCCGACAGTGGCGTTTATAAGTATTTATAAGCGCCTGGAGCAGTGGCGGTTTTAAGGGGGTCTAGAGGGCCATGGCCCAGGCCCCGCGCTTTTGATAGCCAAAGGGGCCCCACACCAAAAGAAAGATAGAAATTGTAAAGAGCAAGGGTCCCGCAGATGTTTTTGGCGCCGGGCCCTGCAGTCCCTAAAACCGCTGCTGCCCGCAGGGGCTATTTCAAAGATTTACAGTATTTATTGTCATTGCGTGTTGAAGCGTCGAGCGGCGCAAAGCATCACTTCTATAGGCAGTACCAAAGGTGGCAGGGACATGTTCCCTCCACTCAGGGCCGTCGAGAGACGGGCCGGGCCCCAGGGCTGGGACTGTCATAGGGCCCCACAGTCGAAGGCTGCAAAAACCTTTTTTGGGTTACGCCCTTAGCAATGCAGTTAGATGGACTGTAAAAGGCATAGATTTTGAAATCAACGCCCCTGAAACACTTGAATTTGTATTTTAAGGTCTTTGACAGAATATGTAATTAGTGACTATATAAAACAAATCATTGAAACAAATCAGTTTAAAAATCAGAGTTAATTTAATGTTTAAAAAACTGCTTTCTTGCTTTCCTCATGGCGAAGTCCTTAATCTTTTCCCACAATCTTTTCCAGCTGTCGTTCGCTCCCCAACCATCAGGAGAAGCAAATTTTGATTTTGAACCATTATTAATAGTGTGCCCAAACAGCCTGCATGGCGAACAATAGAATGCAGCCTTTGTAGGACTGAAAATAAGTCAGCTTCGTCTTACTACCTCCCCATTTTGCTGCTTCACATTAAGGACCGTTGTTGGTAATCTGTGGCCGTCGCAATCTTTGGGAAACTCTGGAGGATGAGGCAAATGACCAGTTCTAACAACCTTTCTAACTCCTTTATCGTTGGAAATCCGGTCAATGTGCCGACATCAAAACTAGATGATCCACTATGAACAGTATCTTGATTTAATGATGAATCAGTAGTGCTTTCTCTACTTTCTGTGGTGTCAGGGTCTACCGAAGCAGCCAAGCCGTTTGTGTCTTCTTCAGCAGTGCTTTGAACAGAGCTTTCACCAGGTTTATTTAAAGTTGAATCACCTTCCTTGTCTCTTTTGTAAGCACCTACCTCAAACAATGTGCGAGAGGCTTTCTTTGCTTCTTTTTCTCGCATCTTTTTTCCTGCCTTTTCTGAGCACCAGACTTGTGCCTGTAAGATGACATCGCAGGGGTTGGTTGGATCGTGATCCCGCTTTGTGATTTTTATAAAGACTTTTATAGCGTTTGGATTTGTCTTGGTTCTTCGCATGTGCTTTTTCTCTGGTGTACGCCGTGAATGGAAGATTTACTTTTACGTTTATAGGAAGTCCACACAAGGAGCAACTAAAACATTTGACCTAAAAGTAGATATATGTAAGTGCAATCGAATTTTTCGGCTTCCGGAGAAGTATATTATGATCGTATCGTCAATGTTTTAATTATAAACCTTAACAAGAAAAGGCCCTCATCATAGACCAGCTTGTTGATTCTGTGTTGAAAGATTAAATTTCGAATATCAATCGGGTCATGGGCCCGCCCTGCCAATGCTGCTAATTGAAAACTCATAGCCAAAAATACATACCTTATTTTCTACGGGCCCCTCAAGGCCCCGGGCCCCCTGGTAACTACCCTGGTTACCCCCCCCCCTCTCGATGGTCCTGCCTCCACTTTGAAGCCCCGGACGCGGCCTCATTTTTCGTTGGTGGCCAGCCGCGGATTTTTTTTAAGGTGCGCATGCCCAATGTTTAGAAAAGTCGTCTTCCTAAAGTCGTCTAGGCCCTCAGCGGCAGAAACTGGGCATGGTGTCATGGAATGCTGCCTCCTAATCACCATAATTGGCTTTCTTACTTGATTATAGGAGGTGTAGCATTATTTGCTGCAATAGTTTCATTCTGTTTATGGGCCTGCCTAAAGAACGGAGGCAAGGAAAAGAAAACAAAGCTAAGAAGAACACCACGTTCCAAAAACAACAAGAAGTTGGGACGATATAAAAAACTGAGCGAAACTGAAACTGACCTCTCCAGTATAAAGGAAGCTGAATCTTTGGGAAATCGAGAAATTTTTACAAGAGAAAAGGTGAGCCATAGTCGTCAAGGCAAATTCAGTATTAAATTCACAGCATGAACCTACATAGGATCAAAACAACACTCCAAGCTGATATTTGTGATTTCCCAGTTAGCGAGGTCAATTTTTTGTCTTCGTGTCTAAAATGGATTAAAGGAATCTTAATGTTCAAATCAGTCTGTACCGAAAATTTCATGTTGTTTGGATGGCTTTTCCTATACATTTAACTGGGATGCTTCTTCAGAACGTAGTGCTTTGCGACAAACCGTCCAATCATGGATGGAAAAGTATCAGACCCAGTGGCGTCGACATGTTTATGGTGCATGCATGTTTGGGGTGCATTTTTGAGCCACTGTTCAAAATCATTGACATACAGGATGAAGAGGAGCGGCCCCAAGCACAATCCCTGGGGGATACCACATTAAACAGTTTGAACAACTAGATCTATGACAATTTATTTGACAGTACTGTCTTCTGCCGTTAAATACGATGTGAACCACCAAAGAAATGTCCCTTCCACTCCGTATTTGGTTAGTTTCAATAAAAGAATCCTGTGGTCCACCGTATCCAATCTTTTTTAAGGTCGAGAAATATGCTAATATTAATTCTATGCTTGTCAATGTAAGAAAACCATGAATCTGTCCCCTAGCCCCCTAGCTCTACACTCCAGGTTTAAAGTCAATAGAAAGAAGGCCTCACATCAAGCTAAACAGCAGTTGCCAGTTATAGATGATCTTTCTCTGCCTGCTTTGTATTTGTCTCAGGCATGTCTCAAAGCAATCGGGCAAAACCCCCCAGCCAGGGAAGTTGAAGTCTTGCAGTGTGTACCTCCCTCGACTCAGGCATAGCTGACCACTATGGCATTATTTTGATTAATCAATTTGCTGCTGGTTATTCGTCAGTTGGTTAAGCTTTAGCCTGAGTTTCAGATAAGATACGGTGGCTGTGAAACTCTTTTGCCAGGCTTCTGCTTTTTTAAGTCAAAATCATAAAAGGTGGATAATGTGGCTTTATTCTAGTGATATTTACACTTTTACAATATTGCCTGGACATGGTGAGGATTCTACTTGGATGTTTGTTAAAAAGTGTGCTTGTGAAGGTAACTTCTAGATAGGAGCACAGGACCCTGATATGCAAAGAAAAACAATGGCATTGTTGACAACAGCAATACATTTTTATTGCCGCTATAGCTATATCCCCGTATAGAAGATTTACAGGATGGCACAAATGGTCAATAGTTTTTGCTGAAAGCTGTGCGAACTTCCTTTTTGGCAATGAGACAATAGTTTTTTGATGACGTTGAGTTATCATCAATTTGTGGCCACAAGCAATAGAAATTGGCACACTCATCACAGGAAAACGGGCATGCCTTGCATAGCAAAAAAGCTATGGGAAAAGCGTCTAAGGGGCCCTTTACATGAGACCCGAAACGAAACTCATGCCGACACGAGTTTTCATGCCGGCACGAGTTTCATGTCGGGTGCTGGTCTGAGCTACTGTTGTGATTACATGGCGTTGACCGAAATGAAACTCATGCCGGCATGAGTTTTCATGCCGGCATGAAAATCTCATGTCGCTTTTTCGTGCCGGCATGAAGTTTCACGCCGGCACGAAAGTGTCGTGTAAACAGATCAGTTTTTCATATCGGGGGGAATCAGTGATAAAATCGCCTCCGTTGCACAAATGCTGCATTTGGATTTGGTGAAATGTATGGCCTAAATTCTGACAACAAGTCTGAAAAAAATTCCCTTGACATTCTAAAGTTAACTTGCCATTCTCCATCGCTTAAAATTTCATCCCAAACATTTAACCACCATGCACTTGTGCGACCAGGCTTTTTCCATTGTCGTCTTTTTTCCCCAAAAATCTATTTCTCATGGCTCTGTATCGGCAAAGGGCGCGATTTTTATCTTCAACCGCAGCTCTTAACTTTTCCTTAATTTCTTGCTGTTGCAAGAATACCTGTATAGCTAGAAGCATTTGGCATTGTAGCGCAATGCAACCAGTTGCAAAAACTAGATAATTGAGGACTGTGATCAAAAGAAGTTTCCTTGGATCCTCTGCTGCCATTTTAAAAATTTGCTCTCAAACTTTCCCGCTCTTTTTTGAGAAGCACGAAGTCACGTGAATATAATGCGAAAGAATTCGACAGTTTCATGTCGGGTTTCATGTAACGGCGAGCAAATTTCACCGAATTTTCATGCCGGCACGAACTCATGCCGGCATGAGTTCATTTCGGGTCTCATGTAAAGGGCCCCTAAATACGTTTCCCTTGACCCTTTTATGTACTTATTCTTCGTACACAAAATCAGAATTTATATAGAAAGACTCTGAAACTCCAGAAAAAAAGAATCTCTAAAATCAAGAAAGAGTATCAGATAAATAAAATCAACAAATCAGTCAGAAATGACAAATGATTAATCTATCATAATACCAGAAATGTATTTAATATGAGATGATGTAAGGTATTAAACTTGACAAACTCCTGTGATCAAGTAAAAGTTCCTTTGAAATCAGAGTATAAATGTATTGAGTCAGTAGGGTTTTTAAAAATTAACAATTTTGTTGCTTTGTAAACCATATCAGCAAACTATATTGTAGTAGCAGCATACTGCAGGATGTTTTGTTTTTAAAAGTTAAAGGAAAAAACTCTTATCTCTGTAGTCAAATGCTGAATAGCCTCAGCTCATATGTGGTTGTTATCTTGACTGCTAGTTTGCAGCACAGATTATTTCTGTTATCTTGATGCTACCTAGCATCCGAAGGTAGTTTTTAGGACACTGAGAAGCTATGCTTATCGAGCAGTGTATTGGTCCTTCCTCTCCATGTGACCACACCTCGTGATTTCTATGCCTGGAATAACAGAGAGCTGGCGACTCTCCTCACTCTGGGTGAAAGTTTGGTCCTGTCAGGGACTCGAACCACGGACCCTTGGGTCTGTAGTCTGCGCCTCTGACAACTGTGCCATCCTTGCACCCCTAACCATTGTTCCACCCTTGAGCCCAAACGACATGAAGTTTTCAGTTTGGACTAATTTCAACATGAGAATTTCAGATTTGTGGTCTATTTTTTGCATCAGCTGCAATAACAAGATGCAAAATCTAGGTAAACGATGACATCTAGGCAAAGTGCGAAATTGTCATGTTTTGAAGATACCTAGGAAAAACAGCTGTTCTATTCCCCAGCAGCTTTGTTGGCCTTGTCATTTTCCTTTTGTTAATTAAGATCTATTTGTTAAATTATGTTGAAGAAACTCTTTCTAAAATATGTCTCTTCAAATGAGGCAAAAAGACCTTTATTTCTATTAATAAATATCAAATTTAAAATTAGAATGTCTTTCTTGAGTTATGAAAGAGTTTGATCCTCCATATTGGTATGATGTTACTTGTTATGTGTTAATATGATTTATCTCCAACATACAACAATGCAATTCACGTTTGGTTTCTTTTTTACAAATTATTCTTTTCAGAATAATACCAAGAAAAGAACAATTGTGTCTGAAGTTTTACACCGTCTTTCTATTGTAAATGACAGCACAAATGATAAAGAGATCATCTTTGGTCAACAGGAAATGGCTAGAGATAAACCAAAGAAATATGGTGCAAGCAAAAGACGTTTTTCAAAGAAGTCCATGCTGGGCAAATGCACATCACCTAGAACAACCAGTCCAGAAGAATCAGATAATTCAAACGATACTGCAAGTTACAAAACTAAATCTGAAAAGGCACTAGGTTTTCCAAAGGAGAAAGGCGGCAAACAAAGCAAAAAATTCAGGGAAGTGGATGAGAATGTTGAAGGTGAAAGTAGAAAGCCTTCATTAGGATGTAAGGATGAAGCACAAAAAACAGTGTATGGAAATTTCACAACACAACCAAAAGGAGGCACCAAGAAGAGGCCAGACAAGGAATTGTATAAACCACCAAAAGCAAGGGCAATGAATCCTAGGAAAGATGTGAGGGAAAATGAATCAAGGACTATGGATATTCCAGTTACTGATCTTAATATGTTTTCAGAGTTAACAAAAGAAAAGCCAGTTGAGAATTTCCCTTATGAAAGTCATCAATACAAACCAGCATATAGAGATAGAGATGTCAATAGAAATGAAGAAAGTCTGAACATTGATGAACACAACGATATATTACCAAATTATGAAAACAATGAACATGGTAGAACAATGGCCATAAAAATGAGAAATGGTTCTGTTGAGAATTTAGAGGCAGCTACAAAAAGTTACCTTGTTTCTGACCATAGCTTTAACAGGTCAGCAACAGTCGAATATTATGGTAGAACCAAAGATGGAAATACATCTTTAGATGTAAATATGAGGCAAGATGGGTCTTTAGATTTGTTGAAATCCAACCAGAAAGTTTATGAGCCCAACACTGACCCACAAACTTTGGAGAAAGACAAACTTGTTATTTTATATGAAAAGGCTCATTCGTCTAAATTGAAACATCAACATCAACAAAGATTGGAAGAAACCAACTTAAACAGAGTATTTAATAAAAGTTCAGTAAAGAAGCTAAAGAATGTAGGGCCTGCAATTTTCATAACAGAGCATGCTACAAGGGAGTGGAAAGGGGAAACTGTTAAGGCAGATAAAATAAGGCGGGTATGTCTTTTACATTATATGTTATTGTAATTTCATATGATAAATAAAACTCATAACACCTTGAATTTGTGGTATGAGGTGAATTTGTTGCATAATTCAAGGTAAGAGGTTAATTTAGAGTTTCTGTTAAACCACATGTATGTCTATGAATTTTCCAATTTTCAAAGCTAAGCCTCTCAACTCTCACATATATCAGTGATTGATGGCATAGAAAATGCAGCTGCCTATCACACCTTGCCTTACGAATGGCTCAATAAAATTTTCTGTAATTATGGGCCATGTATTAGACTATTCATCCTATAAAGACAGAGTCTTAAGTTGGAATGAAATTTTACCACTGTTCAAGTTTATATTTTTTCAGTCAAAGTATAACCTCTTCCTCAACGAGCTTATTCTTAACTTGTCTGGTGCAGTACTGGATGTCCTGTGGATTCTTTTACTCTGCTTTTTGCTATTTTGGTGATTGAATAAAGTATCATTTTGTTAGTTTGAAAGTTTTCACTTATTAATTGAATTTCATACAAGGGTTATGCAAGAGTCCAGGATGAGACAGGGTTGGAGTGCATACGAGTTATAAGAGGTGACAACTACTGTGCCCTGAGAGCTGTCTTGTTCCAGTCACTTTCATCTGGTATTGATATTTTAGCAAATTTCAGACATCTGGAATCTTTTAAAGAGGTATGGTGTAAAATATGGCAGCATTTTATTAAAAGCATTTTCTACTTTAGCCTATTTTGCACAGGAACATAAAATTAGAATGCCCTCATTGAATAAATAGAAAACAATTGAAAAAAGGGATGATGGTGAAACTCAAAATTCCCCTTTGTTTTGTTGTTAAAGCTTTGTTAAAATACTCTTCTATAGTCATTGAAGGTAGAAGATTGATGTGCAATTGAGGTTAAAAAAGCCAATTTTTTGTGTGATTTTTACTTTTGCTTAGGCTCATTTCTTGTTTGCATTTTGTAGCATTATCAATCATATCATGAAATGCTCTTTTACTTTCTTAACTGCTTTAGCTTCCAGTATTGTTGGCAACAGAAAACTTTGATTGGATAGAAAATTGGAATTTTGCTGGAAGGATGAATCTTGAAGGCTCTTCTGCAGTAGAAATTTTGGAAGAGTGTTTAGATTTTCTTGATAAAATAGTAAGTATATACTTTGTTTTTCATTGTAAAATTTTTTAATGAACAGCATGAAATGCATGATATGTTTAGTTCTGACTACTCTTGTTCCAAAATGGCTGTATGGTAAATGATTTTTTTAACTCAAGTATTGCTTAGATTTTGCTTTAGGTAGAATTTGAATTCTTGACGGAATATTCACATTTTATTCCCCTGTTTTAGGTATATGCCTTCGCTATTTTATGTGTTTTAATGTTGTGAGCAAGGTTGCAGTTTTCTAAAGAATGGGGCTGATTCTTAGCTGTCACATATGCAGTTTCATTAAATCTGAACCATTTATTTATGTGACTGTTTTATTTTAAACTATCCTTGAATTTTTATTGATATTTTCATTGATTTATCTTGCACGGCTTAGCTAGAAATTTCTTTACTTTTTTGATAGGTTAAAAAGAGTATGAGTTGTTATCAAGACACAGAAAGGTGCGAAATGATTCTTCAAATGATGAATAGCTCTGAAGAGGAAGAAATCAAAATGTTTGAAGCAGTTAAATTTCTGATGCTGTTCAAAAGTATGGAATATTTTAATATGATGCAGAATGACGAGGATGTAAACATATTGCCATTTTTGTTGTTTGCAAGAGACACTTCAACCAATCCAGAACTTTTTATGGCAAATCACCTCAACCACGTTGGTGACAGTTGCGGGTTAGATCAGGTAGAGTTTTAAATTAATTGCTTTTTTTACGCTTATCAGTATCTGAAATCGACTTTTTTCACTGGTGGCTGCAAGCGCAGTGGATTTAGCAATCAGCTTGGCAAGGTAAAAATATAAGGTGTTTGAGTTAGATTTTTAAACTCATATCAAATTGATGGAAGGTAGCTCCCCCAAAATCCCAATAGTTTCCAACATTGATTTTCAACGAGAGAATGTTTAGTGATTATAACCTTTGTTACAAAGGTTAGGTGGCTTGATCATTGCTATCTGATCCGAATTCCAGAAGAAACATAGCTTTTTTATCGATCACCTTTGTCTTAGACCCCGTTTACACTGTCCTGTGCAAGTTTGGAACCGTGACAAAACTGTCGTGGTTAGCCCTTCCACTAGTACTGTGGAACCGAGACGATTTTTCTCTGCTATCCGGCAGTTTTGACCCTGCTATGAAAACGAACGAATTTTGTACCGTCACACGGCTCCGTTTCCAAACAATGAGTTGTTCCAGGGCCAATATAGCATAGACCACAGGAAATTTCAAGATCCTCCAAGAAGCCCTGGCCTTTAAAAATATTTTCCCATGTGTTATTAAACCGAGAGTGAAGGTGACTTCTAGGTTCTTTGAAAAGGAGATAAAGGCAACAAGGAGCTGGTCAGTTTAGGAATCTTTGAAAATAATACGTTTCGGCGGAAGAACCAGGATTTAAGGCGTTAGAATATCTGAACATAGAATCTTTTTGGATAAAAAAGGGGCCTAGCTGCTGGAGTTTCCTTGGGGTTTTGGTGGAGCTGGTTGCTTCCAACGAAGAAAGGACAGGAAAACGGAATATATGACAGAGAGAGACATAAAAGGTCAAGGCTTTATGATTGGAATAGAATGGATAAATGTAGAAAATATTAATGCTGCGTATGCATCATTGACAACTTAAAAAAATCGTTTTTTCTTCTTTGAAATAGCTAGATTACACTACCGTTCCGAGATTTCTTTTTCTGGGATGGCTTTTGGTTACATTTTTCCTTGCTAGAGTTGGCATAAGATCGATAAAAATGAGGGTTGCCCCTTTTCTACATTTTTTCTTCCAATTTAGCCCTAGAACTCAAACTCATAGGTTCATAGCTACAACACTCGACTTTGATGTATCGAATCTACTTTTCAAGGTTTGATCAGGGTCAGAAATGTGAGCGATTAAATTTTTGTTTTGTTTCATAGGTCGATCTTAGGAAGACCCCTATATTGCAAAGTTAAGTTTCAAAGTTTGGCTCTTTTGATTGATCTTTCTGTCACATTAAAGGGTGATTTGCTTTGCTTTCTCTAGTTGGAAATGATATTACTGGGGCGCACTTTGAATATCATGATCAGAGTCATGCGGTTGCACAGAATAGACGATGGCGACTTCACAGCGACATTTCCGGACGATTTGGCAGACGCATCGGATGTTGTTACCGTTGTTGCTGAGGATGATAGACACTACAATGCCCTATCAGAGGTGCCTTAAACATGTATATTCAGGAGTTTATTCCAGGATAACCTGGTTTGAAAATGAATACTGATTCTTCCGGTACGTTTCGAAACGGAAAACCGGTACTTTGAAAACCGGCAACCAAAATTTTTCCGGTACGTATCGAATTGAACTTGGTGGTATTTTACCAAACAACCAGGTTTGACTGTCGTACTAAGTAATTCGGAATCGGCGAGAAAGATATGCGTCCAGCCTCTTTGAAATTGACCCAAGCCTAGAATTTTTCTAGCTCTTTTCTTCCCATGTTTCCAGTTCCAATTTTACTAAAAAGCAACGAAGCAAGAAAACAGCACCAGTTTTTAATGCTAAAATTGAACAACTCTGCGGGTTGCTGGGGTATTGTCAGGTTTGACCGAAGAGAAATCCAATCTCCAGGCTGGCCCAAAGATGTTCAAACACCCCTAGGATTCCGATGTCTAGAAGTTATCAGGCTGTTTTGAAGAAAAGTTTTCTGTTAAAAATGAGGACTTTTCATAAATATGAAATTTTCACACCTTCTTGCATATGCTGTGTCGCATAAATAAATATTACAATTTCAATTGTAGCCAGAAAGTTTTAGGAATGATTGCAGTTAGAAAAGAATTCATGAATTCATAAGGTAAAGTATATAAACTCTAATATGACTTCGTTTCTTACCGATATGACGATCAATGATCATTGTTAATTTACCAATAAATTTTATGAATTTACAGGCTGGTTTTGAAAGGCAACGTTTATATTAATAAAAGGAGTCTTAGTCTTTCCTTTGCAACAACTTTTCGATCAATCTATTCGTAGGATTATGTACAGGTCATACATACTTCATTTTTTGAATGAGAGGCTGCAGCCAGCTGTAACCGCTTAATAGTTCTTTTTTTTGACGGAATTTGAGTTGGGAATTTCCTTAAATTTTCAAACGAATGTTTTGCTTAACAAAGGGGTTGAAGCCATCGTCTCCAGTCACCACAATCGCTTTCTTCGAAAAATGTGTATTTTCATTCAGAAATTTTTACCGTGATCGTATTTATAGATCTAGCAAGGTAATTTAGACATCTTGATGTCATAAAATAATTAATGTTTGTTTATTTATGATTATTTTCAATACTGGCTAATTCATTTATATGGCTAATTTTACACTGTTTCTGAACTTTTCTACCAGTCTGCGTCAGCATCTCAATCAACAAATCTAACAGCTTCTCAGATTAATGTACAGAGGAAACTTTAAGCAGATTTGATTCGGTACCTTTGGGGGGTGAGCACTAAACAGATGGGGTTTAAATAAATTGGGGTTTAAGTTAATGGATTGGGGTTTAAATAAACGGGGGTTGACATTTTTTATGCGAAAGCTTCTCTGCATGTGATTATGAGGACATTTTCAATTTCGAAATTTTTGTCGAACGTTTTCATTGGAAACAGGGGATTGGTATCGTTTATTCCCAACCTCAAAGAGCAGGTGTCGTTTATTTCCCAACCTTAAAGGGCCACTCCAGCCCAAAATTTTTATTTCAGAACACGATGTAATCAGACCTCCTGAAAACGAATCTGTTATTATTTTTTTCATATCTCTAACCGTTTTGTAGTTATTAGCGTTTGTAAAATGGTCATTGAGTTGAATTGTTTTTCAACCGTGTTATCGGAGATCTTCGGATTGACGTCACAGGCATTTTCGGCCTCGGTAAGTTCGCGGCAAGTATCATCGGCTGTCCAAAGGGTCAACGAGAACCTAGCGAAATGGCAGACAGGGCCTAGCAGCGGCATGTTTGTTAGTAGGCGAGACTTTTATCTGGAATCGATATAAAGAGAGAAGTATCGCTCATCAGTCTTGATACTCTGATCGAATATGGAAGTTTTTTGTCGCACGAATCTTTCTGACAGAGAAGTCAAATTGGCAAAGTAGGTCAGCGAGACAGAGACATGAGGATGTTGACAGACTTTCATGGAATGTTGCTTTTGAAGCAATTTGTATTGGCAGGCCAGTTCCCTGATTTTAAAAAGAAGATTCGCGCTTTTTCATCAGCCCCTCCTTTAGTGCAACAGCTAAAAAACCATCGCGCAATTAATTCGGGAGGAAAGAAGAAAACAAAACCAGTATACCGGGAATGAAAGCTGTATGAATTGATACAACATATTCATTAGGATAAAGAGCTTCATATCAACATGACTTATTGGAAATAAAACAGGACAAATGAGGACATGGACAAGAAAGTATACAACTTTCAAGACAAGACTAAAAACCTACCATTAGTCATGAGTCAAACAACTTTTTCAAAAATTATAAATTTGTTTTTATACAAACAAAAAAGGGATTTGAGATTATATTAATAATTCAACTTTTTCAATATACTTTTGTAAATATAATTTTTGTATTTAACCTTTAAGCTATTACAGGGGCCTTGTCAGCTCCTTTAAGCTGTCAGAATCTCAACCTGCTATATTTATGAATAATAAATACATGTTTGATGTATTTAAATACTTGGCTACATTGAATTATACAATCAGGCCAGTGAACTAGCTAGCAATTTGTAATTTCTATTGCACATGAGAAATGTTCTTATAAAAGTATCATGAAACAATAATCTATTGCAAAACTTCTAGAAAATACCTATATGTTGTTACTAGCTTTAAATAATTTGCAAACATTATATATGACCAAATTATATATAAAATTTTGATAATTTTAGAAAAATAGTCTCCTTTGTGAAAATGTTAATACAAAAACAGAATAATGTGTTGAGGTCTTTGTGGTAACTCTTGAATGGAAGAGAGGGGCAAGTTATCACTCCCACAAAGCCAGTAGCCAGATAACAGGATGCATGTAATATCCAACCTTCATCTAGCATTTTTTCGCAAGATCCTTTCTGCTGATCCAGAAAGAGTTTGTAACCTTTTTTATGCCTAGAATAATAAGGTTGACAGGGATAAATACTAACATACCAGTGAAATTTACTTTTGAGTCATATTAAAACATAAAATGATCAAAGAAACTTGGACACTCAGGGGCATTCAGAGTATAGATATTTAGAAGGCTCAAAGAGAAATTTAGGGGTGAAAGGGCAACCACTGTTACTATAGCAAATAGCATCTAAGGATATTAACTTGAAGATATAGGCCATGCTTTTATGAATCAATGCTAGAATAGCAAAGGTAAATTTAACAAATATAAACAATTCTGCCTTTAAAACATTAGAATGAGGATATTACACATCTTTTTTCCAAAACCAAGGGTGTAAATTCCATGTTTTTTCTTTTGGATAGTAGATCTTTTGCCCTGGATATTGATCTGGCAAAATTTTGAAATTGTGCATCAATTTTATGATGAAATAGGCAGAACTCCAAAATTGAAGGCAGAACAAGGTAGAACATGAAGAAGAAGGGTTCAGGAGACAAACCCTGGGAAATTTTACACATCTATACCTCAAAAAGGTGTAGTGCACAGATCATTGGCAGGGATGTAGTGCTAGGAGGCTCAGGCCCCCTTGTTGGTACAAAAAAGTAGCAAACTTCTACTTTTGGTAATATTTTATGTGACATTTTGCTTGAGAGCCCCTGTTGTACTTTTCATATTACCACATTTCTGACCATTTGGGGGACAGTTCACAAGACTGGCTGTTAGAAAACCTGTATTTAGAGCCCCTCCAAACCTCTACACCCTGCAGTTTCGCCTAACATTCAACATAGTAAAATGATAAAAAGGATGAATTTTGACTTACAGGAAAGTTTTCATCTTGTGAATGGGGTTCTTCTTCTACTGCGGTGAGACATCAATTCTATTATTCAGCTCCCTGGAAATCCCTGAGATGACACGACGATAAGAAATGCCTTCGGTCAGAAATCCATTCACATCTGAAAATTCGTGAAGCATTCCATATTGAAAAGCTTGCTGCGTTGCCAAGATGGTTCAGGTTGAAGCTTCCATCTTTGATTTGTCGAATTACTAGTCCATGTTGGCTGGAAGCCTCCGCTGAACATCAATCGCAATGAAGGAAAATAAATAAAACGACAACCGAGATTCCGACATGAATCGCCTCTTCCGAGCCTCTACCGAGTCGTGCGAATTTCAGTGCGAACGTATAACAATAGCGCCGAATGTTGAAACAATAGCCCTTTCACACGTCACAAAGTGCTTTTTCCGAAAAAAATTTTGTCGTATTTTTACGGTGATTCTCAACTTTGAGCGTCTATATCTGGAAAACGAGTTAAGCTTTTCGAAAAAAAATCTCACGATAGCTTCTTTTTCTCGACTAACTACCAATTTATGCAAAAAAAGTTTTGGGCTGGAGTGGCCCTTTAAAGCCTGATTTACACGAGACGAATTTTTTCGTGCGAAGCGAATTTTTCGCCGCGAATGCGCGAAAAATATGCGCAGAAGTAGAGATTAGAAAATTCACAGTGAATACTTTTTCGCTGCGAAATTTTTCGACTTGTAAAATAAACCAATCAGAACAGCATTAGAAGACACCCGACTTCTGTTTTGGTTTCAGATGGCCTACGTCTTTCCGCATTCTTTTTCTCAAACACTCTCGCCTTTAAAACGTCAGTAAAATAGGTTGGTAATTATTCATTTCCTGTTCCTTGTACATAATCCATGTATGTGGATTCATATCAGATTATTATTCAAACATTTAAAGTTCAAATTGACGAAAACTGGCTTGAAAGTTTCATCAAGCTTCGATGGCGACCTTTGAAAGTATTTGAAGAAGTTATCCTGGTCTTATAAATGTAAACGTAAATCTCTCTTACCGAAAGATGGAATTCCCCCTTCTGAAGACGTCCTGAATAAATTTTTCTAATCCAGTATCGCTTTTTTGATAAATTTAAAATTTTAAACTTGCTGATAAGAGCACTCTTCGGACAGTCGCTATATTCTTTTGTAAGATTCGCAGCGAATTCATATAAAAATTTCGCCAGTGTAAATTGAACTTCGAATTCGAGAGAAAAATTCGCAGCTAAAAAGATTCGTGGCGAAAAATTCGCTTCGCGCGAAAATCAGGCTTCAGCCAAACAACGATTTAAAACCAGTAAGTCCAATCAACGATTGGAATTTTGCTCTGATGAAGCCTCGTTACCCTGGGTTTGCCTTTTTGTCTTCAAGATTCCTCCCCGCGGCTATTCAACAGTTTTCATTTGAAGACAAAGTGTCCTAACCAATGATATACTCAAATAACTTGACGATCTTGTTTTATTCTTTTGACAGTCGCTATATTCTTTTGTAATACTCCCAGCGAATTCGCATAAAAATTTCTGCCAGTGTAAATTGAACTTCGAATTCGAGAGAAAAATTCGCAGCTAAAAAATTCGCTTCGCGCGAAAAATTCGTCTCGTGTAAATCAGGCTTAAAAGAGTATTTTACTGTTTCAAGCAGATCACTTATCAAGTTTTATCTAGAACTTTGCTAACAGATCCTCACAACATCTTTGTTAAAGAGCACTAGTAAAATATAGCTTATCAATGCACAATTTAAAATGGTATGCTGAGGTTTAGCTACGATGATAAGTTTTTTAGTTTTTTTTGGGGGGCGGCAGAAATTTTTAAACATTGTTTAAATGGGAAAGGGGACCAAAATTGCCCCTATGAAAGTGTTGAGGGACAAGCTCCGCCGGTCCTTTCCTTTTTCATTCCGGGATCCTGAATATTCTCTGCCAGGGGTGCCTACCCCGGAGGAGCTGCAGGGGCAGCTGCCCTTCCTGCCCTCTTTCAGAGGGGGGCAAAGGGGGCAAGCAGTGCCCTTAAATATTTACTCCCAACAAAAGATTAAAGAATCTTGTAGTTTAGCCACTCAAGTTAATTTCCGTAAGCAATTCAAAAAAATAAAAAGATCTCTTTTCTTGCTGTCGGTCATTGATAACGGAAAATTATTTTCCAGGAGATGATGATTAACTTCAAAAGTAACAGTTTCTGATAAGATTCTGACTATTTTCCCCATCATCAGAACAAGAATGTTACGCTAAGCTCATGCTTATCATAAATAAAATGAAATAATATAATAAAATTATCTAAAAAACATGCTGATGTAAACAATTATTTGATTTACATTAGATTATTGTGATTATTATTTTCCATTCTACACTCTCATTGATTATGCAACCATAGAGACTAAGTGGAACGTCAAAGTCTTCCAGCCAGCCCATTTTTAATTTCCATGATTTCCGTAAAACCAAACTTTTCTAATAATGACGAGGCCATTTAATACCCACTTGCATGGAGAATTTTGTCAACCTATGACTATCTTTAGAGTCTTTGATTGAAAAATCTCAGCTGTATGGGTGGAACAGGTCGATGCCAATATTTTATTTTGCACCCGTCCCCCAACCCCTCACAAATAATCGGTTATGGTAGTGGAAAAAATTATACTATTTGCCCCATGCACCAAAACTGCCCCTCCTGCCTTAATCTTGTGCAGGCGCCCCTGTTCTCTGGTGAAGTACCGAAAATCCTCGAATTAGCCCCCTGGTGGCTTATTTATTTTTGATATTTTTGGATGGCAAAAATCATTAAATTGAGGGGTCCAATTCGAGAATTCGGGGGGGGCGGGCAATTCGAGGGTTTTTGGTACATTTTGTGGAAACAATACTGCGAAGGAGAAGTTCTGTGGCGAAAAAGAGGCTTTTAAAATGGCGTGTTGAAGTGGAGTGGAGTTGCACGTTTAAGAAGAAGCGAAGTCGCGTGAATAGTTGTGCTCGATAGCGTCAGCCTAGCTCTTTTGGAAAGAATAAGCTACAATATTCAACAAACTTCATGCATTATTGGCTGCCATGTCCTTTCTGAACAAAGCTGCACAAAGCTACTACACCCATGCACGACTTTGGTATCTGATTGACGCAAAAGACCAAATAAATGGTAGATTGGCTGCATTCATAGGCCAGATACTGCAAGGAAAGACGAAACCTATATTCCACCCGTCAGTTGACGTTGGCGATAACGTTGTCGTAATCAATACAAAGGATATTGTACTCAGTGGCAAAAAGTGGGACCAAAAGCTGTACAGGCACCATACTGGATACCCTGGAGGGCTTGTGGAGACATTGGCTAAAGAGCTGCACAAAAAAGACCAAACACTTATTCTATGGAGAGCAGTGTATGGAATGTTGCCTAAAAATAAGTTCAGACCAAAAAGGATGAAACGACTATACTTGTTTGAAGATGAGCAGCATCCGTTTGCTGCTAATATATTTGCAAAGTTAGAAGGACCTGCAAGAATTCCTAAAAGACTTAGTGAATATACTCCAGAAGAGTTTGAAAACTATCCAAAATTATTCTAGTTAGCTAGTTGTTAAATTGTGTATTCACTTGTATTCTTGTATTTTACTTTCCCACACTAGGACTGGTGTGGTGTTTTCATCAAGTGTCCTTTATTGAAAGGTTTTTGAAATCACCATGTTTTGCAATGGACAAATATATCTGCATAAAGTGAATTGAAACCGAATCTAGTGCTTTTAGGGAGAGAATAATCAAATTATGCCAGAGAAGTTGTTAAAAAACTCATGTTTTCTTTCTATTAATATTCACGAAAAAGCAAGAGTTTTTCAGTCTGTTTAACACCTACAGATGTCATCCAGGGTGGAATCCATGTGAAGCTTACACCGGACATACTCCAATAAACAATAGAAAGACAATGGGACATCATTAGTCTACGCCGGATATCTCTGGCGTAAGCTACATGGATTCCACACTGGGATGTCACATGTTTTTCCTACTTCTGAAATACTTTCATATTTCATTTTGGCCTATTTAAGATGATTTATTCAGCTTTTAATTTCATATATGGAAAAAGTTACAGGTAAGTGGTTTACAGCAACCACCTTTATTCTTCAAAATAATGAATCTTTTGTGCCTTACCTAATCTTTGTCCACAGACTTACATATAGTAACAAGCATGTTGAAGTTAAACATTATAATTATGAATATTTTATGTCCTACAACGGCAGTCTGAAAACCACTAGTTAAAGCATTTGTATAGCATAATAAACTTGAAACAGTTATACATTAAAGGGTAGAAAATTTGATTTGATGTGTAATGAAAAATGAAATCAGAAGATACATAACATGATAAAAATAGGAAAATAAGCAACCAGTTTTTGACCAGCAAACCAAATGCCAAGGGTCTTGCTTTTGAAAGGAGGATTGACTTTCCAGTTCTTTAATGAACTGAAAATTAGATTTTGGGAATTTTTGTTAATCTTTTCATCAGAGCTCAATAAAAGACCTGGCAAAAAAAGGTAACATTCTTTAGTTGTAAGAAACTTAGGAAATGAAGTTAAATCAGATGAAAAAATCAGTCTTAGGAATAAAACCATTCTACATAATGCCTAAACAATAATCCATACAGTTTTATACTCAGGCATAAAAGCTATGTGAATAAAAACTATATTAAAACATCAGTTTTCGGGGGCATTAAGAGGAGACAGTTCCTTAAATTCTAACTGGCAACAAACTGATTCCTTTCAGTACAGTTTTCAAGCAGCTTCAATCTTTCACATTTTGCAAATTAAATGTTTTTGATAAACTTTAACACCAATACTGAGCATGGCATTTTGAAGAAATTAAATCGACCAGCTGCAAAATGTGATGTTAAAACAGGAAAGTATTTAATAAGCAGCCCTAGATGACACAAATGTTCAATAATACCAATCTGTATCTGACAAATTGTGGTACCTGACTTATATTCAGGTACAACATGAATAACAAGGGGTCCTATGGCAGTGCAGTTGCTAGAGGCTCTTTTTTTTATTGTTGCAAAACTATCAAGAAAGAGTCATATGATTTGGCTCATAAAGAATGAGAAGAGGTACATTTCAGATATAAGACGGATTTTCATAAGCATGTTTTCTTTGTCCTACACAAAGATAATTGACAAACTGATCAAGGAAAACTGTTTTAAAGATCAAATGAACCCCTGGAGATGTTGGGCTCCCTTTTAGTTGGTCTGCCCTTCGGGAAATTTAGCAGATTGTTTAATTGTACAAGACAAGGCTGTAAACAATTCACATTTATTTTCCATTGTACATAGTTGTAATGTACCTCTACCATGGGTATCTCTCTTAGTGGGTCTGCCTATGGCAAAAGTGGCAAATTGTTTATATATACATGACAAGGTACAATTTACATTTACTTTGTTTTCCATCGTACTTGTAAATATTATAGCCAGGCAATAAAGCTCTAGCTTTGCAATAAAATTAATGTTATTTCGAATCTTGCACAATACCGTTGGCAACATCAATCATTTTTGGGTACTTGATTTTCTTCTCATCAAGCTCATTTTGAGCCCAGAGTAGCATTTTTAACAAGTTCTCCAGTCTTGAATTTGTTTGTTGGTGGTCTGCCTCAAGAACTGCTGCATTAAGTTCACTAGCTACCTTATGTCGTTGAGAGAAATTCAAAAGATCTGCAAATGGTGAGTTTTCAGGGTTTTCATAAGCAAGCAGGGCCATCGTCTTCTCAAGCTCGTCTAGGAACTGTGAGTTTTCAAGACTCAACTCAGCCATGACGTTTTGAGAAAACTCGAGTGCTTTTTCCACTTTCCGTTCTCGTATAAGTTCTATCAGCTGTTGCTGTTGCAGATGAAAATATAAATGGGATCTTGAGTCTAGTATTTCTGGGTTCAGAAAATTGGTCAAGGTCACTGCTTCTTCGATATTACCAGACTGCACTGCTTCTCGAATTTTCAATCTCTCGTCTAATGAATCAAATGCTGAATGCGGCTCTGTAGATGCCTCACCGCGAAACTTTTCGGCTGCTTCTTTGAATCCTTCTGTTATTAGGTAGTCCATAATGAGTTTGTTCATTTCAGCCCTTGGAAAATGAACTCCTTGTACTTCTTTCAGCCATTCAAATAAATTTGGTTTACAATCCTCACTTTTTTCAAGCCCGAGACCGCCGAGTACGTTTGTGTTTATATTCATCTTTACTTTTATACGTTTTGATAAAGACTAGCGCTACTTTCGTCCAGGACTCTGGCTAGTTGAATGGAGAAGACAACAGAAAATTTAGGCCAGCGCTATCATTAGAGGAAAACAAGCTACTGCGCAGTTGCCTTGGAAAATTACGGGGCATCCCTTCTCAGGGGGCTGTGACGGGATTTATGTAGCCTGACCCTGCTGACAAATTGAAAAGAGGAGAAAAACAACTTATTTTTGCCTCTTTTGCATTGATGTCCCTAATCTGCCCCTATCAATATCATATAGATAGACTTTCCCTTTAAAAATTTGAAGTCTCATTCTACCCTTGAACATTTTACCTTTTTACAGGGTAAGCATATTAGGTGGGGGCGGTGCTGTAGGCAACTTCTAAGAGCCACACCTAGACAGAGGCTCATGGAGTAAGTCTAAGCCACACCCACGATCACATTAATGTTAAAGATTCTATGTTCTGTATTTGAAATTATTAAAACTTTCCACCGACAAAAAGACTGATATAAGACATTGCTTGTTTATGGAATCTCTATGACACAATAAAGAATTGTGAACAAAGAGTTCTCTCAACCAAACACTTGTTAAAGGGGCTGAGCCCCCAAAAATCTCTGGGTTTAAAAAGGGGGCCAAACCCCTCCTCGGCACACAAGTCAAGTAGAGAAGAAATTGAAATCGAGGTAGCCATTCTTTATTCGATCTCAAGACGAGGCGTGTTTCTCTCGAACGTCCTTTACTTGCTTGAGGACAGTCAGGTAGAGAATTTTCCGAACATTCTCCTTGCTTGAATCTTTATCAATCCGTCTGTTACATTAATTTTCATAAAGAATTGATAGGTATTTGATGCTGCAATTTATCATTCAACTCACGATTCCTAGAATTGATGGAGTTCTTTGCTTCAGTCAATAATTATAGAATATAGGCCCTACACCAAGTAGCGGCACCTGAAATCACAATTTTACAATATTGCACTGAGAAGGGGGATGATTTGTTTTTAACCTTTTTAACATTAAGCAAATTTTAACAACCTTTGGCTCTCAGTAACTTTTTGCATTTTGTGATCTATGCAGATTCTTCAAGTATGAGAATTATTTTATCTTTGATTTGTTAATGTCGCTTTTCAAGACTTTTCATGAAATTGTATACCTCTAACCGTTATAAGACAAATGCTATTAGAATAGCCTTGGAAAAAATGGTCTGAGATAACCAAGTTAAACCCTGAGAGATTATTTAGGATCCTCTACTTAAAATATGGGCATATGGGGCTTGGTTGTAAAATCAATGTGTAATACTTATTTCATATGCTTTGTACATTATTACTATAAATAAATATATATATGTTTATGATAAGCACACAGTTTTATATGTGAAAGCAAAAATACCTCATAATAATACCTGTTATAAATTTCCAGAAGTAAAACGAGTGTAGAATATGACATACAGATCAATTATCATGCTTATGTATAAATATATCCTTAAAACAGAGTAGAGTTAAGAGCCATGAAGATTATTTTGTTCTGTCTTTACAAGTTTAATATCTTGATTGACACACATGTCATGGCTAGAATGAAACCTGTGTTAATTGGTCATTTATTATGTCACTGTTGATATGTGATCTCATTGCACAGGGATATTTGATAAAGACTGGTATATATACTGATGTATATGCTAAAGATATATTTTATGAAATTTGTTAATTTTATGTATATTTTGGCAAGAAGTTTTAGTACTGCAAATGTATATTTGTATTGGTATGTATAACAGGCACAGGAAAATGTAAAATTTTTTATTTGGTTTTTTTGCATTGATATCATAAATAACAACTTATCTTTTGTTACCTTTAGGTATCAAAATGGGTGCCTACAAGTATCTGGAAGAGCTCTTCAAAAAGAAGCAAAGTGACTTGTTCCGATTTTTGCACAGGATCCGCTGTTGGCAGCTTCGTCAATTGTCAGCAATCCATCGTGCATCAAGGCCTAGCCGTCCTGACAAAGCTAGACGCCTTGGGTACAAGGCTAAGCAAGGCTATGTTGTTTACCGTATCCGAGTGAGGAGAGGTGGTCGTAAGAAGCCAGTGCCAAAGGGAATCACTTATGGAAAGCCAAAAGGAGAGGGTGTCAACCAAATTAAATTCCAAAGAAGTTTGCGTTCAGTTGCTGAAGTATGTTTGCATTCTGATTGTAAAAAATGTGTTAGATGAGCCATAGCCTTTTTGAAGGAAAATCAGCTGAAGTGGCCTTTGTTTATATAAAGAGGAGGACAATTGCCTATTATTTTAAACAATGAAAAGTCGCTTAGGCTGGAGGATTAAATGCCACCCCCAGTTAATATGTTAAGAAGGCCCTCATGCAAGCCAGCAATCAGTTTTAAGCTTAGAAAATCTCCAGGGTGCATGCCATGTAAACCCGATGCTGAAGGTACTCCATGGCAGTCATGATTGTATGCCAAATATTTTATAAGTCTATGCCAAATCAGCAAAGAGTTGATATTCAGTCAGTTATAGTATATTTTTTATACTTGAAAGAATATATTTATATATTTACCCTATTTCCTCTAATGAACGCCACCCTCTGATAAACACCACCATCTGCCACATTTTTATCTTGCATTAAAAAACTTTCTTATTTAGGTGAAAATTGAATTGTACTTGTCAACTTTTTTGTGGCAAAAATTTTATTCAGGCAATGAAATAATAATCATACTGTTTTTCTAGGAAAGAGCTGGTAGACACTGTGGAGCGTTGCGAGTCCTCAATTCGTATTGGATTGGGCAAGATTCAACTTACAAATTCTTTGAAGTAATAATGGTTGATCCCCAGCACAAAGCAGTACGACGTGATCCAAGAATTAACTGGATTTGCAAAGCAGTGCATAAACATAGAGAACTTCGAGGCCTTACAGCAGCTGGTCGTAAAAATCGTGGAATGGGTAAAGGCCATGGTAAAAATAAGGTGATTGGCAGCTCAAGGCGTGCTAACTGGAAGAGACATAACACTTTGTCTCTGAAAAGATATCGCTAGAGACTCAAATTGAAATATTTAAAAAATACAAGCAAGTTGCAGTAAAGATGTGTTTGTTTGTTTGCTCCTTTCAAATGGCAGTATTGATGTCAAGTTTTATATGCTCACAATCATATTCCTTTTTTTGAAATGGGGAATTCATCAATAATAAGGGATTTTTTACCATAGTTATCAAATATTTTATAATTTCTTGCGATGCTCTATGCAAAAATCTCCTATTGACAAGATGGTTTAGGCTATGTTGATAAAGAAGTTATTGGTCATGGAACAACTTAGCTAAATGTTTGCCAGATTTCCATGGTTAACCAGGAAAGCCCTTTCTCTATTAAATACTTCAGGCACATATCAAAGGAATCAACTATTAGCATAAAATGTTATTTTGATGATGTAACCACCATATTTTATGATATTATTTTAAAAATTGATTTTCATCAAATAATGTTTCACAAAATATATATTTTACTCATGTCCGATCAACAATGATTTGTACATTTGGCCAACCCATGAAACATTTGACTTGTGCTAGTACATTAAATTAAGGTTTAGAGAATAAAAGGTAGTGATTATTTGACTCATTTGAAAAGGTATTTAAACATTGTCCAACAATGCTTTGCAACTTATGGATCATGTCTTATACATGTTTGATTTGTTTGGCTAGCGGTTCAGGGTCAAATGTAAGGCATACATTCCACATCAAACTTGCAGATGTCATGGACCATTTGAGCTCCCTATTTAAGAATAGCCAAATTGATAAAGTATAAAATGTCACATGGGTGTTAATGATCAGAAAATTGAGTTTATGTCATACTACATAATAAATACACATAAACTAGAGTACACTTGTTGAATAAGAGTTACTGAACTTGCATCCAAATCTTGGTATTTCAGTATTAGATGTTTCATATCTAGATTCTTAATTTTGGGACCTTAAATTACCTTATTGTTTTGAAGTATAAATGCAGATCGCCATGAGAAAACCTGTGCTGATCAAAATCAGAAGTATGCTATCTTTTTCCAAAGGAAAATCAACAAAATAAAAATGTTCAGACCCTTTTTCCGAACATGGAAGTTTTTTTGAGCATAGTGCTAAAGTTTCTTAAAGTTTTGGGCATCCTAGTGCTAGTTTCTTTTGATCAAGTTTCTCTTAAGTAAAAATCGTGTACCAATAGCAATGACAAGGTCTGGTGTTTTTATGGAAAATAAGATATTATTTTTGACGCCCATATGTGGAAATGGGTGGACATCGTTTGGTAGTCTCCTGCAAGAATAGAAATCTTAAATTTTTGCCCAATCTGCAAGTCATAATGTTGCTGACAAACTACGTCACAAGTGATAGCGTTTCCTGGTCGTGCTACATTGACGAAGTCTTAATGGGAGAGAGGCTATTCTACACGTGACAACATCGTTTCATTGTTTGCTGGTACACTGGTGAATCACGTTGACAAGGCCTTGGGAAGTGAAAATTCTCTCCAAGACCAAATGAAGTGAAGAACTGGAGTTAAGAGAAAGCACTGATATCTACCTTTATATTTTGTTTACTTCATCGACAATTATTGCGATGTTAGCCTTTCCAGAGGATTCCTTTTTCAGCAGGTAACACGTTGATCTTCATCAAAATCGATTTTCGTGACGTATCACCTCGCGATGCCTAGAGTAGGCCCGGCCACGTTGGAATTACTTTTTCCTTGTTTAGAACGCATTCAAATTATTTAAGTGCAAATTGCGTTTTTGGGAAGCCTGAATAAACTGTTTCTATTTTGAATTACATTAGTATATTTTTAGATTCTTAAGTTAAAACTACTTTAATAGGCCGATAAAAATGGGCTGCTCGACCGAACCAGATTCCATCTTCGATTGTCAGCTTTAGAAAAACGTTGTAAAATGACATGGGAACAGCAACAAATCTTATAGCCAATAGCGAGGATATTGTTAAGATTACATGCAGTATCTGTTTTATTGTTTGTTTTAAGAGGAGGCACCTTTCAATAACATTAAGGCATGAATCCCCTGCGAGTCATTTGAGGCCTAATGGAACAGGGCTTCCCGCCCAGGGACTGGGCTACACGTGGTTCGGAACTTCTAGGTTGCCGTTGTTAGCAAGTGTTACTGGGTTTTGAAGCTCAACAAGTCACATTGAAGCTAGATTTGCTCAGTAATTGTACTGTCAATACCGTTAATTTGCTGATGTAAAATTTACATAGCTGTAAATTTTAATGGTTTTTATTCTTATATTTCAAGTGAATAATTCTTTTTTTCAGAGCTTTTGACGTTGGTGATTTTGGGTTTTCAGATGTTGAAGAAGAAAAAGTTGTATTTGAAGCAGTTGATACAGACATTGAATAGTGAGAAGTTTGCAATTTTTTGCTTGACTCAACATGTTTAGGCTGAAGTATATATCATTAAGAAAGGAAAAGAAAGAATTAGAGAAATGCTGCAAATGCAATGACCAGTGCCAAGTTTTCTGCTTCTTGTCAAATAAGAGGTGGAATGATATGCACAAATAATGTTTCGAATATTTTCATTATACTCCAAACCTGCAGAAGAGAAGACTGAATTGTAATTTTCTAAAGGAAAACCAACAAAGAGAGGATTTTATCCAGTGGCAGACACTTGGCCAATTATTGGGGGCAAGCCTATTGTTTTGATAAGATGATGTCACATTTTCCCATTGTTTTATAACAAAAGGCCAGTGTCTTCCAAAAATTTGGGGAGCAACCTTTGCCCCTAGATACCTGATTTTATCTGTAACAAAGAAGTCTTGTGATGAACTAATTTTAATGTTCCATGTCAATAACCAAAATTACCTTATCACATCACTGTGAAAGGATCAGATTTTATCTTCATTCTAGCAGGCACCACAGAAAAAGGAGGCTGGGGGGCTATAGCACTTTTTGCCAAAAATGCAAAAAAATTGCCATTAAATTACCAGTTAAGGCACTTTTTATTTTGTTTTTGCTCCCCCCCCCAACTTTTTTTAGACCCAAACTTTTCTCAATACTCTACGGTGCCTGTCTAGACCACAAAAAGATTCTAAAATACCATATGTGGCACATGAGAGTTTTTGTAGAAATGCAGCAATTCTTAACTTCTTTGTGGTTATAAAAAGCCATGCATTTAAAATGCTAATGTTGCTTTAATGTAATTGAAGGTAATAAAATATTTATATTTCCAAGAAAGGTAATTTCAATTCAATCAAACCTAGAAGAATAAAATTTCATATTTACAATAGAATCAATTTTTACAAACTTCAAACATTCAAAATAGAGTTTTTTTTCTCTTATAGTGAGCTGTTTGCTTATGACAGCTGTGAAACATCATCGCTTCTCTCGTCAAGAAGTTGCTCAAGTGGGAGTCCATCTAGTTCATCTTCACCATGCTCATCAGAGAGAGACTATGGGCTAGACACTTATTGCTTACCTGATAGTTTTACAGATATTGACACTGAAAATGGTAAGGAGTTTCCTTCTATTCAAAATCGTTTTTAACAAGCCTTTCTTTTAGCTCATTGAGGAGATAGTGTAAAAAGCATAATTGAAATATACTTTATCTACAATCATTTTCTGTCTTATGGTCACATACTATGTTCACATACTGGTACATATTAAATGTTTTAACATCTTGTTAGCCTGTAGTAGAAAAATTTCTAACAATGCAGATGCTACCTAATTTGCAATAACATACCTTGTTTCAGAATCAAATTCAAGTTGTTACTAGACCCTATTAGATTGCTTGGAAAGTGTTTTAGTCAACTCTATATATCAAAATGTGAATTGAAGTGTATTAACTTTATATAAAAAAGGACTGTGCATCTCAGTTTGAATTTCTCAAACTCCATAACTTAACAGAATTCATTTCCATCATATTTTTTAATGATTGCTTTAGCATACATGCTGTTGTCATAATTTGATGGCATTGTATTTTTAACTGATACATTTTGTATTTCAGATTTTGACTTAGATTTTCATAGTTGCTCAAGTTCATTCAAGAGACAAAAACATCATAACCAGCCTGAAAGCAGGAAACGCAACCAAAAGAGAACTAATTGCTCATCACAGAAAAAGCAAAGAAGGAAAAACGATCTTGATACAGTTTTAACATGTTTAGACTGCAGATGGTGAGTAGTTTGTTAAAATAGAGAAACCATTTTTATCTTTTGTTGATACCACTGGCATTTAAATTTGATGAATTTGATGATGAAATTTGATGATAAAGTTGATGATCTTTGGAAAAAATATACCAGAAGAAAAAACACTGCAAGTAACAACTCAGTCTGTTGCCTTGCTTTTTTGCTAGTGAAAAACTGATCACAAGAATACACTCATTATTGGTTTTGTACATAAGCAGTGCAGAATGCTGTCTGAGATTAAAAGGGTGGTAGCAGTTCCAATTCTTCTCTTGTAGGGCTATGTCATATTATCCTTCAACTCTGTTGCATTTTTTCCAATTTTTTTAGTAATCAGCCTTTTGAATACAGTTCAATTTGGTTTAAATCATGAAGATTAACTTTTAAGTCTTGTATCTGCAGGAGTGAATTAAGTACACAAAGACAGCAAGAAGTCCTAGAAATGCTAATTGGTATGGTGTCTCAAAAACTTGGTCTTCGAGAGCAGCTAGAGCTTATAAAAATAATCTGTCCAGATGCAGACGTTTCACCAAATGATAAAGAATTCTTTATTGGTATGCAATGGAACAAATCATAGAATTATTTTTGTTGTTGATAATTTCTCTTAAAGGTTCTTGTGCTTTGGGACTATATTTTGAAAACCGCCCTAATATCATACTGCGTGAAAATACAAAAGGCAGTCAGCTCCTCCTCGTGCAAAAAGACAGCTACCGCTAAGCATGCCCATTGCGCAAGAGCCTTCTGGCCCATTAATCACACAATGCTCTGAGTTCAACCATCAGAGCCTCACTGATATCAGGTACCAAGCAAACTTTATAATTCAGCTAAAGATTAAACTGAAATGCTGATGAGAAACAGTCCACAAATGTACAAATTATCAAAAGACAAGCTTGAATAGGCTGAAAATACATATTAGGAAGTAAAATAAAAATGATAATCATCATTCAATAGTTTGTATTGGTTATTCTTTTTCATTTTCTTTGTTTTTAACATTTTAACATCTAACTATATATTCATATTTCTGTTTTACTTTACTTTCAGATTTTGAACTGTTTGATGACGAAAAATTCAAAGGCGTATGTGCTTTTGTCAAAGAGCATTTTGTTCTAATGAATGGTATGTGATATCATTGGTATATATTGAAATTCTTTTTGAAATGTGGCTCATTACTGACTAGATTGACTTTCAACACTCTTCTGTTCAATCTTTATATAAATGATGAAATTAGAGTTGCAGACTCCCAATGGTGTAATTTAAAACAGGACATCATGTTATTTTTATGATGTGTCATTCAATTTTTTGTTTATGCGACCTTTCTGTCCATCTAAAGTTCTTTTTATGATAAAGATCTGATAATATCTTTTTACTTTGTATTTTTTAAATTTATCTTGGCTGCTTTATGTATTGAAGAAGGCGCTATGTTTAAAGTTTTTGAATTAGCCAACAGTAATGTCTAGTGTATTTTTACATCATTTAAATCTACTGTTCATATCAACAGTCTTAAAGAAAAGCATATTTTAATTTTTCCAGATGACGAAAAAGAAACTGAAAATGATCAGACGCTTACAAGAAGAGGATCTAGAAAGGTTGGTTATGTTTATCCATAAAAACTTTATGTATTTCGTTTTTTGTTGATGTGACAGCAGCCAGGTAGCTGCAGGGGGGACGGGGGGCTGTGCCCCCTAAATGAAAATTTTGACAACAACTTGCCCCGTCTGGCTACAGTTTTTTCCAAATGATATTTTGAAAATTTGGCATATTTATAATTCCATGACCTTGATTTAGTCCAAATATATCTGTTTGTTATATATCTGTTTTCTTGTTTTAAAGCCTGCCCCCCTCAGGTATGGCTCTTGCTTTTGAGTTTGCCCCCCCCCCTAGCCATCACCTACAGCTACGTGGTTGTGTGACAGGAAAGTGTCTTTGAAAAAGATCTTCTGATTGATTTGAATGTTGTATATTTTTCATATTCAGAGGCAAGGGGAGAGAAACACTTCATCTTTGTGGAATGAAAAGTCAAATAATCTTCAAAAGAAAGCATTAGCAAAAACATCAAGGCAAATAAAGAAAGAGAAGAAAAGTGGACTTTTTAAAAAAGAGGAGGTGAGAGTAATTGTATGTTAAATATGCCGGCCATCAAAAATTGAAAGAAAAATTTCAACTTTTTTTATTCCTGGTGCATTTAGGGCTTCTCAATCAAAGAATCTCAAAACTTTTAATGACTGCAAAGTGTAGCACTTTCTGTTGTATAATATTACAATATTATACAACATCAATATATTGTTATATTCAAAGAAAAAGACCAGTGAAGAAGGAATTAAAATTCAAAGGCAATTATTTTCTCAATTCCCCCTTGCTAGAAAACCCTTTAATGGTAGATACTAGGCCTCATTAAGATTCTTTAAAATCTTGTCAACCATATTTATGGATCCATAAAAAACAATCTAAGCCCAAAAATTCTACTATAGCTCTTCGGTCCTAATGCAGAGATGCTGAAAGAGCTGTAGAGCAGGGGGGGGGGGCAACCACTCTGTGTGCCCCAGTACTTGAACGTCTTTAGTCCCAAGCAAGTCTTCGAGGTCCTAACATGACAATGCATGCGTGACTCAACTCCTTGACAGTAGAAACTTGATCCAATCTTTTTATTAGATCAATGGCTGTGCCCAAATAACTAAGGTTTGAATTTTATATCCAAAGTAAATATAGTTTTATTCATATTTAACAACTTACACAGGCCTAAGTTTGCCATTTTCTCCTCCTAGGTACTTTTAATCAAAGAAAAAGCAACTAGTATACCTGAAGAAGACGAAGAAGAACTTGATGTTGTCGGTTGATTGCTAGAAAAATGCTATTGGGGTTTCTTGTTTTAAGAGAAAATCTCGATTTTTGGATTTTGACAAAATTACAGATGCTATTTTCAGATGAAGTTGTCTGTCTTTTTATGTTTTTCTACCCTGCAGAATATTTTATGCGTTATAGTAATTTTTGATTGGAAACTGCAAAGTAATTGTTGAGCGATGAAAGGTATTAGTGACTGTAATAAGTTTTAGCTCTGCGTAGCTCGCGTTTTTCGTCAACTGTCGTACATAGACCTAATGCCGACCTCCCAATGCCGACCTCCCAATGCCGACCTCCCAATGCCGACTTCCCAATACCGACCTCCCAATGCCGACCTCCAAATGCCGACTTCCCAATGCCGACCTCCCAATGCCGACCTCCCAATGCCGACCTTCCAATGGCGACCTGCTTTTTATTTTACCAATCATTTTCTTTTAACTGTCAATGTAAGCGACGCTAAATCTCAGTGTGCCGTATAAACGTTGACAACTTTAGATCTCCTGCAGAATTATGTGCTTTGCAGTTCTTAGAATTCCCAGTTCTGCTAGTTCGTTCATGGGCGTAGCGGAAGCTAAATGTGCAGGGGGTTTAGTATGAATCTTGCCCGAATATGGTTGCTCCATTGAGATAAACCTGCCCGACTTTCGATAATATAATGATAATAATAATACGAATTTTTATACAGGATTAACACTTCGACATTTCTGCTGTTGTCAATGTGTGTCCTGGTTAACGCAAAAGAAAGTAAAATTACTAAAACTTTAAAAGACGGGGATAAAAATATTTATAGATTATAAATAATTTACAGCAATTATTTTAACATTATATATAACAAATTTGAAATAAAGATGATTAGGTAAAATGTTGTTTAAGAAGCTGTTCATAGGTGTTGAATGATTCGGTTTTGCTTGATTGGGGCTGCAGTTGCAAGTGTCCCCCAACATTGCCAGCCTCATCAATTACAAGTCCGGTTAACATCGATTCCTTTAAACCTCCTTTTCTTCTTAAATGATCTAAAAAGTCGAGTGTTTTTTTCTAATAGTTTTCTTTAGGTTCTCTTCTGTACCTGCCCTTCATGAGATTTCCCCATTAGTTTCGCGATAAATTAATGATGCTCTCATCACCTTTCTTTAGAACTTCTACATTTCTATTGCCTTCATTTTTTCCTTTTGTGAAATGGTCCACAATTCACTGAGATGGTAGTTCACCTTACAGATCCTTTTCTTTATATTGGTGGTAATAACCTGAATAAATTTTCAGGAGTAAATAGTTTCTCCTTTCAAATATCCCCCTTTTTGAGATTTTTTTGAACGCCAACACTCAAAGAACTAACTGCTGAACCACGCAAAAAGTTAAAATGCTGAAAAGTCATAAAGAGAGAAAAGGCACTACTAAGTTGCATCACAAAGACTAGCGACGGTCCTTCTGAAATTTTAGTATCGGTTAAACCACAGTCAACATATTTTGCAACTTTTAGTTTGTTATTTAGAACAAAGCGCAAAGAGAGCTTTTAGATCAAGAGGACTTACTTTTTATTACTGACTCCAAACACTAACCCAAATATTGCCTCTTAATCTATATGCACCAAACATTGTTGCGTATTTTTGGACTGCAATTTTCTTTAAATTGTTGTTGATTTCGAGCCGAATTTCCTAATCATGTACAAATAGCCTAAAAGATGTTTCAAGATTTAGATGTTAGAGTCTATGATTAGGCTAAGCTCAAGAACGAATTAAGTATTGGTTTGGCACGAAACCATAATAGTTTAACAGTGTCTGATGACTGACATCTTTTCTTTTTACAAAAACCGTTTTATAAGAACACGAGCCTCAAAATTGGTCAAAAGTTAAGAACAAATTAAAAACAAGCTGGGGCTGAGCTTCTGCAAAAATGCAATTTTGAACAGCGTTTTATCTCAAAATTTCAAAAACGAGGATTTTTAGCTTTTTCGGTGAATATTCAAACTTTTCGGCAACTGAGGTTGTTTCGCTCACTTTGTTGGCAAATGAGGCCTGAGCACCTCCCTAGAGCATAAAAGCTAGCAATCACACTGCCCGCACCCTACTAATTTAAGATCAAATCAAGCACAATACAGCCTCAGAGTTTCAAAAAAATTAAAAACAGTCAGCCTGAACTTAAATTTACTGGTTATGAACTTTTTATAGCAAACCGAAATTCAAACAGCGAGAGAAAATTTAATAAAAGCGTTAAGATGACCGTTTGGGTGGGAAATAATGGAAAATTTATCAAGGTATAGTAATGAAAATAAAAAATGCTAATATCTCTTTTGTTTCTTCTTATTTTTAAGCCATATCGAACACTGCGAAAACATAAAAACTGAGCTATGGCGATAGTAGTATCTGTAATATATTTGCAACAAAAAGGCTTTTCTTTGCACAAACCTGTAAGATTTCAGTAAGGCGAACTTGGAAACACTTACTTTCTGCTCGCTTACTCAAAACTGTTAATTCTACTGAGTGTTATTAGAGTATTTCTTTAAAATTTGGGTCGCACGTTTTTCGTACTGCAAAAGGTCAAATTTCGGATACCATTTCGTAACATGTTGCAGCAAAATACAAGCGAGAAAACATGTCAGAATTTCTTCCAGCTAATTGCGATGTTGTATAGGGAACAAATAATACTGTAAATTGCTCAAACAGCATTTCATCTCCGCTTTGAATGAAAATACAAAAATTTCTGGGATAAACAGTCGTAAACAGTGGCACATTTTGCAAAATCTAAAACCTCCAAATATTGACTCGGATAATAGAAATTACATTTTTCTATCACTTCAAAGAAGATAAAAGTAAGATTAAACTGTAAAAATATGAGGAGGGCTACTTTTAGGATAGACACGGAACACTGGTACAGAACCATAGCAACGCATCAAACAATTGGGTGAATTGTTCTCGTTAACTTCCTTGTTTCTTCATAGCGAGGTTGATTCATAATGTCCTTTATTTTGCTTGACGCGTTTGTCAAAGGGAAAGAATGAACAGACAACATGTATGAAGGATGACGCGACCCGGCTAAGAATCTATCCTTAGAATGGAAAACTATGAAAAATTGAAAAAGTTAGGTCAAGGTGGATGTGCTGTTGTTTATTTGGTCAAAGAAAAGGAAAATGGAAGGTAACTTTTTTAGACGTATCCCTATTTTTTTACGCGCTTTTTATAGTTTCCTAATGTGTTTGTCAGCCGAGCTGTATTTTGATTGTTTTATGTAATTGTTTCATTGTATCTGTTTTGTAAGTAGCAACTGGAAGTAGCAGTGTAATTAATTTTTAATTGTAGTCTCTAGTTTGATCTCATGGTGAATGGGGGTTTGGGGTCAGTTTACACTTTATTGGGTTTATGACTCAACTAATTAGTGCCGTTGGAACGAAATCTATATTGAGGGGGGAGGGGGGCTCCCCATTGTATTCCTTTTCATTCAGTACACTGTTATAAGGGAGACATACTACAGTTTGACAATTATTGGGGGGCTCCAGCCCCCAGCCCCCGGCTCCGACGGGCCTGCTAATTAACTGGTATAACTACAATTAGATTTTGCCACGTAAAGAATACCCTTTAGATCAATTCCTTAAAAGGTATCTGGAATATCTGTTCTCATCCGTTAATTATTTGAAAGTGGAGTTAGGTAAGAATGACTCGAAATAGTGTACGTAAATTTTGTCGAAAACATTGGGTTGTAAGATTTTCTGCTATAATTGCGAAGTAGGATGTTAAGCTTTTGTCTGAAAGCAAAGCATTTCAAATATACTCTTTTCAAGGTGTTTCAAGAATCAATGTGGTGTCAGCTTTCAATGTATGAAAAATAGTTTATATCTTTTTGCTCAGGTTGTTTGCTATGAAAGAGATACAGCTTGATTCATCAAGACCATCAAGAACAAAGGAAAATGTTTTGAGAGAAGCAAAGTATGTAGTTATGCTAATTATTGTTATTTACAACCTAGGTTGGAAAACTTGCACATATTTTAAGTTTCCCTATACATTCAAGGCCAGCCTTCAGATTATGGCAGATGCACACTAAATTTACAATTATCATTATTATGGAAAACTTCTCATCACAAGCCATATCTAGGTGAAAGGAAGTTTTTTTAAGGAAATCGTACCTGAAATATACTCCAGGTCAATGATCAAATTTCACAACCCAGTCCTCTTCCCTTGTACCACAACAAATGTTTTTGCTGAGGGGCAAATGCCAAAATATTCTATTTGCTGCCTATCTTGAGTCCAGTGTTTAGATTGGTTAAATCTTTTTTACTTTGATGGAAGTATGGAATATTTTTATTCAGAGAATATCACCAAAAGGAGAGTGAAATTCTTGTTTCTTTACAAGAGCATACCTTAAGATAAGATACACAAATTGCACCCATAAAATGATGGTTTTTTATTGATTTTACTTTTTTCACCATTTAGAATTCTACAGAACTTAAAGCATCCACACATTGTTGTCTTTCATGACTCTTTCTTTGATCCAAAAGATGAATTTCTCTGCATTTTACAGGTAACTCAGCTTCATACTTTATTTTATGCATTTTAAAACGAAATTTAACCTTAAGAGAAAGGCATTTTGTGTGTAAGAGTAGCTGTTTTGTTTGTTATTATTTAGTTCTCATTATTTATATCATAGTAAATTGAAAATCATACATGCGTGTCAGTGGTGATAAATTGACAATATCAATAGGCAATACAGAATTAAAACCTTGATTATCATTCATATTTATTTTTGAAACTGCAAGCTCTTTTGCTGTTTCAATACTGTTAATACATTGAATTCCTACTATAGGCATAACAAATGTTGCTTGAAAATTTGTTGTCAGTTTGTAAAGTGTGACTGTAAAAAGTGCTGAATTGAACAATTACCAGAATTTAAGTAACTGTAACTGATTGTGTGACTGTAAGCAAAGTGGCTATTAGCTTAGTCAATTGTAGCATCGTGAAGCAGGCATCAAAAAGTAAAAATTTGTTAAGCAAAAGATATCTTGACTACATACACATTTATGCAAACAAAAACAACAACTGGTTTAACAGCATTTGCTTAGACCTGCTTTGTCATTTAGGCACACCGGAGGTGAGAGGGTGGGGGGGGGGGGCTTTGTTGGGGCAACAAGATAGATGGTTTGAAAACCTTAAAAGTTTGCTTATTTGTCTAAAGCCAACGCCCCCACCCCACCCCAAAATGTGCTCTGGTGTTCCTGGTCTTGATACCAGCTTTTGGATAGTCTTATTAAGCATGTAACCTAAAGTAGCTACAAACTTGGAACCATTCTGTTCTAAACAGCAAAATGCATGGTTTTGCACCTGCTTATGCAATTTCAGTAATCAGATTTGTTGCGGGGAATTTTTTTGTATTGCATTTTATATTTTAATCCGTTGAGGTTGGAGAACCTTATCCTTTCCACGTGTCAGATAATGAGTGTGATATAAATTCCGTTTCATCGTTCATCCCCCTATGGTAAAGATAAAGCACAGTATCAAACTAGTGCCAAATATAAGCTTTTTATTGACGTTTTTAATAATTAGAGGGAGGCTCAACACATTTATCGTCATTGTTCTTTGGAAAAACAAACTTAAGCTTTTCGAATTTTCTAGATATTTATTGCTTGACAGATTTCGTAAAATTCCAAACAGTCTCGAGTGACTTTTCTTTAATCTAAATCTCTTATGCATCTTGAATAAGGCCCATAGAGCATTAGGATAAATCGAAATCATGTCTAACTACTACTAATCTGTCTTATTTGGTATAAAAAGAAAAAAGTAAAATAATTAGCTTGCGAAGTGCTGGCATCATTCTTTTCGCTTTTGCTATCAAGGGCAGTTGCTTCAGATCAAAGTTAGGAGCAGGACATTCTGCAATCAGGATTACAAGGTGGTAAACAGACATTAATTGCCCAGTTTAGAACGTTTTTTCAATCCAGTCTCCTAAAAAGAGTCTCTTAAAATGATAGTGATTGATTGATAAATCGAAATCCGAACGAGGGCCTTAGCTTGTGTCTCTCTTCAGAGACTGCGTCTGCCATGCCTCAATTCTTACTACAGCGAGAAGAACATGTTCTTAAGATGCTTCCTGTGAATTCTACATGTGTTTCCTGTAAATTCTGACAAATATGGAGAATTTCTAAAACTTTCTGACCGACTTGGTACTTGAGGGGGCTATACATCCTCAGCCCCTAGTCGAAGCCTCCTTGGATGAGAGAATGTTGTGTCATTCTGAATTTGCAGTTGATGTTTAAGTTACCTTTGTTTTTAATGACAAATTTTGATAATGGAAGCAACGGATTTTGTAGGATTACTGTGACGGTGGATCAATTTATGACAAAATTCAGGAGGCCAAACTGGTATGGTTTATTTTTGTATTTTATTTTTTTCGTACATTGGGCAAGTACTGCTACTTAGGCAGTTTTGTAATTTACTTAGTCCTGGTCCGGGGCGAAGCCAAAAATATTTTTTCGGAACGATACAGAAATGACTTTGCCGACAAAAAGAGCCTGCCTCACTCGTTAAGAGTGTGGTCATAAGATAAATAAACTTATATATTGCTTTTATGCGCTTCTATTTAAAAATTAATCCTTTAGTGCCATACTTTGAAAGTTCAAATACTACAGAAATGTTAATACGTTACAATTGTTGCAAAATATGTTACAAGGTGAGAAAAAATTTTCTTCTTTTGCCCTGCAAATATAGTTAATATGCCGACAGACAAAGTTGTACAGTGCCCCCATACCCCCCTTTGGCGGCGCCCCTGGTTCTGGTTGCAAGAATAAGCATTTTAATTCTCTATGTAAATTTATGCATATAATTATGTGTTGGTTACGTAAAGGAACGAGGTGTTCCGGTCGGGGTGAACTCTACAGAGCCCGCACTTTAAAATCTGTGTGGCCTGTAAAAATTGTTCACTGACTTTTATTTGATTTTTGTATTGCTACACAGGGTAATCGGATACCCATCTATGTTTCAGTTAGAATAAGCTCTTTTTGTAAAGAGCTTATTTGTAATTCGAAGGTAAATTTGAAAGCTATAATTTTTAGGATTTTGTACTGATATGACTTGAGGAAATCAAATGATTGTTTCTATTATCACGATAAGAATGTTGGCTTTTTTTCAGGCATCAGTTCAACTTGAAGAGGAAACAATAATCAAGGTTATTTTTCTCGTTTTTGTTATGTAATCAATTCTCGTTAAATATTCGCAATTTCACTACTGTTTCTTTAAATAAGTTAGAATTTTTCTTCATTACACAACGTTTCTTTATATGTGATTCGTGAAAAAAATTTTAGGAAAGCCTTTTAACATTGTTTTTTGAAAAACCAGAGCAAATAGCTCTAGCTATTCAATTTCAAATATTTTGATTTCACCAAATCAGTTTTCCAGGAATAACAAAAGATGGTGATGATTTTTGCTTTTTGAACCGAGATCCTTCAATTTTATAACTTTTCTCGTTTTACAGTGGTTTGTACAAGTAGTCATGGCTGTTCAATACCTCCATTCAAACAGAGTCCTGCATCGGGATATTAAAACTCAAAATATTTTTCTTATGAAGAATGGAATTGCAAAGCTAGGTACGCAATCATTTTCATTTTTCTTGAACAGTTGTCTCTCTGACATCTATTTCCTTCTTATTTAACTATTATCTGCACTTTATATTGTTTGTATTTTCATTTGAAAAAATCTGAATTACGCCTTGATCTGTTTCAAGACTGCCCCCTCTCTCCATGTCATTTTAGAACAAAGAGTTATTGCTTTTATGAGGGGTTCCTCTTTTTAGCTTTGTTTTATTTCACTTCAGTTGAATCTTTGGTAACCGAACCTTGATTTCGTTTAGAGCCACAATCGGAAGCTTGTTCGTATTCTACCCTTCAAAGAGTGAAACATTCATTAAGAAATACTGCCAGATAAGTGACCCTACCCAAGAGCCCCGAGCCTGATCTCAGGATAGAATAAAAATCGCTCAGGGCCGGTGAAATCGGAGGGGGCGGGGGCATGGCCCCTCCACTTTTCTGCAAAGCAAATTGATGTTTTTTTAGGCAAAAGTGGAAAGAGGTCTAGTCTACCATTCTGTCAGTAACTTTGCCTAGTATTCCTTTAAATATGCTCTTAATATTTGTTTGGTTTCTATATCTTTACCAAAGAAGACCAAGAAAATTGAACATGGGAATTTGATCGCAGGAACATTGGACTTGGTTTGGACATCTATGCATAAATATTTAGTTAATGTTATTCTTTAGTTGATCTACGAAGCATTGCACAAATATGCTTCCTTGCATTGAGCTGATTTATTTCTCATTATATTGCTTGCTTTTTCAGGTGATTTTGGTATTTCTAAAGTAATGGACAGTACTGTAGACATGGCGCAGACTTGTGTTGGCACCCCATGTTATCTAAGCCCAGAAATGTGTCAAGATTCACCCTACAGCTCAAAAGCAGATATGTGGGTGTGTATGAAATTTCTTCTTTTGCAAGGCGGTTTTAAGACATTTTATTTTCATTCCTTCCATCCTTGATGTTTGAAAGTTCCTTGAAATGGTTTGTAGCTTGCCAAGTGTCATTATGTTAACAGGAGCATCCAAGGGCGGATCCAGAGCAAACTTGAAGGAAGGGCAGTTTGTAGTGGGGGCGCTGAAAAATTTTCAAAAATTGATGACGAAAGAACTCTGTATACAACAATTTCAGATCCATTTTCGGAATAAACAACATAACTTTGAAGTAATCCTTGAAGAAAATTAGCCTATTGGTCTCAGAAACTTTTTCACCTGATTCTCATTCTTCAAAAGGGCGCACAATTTCCAAAAAGGGGCGCCATACTTGCCTCAACTCGTCGAGGGAGGGGCAACTGTTCCTAGTTACCCACCCCCCCTTAAATCCGCCACTGGGAGCATCCTAATAACAAAAATATATCCCACAACATACTAGAAGCTTTTTCGTCTGACACTCCTCAGAGTATCTTTATAACGATTTTCTATCGTGTCCTTTCATACCCTTCCTATTCTCAGCATCCTATTCTGACGTTTTATACTCAGAGGAGTGTCAGACAAAAATGCTTGTAGTTTGTTATTAAATGTTTGCTTTTTTCAAAGCCATTTTCAAGCTCTGTACCGCCGAAAATTGTTCATAAAATATATCCAGTATCGTTGTGACCTTGAAATTAAGCGGTAATCATAAGGTTAGAAAATCTTGCATTTTGCCAAACTGAACCACTTTTTTTTGCCTCACAATTTGTTGCAATAATTTGTTAGAAGCGATACACCATTGTCATAAATTGTGATTTAAAATCGCAACTAGAACTACTATTGTGCTCTGTTGGTCTTCTATAGATCAATGTTTTATTATGAATGAAGTTCTGGCCCAACATTTCTTTCTAGTTTAAATAAGGTTTTCCTAAGTTCGTATTACAGAAATTGCTCTTTAATTTCCAGAAATTTAGTTTTCATGCTAAGCAAATCAGTTCCCCTGCATCAATGTCTTTCATTTTGTCCTTTTCGTAGAATTTTGAAAAGAAACTTGACTTATGCCTAGGTCAAATTTCCTGTCCTTAAACCAAACCTAAAAAATTTCAACGTTCAGTACTGTTTACAGGTTACTGAAAAAAACAGAAACTAATAAACTAATATTTTGCAGGCAAAAGTATTTTCGTCTAACTTTCTAAAAAGGGCATTGTATTCAGCCTGGAACGCGGTTAAAACAGATTCAATTTCAGCACAATGTCCTCTCATAAAAGAATATTGACATCTTACCTAAAAATGCGTAAAAATGTTATCATATGACAGCAGAACCCTTTGCGAATTACTGAAAAAATATCAATTTGGGTATCATTCACACATTCATGTAGAAGTCAAGAATCTCTCTAGATCCATTAAATGCTTAGAGAGTCTTTTTTCTTTTCACTCAACTCTTCAACACACTTTCAATTAATGTGCGATAGGATCTTATTGAAATACTTTATAATATTCGAGACATAATTACACAGTTTAATGTTTTCTTTTTTAGGCCCTTGGTTGTGTTTTGTATGAAATGTGCATGTTAAACTACGCCTTTGAGGCCACAAGCTTGCTTTCGTTATACTACAAAATCGTCAATTGCAATTATGAAGTATGTATCATACTTTGCTATGAATTTGAATCATGCTATGAATATTTTGCTATGAATTGGCGGCCTGATATGAACTTTTTCTGCATCATTGCTGCATTTAGGACCTAGATATAGCTTAAACATCCAAGAATAAACAGAAATTTGAAAGCCCTTACTGTTATTGCAAACTTGAAAATTTGAGAAAGAATCATTGATTGATAGTCTTGTAATCTTTAAAATTGTGTTGTATTTTCTTTGTATTATATTATAAGGCTTTTTGATTGTGTTTAGATTTTAGTAAGCTATCAAGTTTCTACGAACGTGTTTAATCTTTGTTCACATTGTATTACTTAATCACATATCACAGATTAATTCGTATTTAAGCTAATCTTGGTTGAAATGCTTTAAATTTCCATTTCAAATTTTACTCTACGTAGAAATTATGCCATTCTACAAAAACCGAAATTTTAACCGAACACAGCTACACAAATTTCAACCTACGTGTGTCAAAATGAAATAAAATGAAGGGAAATGAATGTAAATAATAACCATATGTAATTTCCAATGTAAATAACCATAGTTTATAAAATTCTCCACAGCCAATCTCTGGAAATTTCTCAAGAGAGTTAAATACTTTAATGACCAGATTACTATGCAAGTCACCAGACAACAGACCAAGGTAAATGTTGATCAAAATCTTTTACAACTTATTTTCTAATTATTTTTACTTTGCACCATTTTTTTATGTCTGTATGAAAATTCAGTATCTGTTTTTTTAAAAATTTATGGATGAGTTTATTAAATTCTCAAGAAAAGGTGTCTTGAAATCATTAGCAGGAATTCAGTACAAGGTAGCAGGACTTGTTAATGCTCCTTTGCCTCACGATTTCCGCTTTGGATTATAACAATTTCTTCATAGTCCAGTTAATGTTTTATCTATCATCCGGCAAATGAACCAAATTTGGTTTCTTGTTGAAAGCCTTATCATTCTTTCAGCGCTACAGCCATTCTCAACGACCCTTTTATTCACGAAAAACTTTCCAAAATGGTTACTGAATACAAACATCGACAGGAAGAAATTACTGTCAGGTTGGTAAAAAGTTTTGTCATCTTCTTTGCTGTTATTTTTTAAGGTTTTACTCACGGTACCTCCCTGGAAAATAAGGGTTTCTCGATTGACAAGACCACTGTATTGAAAAATCGAAACGAAATGAAAAATTGGGGGCATGTTCTTCAAAAACAACAGAAAATGGAAACCCTGGTGTCGGAAAATAACAAACAAACGACCCTCTGGCATGAGGTTTTACTAGGCAAAGCAAGACAAAGATATAGTATGATCTATTTGGATCCTATCTCTTTAGGTAGGGAGAGTAAATAATGGGACCATGCAATGTAGGGCTAGGGATGTGATGGTATTAAGAAAACAGGGGTATTTCTAGATCTGTGTTTGTGCTGCAAAATACCTATTCGCAGCTATCTGCACGTTTTGTGATTATTTCTTTCCAGTGTTCAGAGGTACGTTCATTGAGTCCATGAAAGTACCAGTTTCGTGTTAGATCAGACATACTTGGTCCTAGACCTATGACTCAATTCTACGGCTCGGGAGTTTCCGTATCTTATTTCTTCATCATAAAGTAACCATATAGGCTAATGAAGTACTTGCTATGTGTGATCTTTCGGTTTTTATTAGACATCAACGTTTTAAGGACAATAAGAATCGACCGTCTTCGGCTGCAAGTAACCGGGAACTCAGACCAAATTCTGTAGGCAAGCGGTGTCAATCTGCAATTGGCTTAAGAAGCATGCCACAAAATAAAGAAGCAGCACCTTCATCGAAAATCGCCCAGGAAGGTATGTTGTAGATGTAGAAATTTTCATGTCCTGAATTTTTTCTGTTAACTTCCTTGTTTTCTAGTTTTTCCCTGTGTCTTCTTTTTCGAACTTGTCTCTAACTTCCATTCTTTAGTATCGTATACCCAGGGTACCAGATCCTCAGAAAGGAATGAAGTCGAACTGTGGAAGAGCACATTCAAGGAGTAAAAGACTTTAGAAGAAGGGTGACCCTCTTTCCTCCCTCTCTTCTCTTTTACGGTTTTCCACTGTTCGGCCCCACTCTTCCAATAAGGCCAACATACAATGCCTGCCAAAGGTCTTGGTACATTGGGGAATGATTGTATGTAGTGTAAAGGTCTTGGTACTTTGGGGAATGATTGTATGTAGTGTAAAGGGATGTTTATCAAAGGTATAAGCAGCGTAACTTTGAACTGGCAAGAAGGTGAATCCCACAATTTTGTAGCAAGTAACTTTTCTCTCTGTAGATAAATCAAATTTAATGTCAGCAAAGGATACGGGTAACTACGCGGATGACTTTGTGGAGGAGAGCGATTCTGATTATTCTGATGATTTTGACGAAGTTGAAATCGAGGATGACCTGGGAGAGAGTGACAACGAAGATGAGAAGGAAAATACGAATGAAAGTGGGGTTATTGATCAATATCCAGATGATTTTGAGGAACTCGGCGAAGAAGATGAACAGGTATTTTGCTTCAATATATTGTTTACAAAAATGGTTAGAGAATCTGAATTCGGGTTTGAATGTTCATCAAATATTGGGGAGAGATTGACCAAGGAAGACATGGAGGTCGAAAGAAGGAATGACGATAACGGAAAGGAATGGAGGATTTTAGAGAAAGAGATTGGTTAAAATTATAACCTAAGAACCATTTTTTCGATACACAAAAAAGACTGACTAGATAAACCTAATCAATGTTGCAAATTAATTTTGCTATGTCAGTGAAAAACGTGCCAGCACCTGCGGCCGATTGCGTGAAGGTCACTTACACTTAAAATTTTGTAGCTTTAAAAAAATGTTCCATGGAGGCGATAAAATTCATTTTTTTCAAGTAGCATAGGGATGGATATGGAAATATGAAAATATAAAAATTAAAAAAACTGTTTGAATGGGCTTTAGATAATCATAGAGAATGAAACTTCGCTTTGAAAGAGATAGATCGCAATATAAACTGATGATAATGAGGATCATAAGTCAATGGATGCATCTGGAAGACTACACAAGTGATTATATAGGGCCTTCTGACACCCTGCCCCCTTCCACGCTCGTTTAAGTCCTGGTCACTTGTTTATCATTATATTGCAATAGTTTTCAAGCATTTTTCATCTGCCTCCTGGATGACTAATGACAGTTTAATTTAAAATGACAAGATTAATCTTCAACATTTTTCAGGAGATTGAGGATTTATTAGATAACGCTGAAGATGTACTTCAGGGACAAGAAGGTACTTTTGATATATTGTTGTCGTTATACAATTTTTCCTGCAGCTATTCAAAGTGTCGGACTTGAAAAGGAATTTTTTTCACGGAAAAGGAAGCATTTTTTCAGAAGCGCAATTGCTGCAAGGCTAAACGCTATAGCTCTTCCAAAAGCACATAGTGTGTCGGTAAATTCCAAAGAAAATAAGTAAAAAAAATTTCAGCGTTTCGCCCCTTCCTTAAAATATAATTTACTCTCACGATGCCCTTAAGAACATTGTTTTAATGTGAATTTTTTTATCGGCAAAAAATTTCATGGCTAGATATATCACTTAGACATCTAAGCAGGAAACGATATCCTCCAGATATAATACAATCAAATTTATCAGAGAACTTCTATTATATAATGTGATTTTCCACATTTATTTATCCAACTTTTCTTTAAGACTACGACAAACCACCTCGGAATTACAAAAAACAGACATACTCAAAAAGTTGCCCCTGAATCTAGCTGATAAAAGTTGCTATTAAGTTTTTGATTATAGAAAAATATTGTGAACATATCAGTATCATATTTCTTATATTTTTCCACGGTCGTGCTTTTTTTGCTTACGACGTAGCTTTTCTTGTAATGACAGTTATTTTGCCTTTCCAGCATACGAAGATTTTGTGGATGATCAACCAGGTGATGGAAGTTCAAATATTGCAATGCTACGAGAGTAAGTTTATAAATTTACGTTTTAACCCGTATACAGGGACCGCCAAACCGGGGGCTGAGAGGGGCTGAGGGGGGCTGAGGAGTACTTAGCTAAAACCATACACAAAGCGTCCTACTCTTGGCTTTTAGCGTGTTTAGCCTCCACCTCCCCCAAAAAAGGTCAAGCCCTTGCAGTCCGTAATGTGCTCCACGGTCTTGCCTGTATACGACTAGGAAACTCACATTTATATGACACTTTTACACAAAGCCAATGATACATTGACGATGGTCCTTCAAATAAAATATTAGGTAAGCAGTTGATTTGAACTCTAAAACAGAGATTTTAGTTTGTATTCAAACTAGATAAAGGGGCAGCATACAGAAGAATTATTGCCAATATCTCTGAAAAGTCTAAAAAATGTTGGTCAGGAAAACGCTTCAAGAAGTGTTTTGTTGAAGGTCAGCTAAGGTTTTCGAATGATCTGAGAAAGATCGCCCTTATTTTCTGAAAAAAGTGCTATTTCAAACTTTAAACATGCAGTCATAGTGAAGATTTCTGTGCTCAGTGCCATATTGACAGAGTTGTACACGTTTTAATATGGTGAACACAGGGATGCCGAGCACGTTTAGGGGTGGGTGGAGGGATGGTTCTAAAACTTTCATGGTAGTTTTTCCTCCTTCATCTTTGATGCCACAACATTAACATCACACAACATGTAAAAGTGTCATAAAAAGGCCAGGGGGCTACAACCCTCCTAACCTGGAACACAATGGTTCTAAGGTGTCATTACGGTTGCACGATAAGCTTGAAACTCTGGAGCTTGAAGCTTGAAACTCTGGAGCTTGAAGCTTGAAACTCTGGAGCTTGAAGCTTGAAACTCTGGAGCTTGAAAGCTTGAAACCGTCCTATTTTCATTTGTCCCACAGTATAAATTCACTTCTACACAGTTTTTTGTTTTAAACTACTGCAATATCTGTGTGTCTTTCAGGCACTGTCGTGAGCACCTTGGTAATACTATGTTCAATAAGGTGGAACAAATTTGCAAAGTTGGACATGACCAGGAATTTCTTGGGTGAGACTACTTTCTTTTTCCTTTTGAGATTTTCTGTCACCCTGGCATTAGGGTAAAAGACCCTAATTTCAACCAGCAGGAGACAGTTAACTATGACTATTTGGTTAGATTTAGGATTTTGAAATTTAATGGTTCTTTCTCCATTTCCAGGTCCGAGTTTCAACGAATAGCTGGTTCAGAGATGCTTGATACGTGTTTCCTCGTCAACGAGCTCGTCATAAGGGATACAGAAACAACGTAAAAGTCAAGTTAACCATTGGGATGGCAAGGTACCGTTGGCATTCATACATTTTCTGAACACTTCAGTGTTTTATCTATCTATCGTTGGGCCTGCCCATTGGTTAATGAAGTTTCAACCACCCTCTATGTAGATTAAACTCTTATTGATGAAGAGAGCCTAGAATATGAAGAATAATTGCAATGATCATATTAAAAATGAATCTTCAGTAATTTGTGTCGTTTAGCATGAATCATATCTATGTTGGTCTTTCTAATGTAAAAAGCAGGGTACGCTAATATCTTTTCATGAATTTTTCCTCGAATTTCTTATGTTGTTTCCACTTCATGCCTTGGGTTGAAAAGTGTTCTTCTATTTCTTTTCACAGATCATCGCAGAATTTAAGAAGATCGGAGTGCTGGCTAGCAAAGTTTTTCAAAACAGGTTTTACCAAAAGAGTACCATCCGCTACTCGGAAATAAGGCATTTTTACATGTTCCACTGTTATATACTGTTTGGAAATTAAGACAGATTTAACGGAAGTCTGATAACATTCTTAATTTGTTTAACCGGTTTTAATGAGTATTAAAGATATTTTTGGCGTGTGTAAATATTTAATATAGTGGTTGCTGATATTTTGAAATGAATGATACTAAAATTGTGGAAAAAGGATTCTTTTCATTGCCTGTTTTTGTTCTTGGTTTGAGTAGCACAGTTGTAAGATCTTCATGCAGCGTTGGGCTTGAATTTTCTTTATTAAGAATGTTTGCGCCATTGAGATTGGCTTTTTCAGTATTAAACATAGGCGTAAACTTGGGGGGGGGGGCTCTGGGGCTTCAGCCCCTCCTGACGAAAACCAAGCGGGGGGGCCTGAGCCCCCCTGGAAAATAAGTAAGTGCTTTACCAATTTTTAGATTAGTTTGTTATATTATTGGTTTCACGCATAAGATTTGTTGCATTAGATAATTGCGTTTACAGCAAAATAAAGTATGAAATTATTGTGAACATAAGGTCAGATCCAACTCGAGGCCAATCCTTCAGAGAGGCTGGAAGCATCAGAGGAAAGCAACGTATTGTCATTAATTTTTTGAGCCCCCCCTCCCCCCTGAAAAAAATGCAAGTCTACGCCTATGGTATTAAAGATTCATTTTGAAGGTTGATTTATATTTAATCTTTTCAAAAATATTCACTTTGTGGATTAACATTGAGCAGTTTTTTATATGAGTACACAAAAAGAAAATATTATAGATTTTTGAGGCTCCTTTGTTGAATGTCGATTACTTGTAAGTCCTCTTTGTTATTTGCTAGCCTTCAATATATCCTCTAGATCGTTAAGATATTAATTATTGATTTTGTCACTTGATGTTGACACCAGAGTGGGGGAGTTGATCAATGTTTGTTTAGGCAACAGTGTCGCTCCTAGCTAAAGTGGCCATGAATGAATTTCTTAGTTGTTGATTTTCTACACAAATTTGGTCGATATAGTTTAACCAGTGTCACCTTTTCTCTCGATCATAATGTATTTCTGCTACAGAAAGTTTCCTATAAAGAAATTATTTCAATACCAATTTTAAATATATTTTTAGAAAGATCTGACAACAAGGATCACAAAAATTAGGAGTTTAACACCTCTTTATAAATTTTAAACTTGAATTTAATAAATTGCAGAATTGATAGACGATGTTTGAAGTTGATCCTGTTTTCTTACAGATTTTGCCAGGGGCACCAAAATTTTGAAAAATGCCTCTTTCTTAGATGTACCTTAGTGTCCCTTCCTTTCTGTGCCCCTCCAACTTAGGAATGCTTCTGATGTCTCTGGAATGGGTTGTCTCCCCGGCGTGTCCAGTGTTTTCAGAGGTTTACAAAAGCTCATCTGGAAAATCACCGATAAAGGGATGGCTTCTTTTGTCAGGCCTAGTACAGCGAAACTTAGAGGAAGATATACTGCTTGGTATTTGGAAAGAGTACCGCCTCAATATGATTCAATACAAAATTTAGAAGGAAAGAAGGCTCTTACATGTAATGTAATTTACATCTCAGTTATATTTATTATTTCATTACAATGAAAAGGTTATTAAATGTTCACATAAAAGTCAGAGGAAAGGGGTCTTTTTAAGATCTCACGGTACACCTCTGAATGAGAGTGGCCACGTCAGGGCGTTTCCTCGGCCAAAAGTTTCCCCTTTACTTGTCTTGTGGACAATTTCAGTGCTTTCATATCGGCACTTAAAGTATTCAGTTTCAATATCTAAGGGTTAGGTAGGACATGCATTCATTTTTAGGTGCTTGAAGATGTTAAAAAATAGCCGAGAGCCGAGCTAAGCCTCTCGCCGACCTCGTTACTGGATGTTGGGTTGAACGAGGCAGAGGCCGAATCCAATTCAATAGCTGCCCTGAAACTCAATTCAACGCGAAGGAAAAAGAGTGACTAAAGATAACGTTTATTTCTTTAGTTCTGCATTTCCACCTAGTAAGAAATAATGTCACAACAGAGTCAACAGTCAATTCAACCAAGATCATGGGGTAAGATAATATGTTTGCGTGATGCTTTAAAATTACCGGGGCTTTTCTATTCGCTACCGAAAAGGTGTGTGATTATCGCCGCTTACAACTCGATTGGAAAAAGTTTCTCGAGGAATAAATTCGCGAAAATATTTTCAAATTCAGTCAGTTAACTACGGAATGATAACCTAAAACAAATGACTGCCAAAAGTTAAGCATTATTAGATGAAAAACTGAAGCCAATATAGAGTGAAACATCCGTAGGGAAATGGATGCAGGCTGGTATACACACAACAACATTTTCGCTGTAGTATCAGTTGGGCAAAAATGGCACAAAGATATCAAGCCAGTTTTATTTTTATTTTTTCATGGCGAATCAGATATATCACAGAAATGTTACTTCACATCATGCATTGTATGTGTTTTTAGGAATTCTAGTTAAACAAGCTTTTTAAATGAGTTTGGCACCAGGGTGGAATCCATGTAAAGCTCACGCCGGATATACGCCAATAAACAATAGAAATACAATGGGAAGTTGTTAGTCCACACCGGATATATCTGGCGTAAGCTACATTGATTCCACACTGGGTTTGGCATAATGCAGAATACTGATTCTGCTATGTGTACTATGAAATAATTCAGAATTTCCTCTTCTTTAAGACAAAACTATAAGAAGAAACTAGTTTCCTTTTTGTACAAGCTTTGTCTGATTATTTATAGTTTTCTTGATTTTGCATTTTTCAGAGCTGAGCTTATATGAGCTGCACAGAAAGCCCCATGAGGCCATCACAGATGATACAGAAATTGCAATTTCACCAAGGAGTCTTCATAGTGAGCTCATGTGCCCTATATGTTTGGACATGCTTAAGAATACAATGACAACAAAAGAGGTATATAATTTCTTGAAGTGCTTAAAACTAATCTCAATATTTAAGTTTATAGTTTTGCTGTGTTGCCACATTTCATGGTCATATTTTTAGACTGATGCCTTTTAATGGTACCAACATAGAAAATGTTTTCATGAAAGTTCTTCTGTAAGGTCTGAAATTCCACCTCCTTTTATAGCAATGTAATCCAAGAATTCATCCACTTTTTGAGATAAGAATGTGGTTTCCTAGAATATGATATTGTAATTCTAAGTATAAAAGTCTATATGATGTAAGTGTTGTTTATTTGTACATCAGATATATGCTGGTACTTGAAGATTTGTGTTAAATGAAAAGATCATTTCAGAGTTTGCGATGCCACGATGGAATTCTATTGTTGTAAACCTAGTTCAAATTGCTCAGGTGGGGTCAACCCGCAAAAATTTCACGATGGATAGAGAAAAATACTAAAATGAAAATCTGATTTTTTTTATTAACAATGGGCCTTGTTTGAGCTACAGAAGCATTTGCAAATCACATTTAATATAGGCCACCATTGTTTTTATTGCAGCTTTATTCCTACTTAAGTCATGGCCCCGCAAACTCTGTGATGGTCTATTGCTCATGTTCTTATATATATATACTTATGATGTAAATGCTTGTTTCTTCCAGTGTTTGCATAGGTTTTGTCAGGAATGCATTATCACTGCCCTTAGAAGTGGGTAAGTTTTAAAATCCATGTTTCATTTTATGAGTTCAACAGTTACTTATATTCTTCTGCTTTTCTTCAAGTAATAAAGTTGTGATCTTATGCAATAGGTAAATATTTAACTGGAAAATGCTTGTTTCTCAAGTTGTTAGCTCTAAAGGATCAATATGCTAAGCTGAAAAAAATTGAAAAAATTTCAAATCCTATTCCATGTGCCCATTTTTCCAAAGTATCTAATGTTAAAACTTGTCATTTTTTACCAGTGGCCTTTCTTTGAAACAGGGGTGTTTACGCAAAACTGTATTTGCTAAGTGAAGTTAAGTTTTATTTTTAAATAGATATGTCACAGTTATTTTGTCAACAGAGATCAGCCAACAAACAAATGTAATTTTAGAGAATAATGTTTCCATTTCTGTAGCTCTTTTTGACCTTTTCCTTTCAGCAATAAAGAGTGCCCAACCTGCAGGAAGAAATTAATTTCCAAGCGATCATTAAGACCAGATCCAAATTTTGATGCATTAATTGATAAGGTCAGTTCTAGCTTACATATAAATTAAAGTAACACAATGCTGAAGCTACTTTATCTATTGTTTTCATCCTTGTTTTTATATTATTATTTTTGAAAATGATTTTGAAAAAAGCAAACATTTTAAAACATATTGGCTAAAAGATTTTTCGTCTGACATTCCTCAGTGCATAAAACGTCCAAATAAGGCCTGGTTCAAACTGCGTATTATTCATGTGTCGTATTGAATGGGCTATTTGATTCAAATAAAATAGAAAAAACAGCAGTGGATCTAAACGCTGTATTAAATGCAGACCATTTTGATTTGGTTTCTATTGTTTTACACTCACAACTGTGGCAATGAAAATTTTTTGAGCGAGAACAAATTGAAATTGCAAAGCAACCAAGATGGCAAAAGTGAACTAATTTAAATTAGTACTGCTAAGAGAATAAACAACAGGAATAGGAGAAATCGGAAAACTTTAGCTATACTACAAAAATTGCTGCATTTAAGAGAGGATTTGTTTTCAGGCCCTCTCTATCTCTCCTTGTTTTTTATAATTTGTAATCAAAAGCTAGAACGTTGCCTGCATGGCAAGGTCATGTTGCAGGCTTCAATGGAACGGAGGCTGGTGTTTCAGCAACTCCTGTGAGCATCCTGAGTATGCTGTAGCCCCCAAACGCGGCCATTCTTAATCACACATCAATGGCAAGAACTTCACTTTTGCATTCAACAAATAATAGAGGCTTTGTTCCAACCCAATATTTTAACAACTTGCATGATTTATGCATTTAGTTCGGCACAAGGAAAACTCGTCATCTAAATTAGAACCCTACTTTTGTCGAATATGTTGTTACGTTTTAATCGAAATAGTTGCGTCAAATAGAATGAAAAGTGCTGATACCAAATTGATTCAGATGCTGTGTTAATCATGTACTGAATTTTTTTAATATGGCGCATGAATAATACGCCATCTGAACCAGGCCACGATAAAAAGAACACAATAAAAAATATATGCCCAGTTGTGGATCGAAATAGGTCAAACAGAAAAACGCAAGCGCAAGACTGGTATAGTTGTCCAATTAAAGCCATTTACAAGTTCTGTACTGCAAAAAAGTTCACATCTTAATTTTTTCTTTCTGTTGGGATTATCATTTGAGGTTAAACATGCTTTGGCAAGTTAATTGAAGGGGGGGGGGATTTAAATTTACCATTAGTGGTACTACCTAATAGACCTGATGTTATGCACCCAATCCTCAATTTGAGGTTAATTTTCAATGTTTTCTTGATTGTAAACATGCTGCAAAGCCTATTGCTAATTCTCAAAGTTTGACCACTGACACAGTGCCTTTAAAAGACATTTCTATCTGAGAGGGGTAGCAGTAAAAAGGCCTATTATTGATAATAAGTCACAAAGTTTATAATTGCACTTAAAAATACTTTCTATAAATATTAAGAATGATAATTTTACTTAAGTTGGTGCAACAAACACTACTCGTATTTTATTAAACATAAGTTATCATTCAATAAATGTTTTCTTATAAATTTTACACTTAAGAGCTGAAAATGTGATTGATTCTAATATCATCTGCTTCAGATTTACCCAAACAGAGAAGAATACGAAGCCCACCAAGTAAGCTAGCAGTTTTCAGAAGATACTTTCCATTTTATTACAAAAAGGCTATGTGGCTACATCCTCCTACCGTCCATTAGTTTCTTATAAGTGAAACATGATTCTTAAAATTAAGGATTTATCACATATGCCAGAGTTGTCAGCCAGTGATAGGTTGTTGCTAGGCAGATGTTTAATGAGAAATTCTCGTTGAATCACTTCCATTTCTCAACAACTCCAAGCATCTTGAATGTAAGTGAACAATATAACATCCCCCACCTCAAAATCCTCCAAATCTAAAGTAGCCATGTCTACCATTATTGCTACTAACATATGCTATGTGAAATGCTCTGTATAGCCAGAATTTTCTGTGTATCAAACAAAGATAATTTAATGGTATGTGTTCCTTTGTCCCCAATTTACCAGAAATATTTGCCACACCCTTTTTAGTGCACAATCTTGTGCTCCTTTCCTTGAAAAATTTGAAAAATGCAGATAACTATACATTCTTATTCATCAATACTGATATTTGGACTGTATTGTACCTTTTGAAGTCAACAATCCTTTTTTTGTTAGTGAACTGTTACATATAATGCTGAACTAAGTAAAATTTTCAGGAGCGTAATTGTATATTAGACAGGTATACTTAGGAAAGACTCTCTATATTCATTTTAGGTGTAGTATTGGAGAAATAATCTTTTTTTGTCTAAATCACGCTCTTTCGTGCATTATTGATTAACAAATTATAACCGATATTTTTTTGTAGATTAGATCGCATTAACCACTTTCAAAATTGTATTTGATGCATCTTAACTGACTACGGTTGGTGTCAATTTTATTTTCAGGAAAGAGTGTTGCAAAAATTGAACAGTCATCACAACCAACAAGCGCTTACAACAAGCATAGAAGAAGGCCTAAAGCTCCAAGCTCAAAACAGGCTGCAAAGAATGCTCAGACAGGTGCGACTAGTAATTTGACGTATTTGATTGAAATATTTAGTAAAAGTAATACACGCTTTCTTGCAAGTAACCACTTTATAAGGAATCTATATGTAGAAAGCGGTAAAAATTAAAGAACCGCAGGTACTATTGTCAAAATCCCCAAGGAACTTTTCAATTTTGACCATTTTTATTATTGCAAGCAATCAAGATTTAGGAAGGCGTTTACAGTCATTTGGAGTTAAAGATCAGTTTCATTGTGTATTACGAAAGTATTTAGCACAAAATATGCAGTTAAAGTAAGGAACTATTAAGAAACTATATTTCGATCAAAAAAGGTCCAAAAATAAGGAACTTCAAGAACTAGGTATCGGGCTAGATTCCTAATAAAAAAGCGTGTATTTTTTTAATTCTTTGTATCTTGAAGCACATCTCCTGCTAAGTTGATGAGTATCCTACTCACTTTGTGTTCATTTAAATCTTTTAAGCCGCTCTAAAATCTACTTCTTCTTCTGCGCCTAAGCCTATGTAGGCCGTGGGTGCACCCAACCATGCACAGAGCTCCGCCACTTCTCCCTATCCATCGCCATTCTTGATAGTTCTCGCAATCCCTCTCCAGTCCACTCCTTGATGTCGTCTTCCCATTGCCTTCTTGGTCTGCCTCTTTCCCTTGCGCCCTCAACTTTCCCTTGGATCAATGTCTTTGTCATCGCTGTTGGTTTCCTCATCTGGTGTCCAAAGTACTTCAGCTTCCTCTTTTTGACTGTCTCTGTAATTGATTCCGGCCTGCCGCCCAACGTCTCCGTCACTTTATTCCAGACAAATTCATTCGTTTTCCTCTCCTGCCAGCTTATTTTCATCATCCTTCGGTAAAATTTCATCTCGAAGGCCTTCAGCTTTTCCATGCTCTTCTTGTTCATTGTCCAGCTTTCACATCCGTATAAGAGTGTCGCCCAAGCAATTGCCTTTGTGATTTTCATGCGATTTTTCAGGCTAATGCCTTGTAGTCCCCACATTGAGTTCAGCCTAGCCATAGCACTTGTTGCAGCTCCAATTCTATTCCTGATTTCTTGGTCCGAGTTTCCATTTTCCGTGATGGTTGCTCCCAAGTACTTGAAACTCTTGACCTGTTCAAGTTTCCCATCACCGATGACTATTTCCAGTTGGATGTTATCTTCTCCGTTCCCTGTGACCATTGTCTTGCTCTTCTCCTTGCTAATTTCCATTCCAAATCTTTGTGAGGTGTCATGCAGTCTGTTGGTTAGATCCTGCAGTTCTTCTTCATTCTTTCCAATCAGGTCGATGTCGTCTGCGAAGCGAAGATTGGTTACTTTCAGTCCTCCACAGCTCACTCCAGTATCGTCTAGCTCTTCGATCGCTTCTACCATGATTCGTTCAAGGAACAGATTGAACAATGTCGGTGACAGGATACACCCTTGTCGTACTCCGACAGTCGCTCTGAACCATTCGCTGAATTCTTCTCCGGTCAACACTTTGGTCGTTGCTTGCTCGTACAGACTCATGATTGTCTTCGTGATTTGTTCACCGATATTGAACTTCCTCATCGTGTGCCACAGCGCTTCATGCCACACCCGATCAAACGCTTTTTTAAAGTCGATGAAGTTGTGACATATTACTCTTTGATGGTTCCTTGTTTTCTCGCATAAGAGCCGAAGATTGGTGATTTGGTCCGTGGTGCTTCGGTCCTTTCTGAAGCCAGCCTGCATCTCGCTCAGCACTTCCTCAACTCTTGGTGTTATTCTTCCTTGGATGATTTTTAGTAATACTTTTGAAGCGTGGCTGATTAGGCTTATCGTTCTGAAGTCGCTGCATTTCCTGCTGTTCATCTTCTTGGGGATGGGTATGAGGATGGATTCGGTCCATTGTGTCGGCCAAACACCACTTCTGAAAATGAGATTGCACAGCATGTGCAGGATCTTCACGGTGTCTTCTCCTCCACATTGAATTAGTTCGGCATTGACATTGTCTGCTCCAGGACTCTTGTTGGTTTTCAGACTCCTCACTGCGAGCTCTACTTCTGCTCTCAGGATCTCGCCTTCATGATCTTCTTCCGTCACAACATCTTCCTCCAGTACCGTCCTATCCACATCATCCTTGAAGTTATAGAGCTCCTCGCAGTACTCTTTCCATCTATTCGCAATGTCACTGCTACTTGTCAGAAGTTTACCTTCTTTGTCTTCAATGATGTTGATTTGCTTGGCACGCTGCTCTGTCAAGTTTTTGATAGTTTTGAACACCTTTCTTGCATTGTTACTTTCGAAGCTGCTCTCTACTAGATTGGCCTGTTCTTCAGCCCACTCTTCTTTAGCCTTTCTTAGGAGCCTTCGCACTGTCTTGTTCGCTTCCCTGTATTCTTCTAGCTGCTCCTTCCCCTCATTTTTCTTGCGCCTCAGCTCTCGTCTTCTATCGCAGCTTTCTAAGACTTCTTTGGTGATCCATGGTCGTCTGGTTTTTCTTCGTTTTCCGAGGATGGACTTCGCCGTTTCTGTTATGCCAGTTGTGAACTTATCGCATAGTGCTTGTGGTTGTTGTTCCTCTGCTTGTATCAGCATCAACGGAGCAAACTTCGATGTGAGTTCGCTCTGGAATTTAGCTTTGGTGGTTTTATCTTTCAGTTTGTCCAGGTCAAATACGACTCTGTCGTTCCTTCTTCTGTTCTTTGTAGACAGTTTCAGCTTGAAGGTTGTCATTACCAGGTCATGGTCACTGCCAATGTCCGGTTTTTTCATTGTTCGGGTTCGCGCTTTGTTCACACTGGACTGGAAACGTTTCGGTATCAGGATGTAGTCTATTTGCTTCTTCGTGACTCCGTCAGGTGCGTGCCACGTTATCCGTCTAGATGCCTTGTGTCTGTGAAGTGTGTTAGCCACTACCATTTGGTGTGATTCAGCAAAATCAAGGAGTTTCATGCCTCTTTCTGAAGTCTCGCCATAACCGAATTTTCCGGCTGCCAGATGGTTTGCATTCTCACCAATTTGTGCGTTCCAATCACCGAGTATGATTAGGACGTCTTTCTTCGGCGTCTTCTTCATCAGTCTCTCGAGATCATCATAGAACTCCTCAATAATCTGGTCATCGTAGTCACTTGTTGGTGCATAAACTTGGATTATCGTCATGTTGAATGGTTTGCTCGCCACTCTTATCGAAATGAGTCTTTCCGAGACTGGGGTACACTCTAGGATGCTCTTTGCAGTTCGTTTGTCCACAATGAAGCCGACACCATGTTGTTTCTTCTTTTCTTGCCCGCAGTACCACACTTTGTGTCCTTCTTCTGTAGTGTATTCACCAGCTCCTGTCCATCGCATTTCTGAGATGCCAACTATGTTCCATCTTATGTTGTCCAGCTCCATTGCAAGTAACTCGATCTTTCCATCTTGAGACAACGATCTAACGTTCCATGTACCAATGGCAAAAGGTTCTCTCAAAGTCCGATTGTTAACAGTAGTCCATTTTCCACTGCCTCCCCTGTCGACCCCAGAAGACAGCGCGGCCGTTTTTATCCTGGGCCCCGACCGATCCAGTATGGTTGAAGTTTGGTTGTGCATGTTCATGGGTGAAACGGTTGGCATAAAAACCTGGTGGCGCCAATCTCCTCTCCAGGTATGGATGGCCGTTGGCTCGCTGGGAGCTCATCCGCCCTTCGACAGGTCTTGTTTTTAGTCCTGCTGGGTGTCCACACACCCTCCTCACAAGGTTACCAAAGTAAACAAGTGGGGGAGCCGGTTTAGTCGCCGACAACCCGACCATGGAACAGGTGGTACTGGTTTACATGTTACCAGTAGCAGGCATTACCTGACCTGACCGTAATCTACAGAGTGGGAAAAAGAATAATATTGACCTTATATCGTCTTTAATGTGAAGTTACTGTAGAGAAAACAGTACATGTGTAATCTGTATTCCGACAAATAAATCGAAAAATCACATACCTTCACGTATTTTTGATGCCTGTAAACAATTAAGCTGCAAGATAATTGGATCTGTTTTTTTGTTTTGTTCCCAGTTGTTCATTTTGTGAGAAGACGTAACGCAATAAGCTTTAATATAAATCTAGATAATTTATTGAAAAAAGCCTATGGTTACTTTCACATTTTCCTATCGTATTTGCAGCAACAAAAAAGGGCTATGGAAGAGATGTGTAAGTTTTAAAAAATAATTTGTAATTTCTTGTTTTCTTTGAAAATCCTATTTGCCCAACATCATTTTTGGAATTCTAATATTTGCACTCTAACAGATATTACTTGGAGGGCTGTGACTGATTCTATTTTAGCTATTGTAGCTGAAGGCATTTTCCTCAAAATCCTATTAGCAGAACCACAAAAATCCTTGACAGTATTCAATTTGTGGCTAAAAAAAATTTTTATCGTCCATGACAACCTTTAAAATATTTTTGCATAGATAGAACGTAGTGAAAAATGTTTTGCTTAGCTTTCATTCAGACACATTTAGCTCTATGTGGACCCCATTTTCGTTTGTGTAAGAAATATTCTTGTTAGGGTGTGGCATTTTTGATTACTTTTTTCTGACCAATCTTAACTCTGGCTATTCAATTAAATTAAATTCAATTCAATTTTATTCTTATACTCTTACTGTGTGACCAGATAACGTTGATGCTGTTTGGATTTTGTAGCTATGGATACGGTTGAAGAAGGAGAGGGAATAATGCCAGTAATGCCGACTCCAAAGGTAGTTGCAACTGGTAAAAAACGAAAGAATGTACCAGAAACGGCAGAGATGGAGGGAGGTATGCGGTTACATGTTACTTTAGAATAGCCACTGAATAGCATTTGATGTTTATCAACGTTAAGCACATTTTAGCGAGAGGTACTGAGAAAGAAACAGGGAAAATTGAAAAGATAGTCCAGTTGCCTACAAGCACAGGAACTGGTAAAGACAGAAACATTAAAAATGTTTATATGTTTATCACACTGGACCCCCTATCTTTAGTCCTCTGTAACTACAAAATCACAGATCCTTTTTCATCACTTTTCACCCTTGTTCTCAATCGGATTCGCCTATGGGACAGTAATTATATGTTGTGCCTGAAATTATTTATAGTTATTAAAACCAGAGATCATGCTGTATATTTATTCTAAAGATAAAAACAGATTCTAACAGTAAGGCGATTTTTGTTAAAACTACCAAGTTTCTAATATGTGTCTATGTTTCTGATACGACAGGAACATCTGATGTTAGGAAAGAGTCTGTCGAAGGTCCTGAGGTACCGATCAGATTTTTGCATCTATTTTTCTGGAATTGTTTGTTTATGAAAAATCCTTCCTCACTCTCCACATCTTTGCAAAATTAATTTTGTTTTGAATATAGGGAAGCTAGAATCTCTTTTTCAAGAGATTAGTGGCCACAGAAATAGTTGTAGAGGAAAAACTGTTTTGAAATCTAAATTTGTATCTCCTACGCATCGAGCAGATTTTGTTCATTTATTGCAGTATTTTAAGGCTTGTGTGTCTCTCTCGTGCAGTTTTTGTCTGTAAATTTGAACATATCGCTCTTTAATTGTGAATTTTTAATAAAAGGCAAGGGTAAGGTAACATTTTATGATGTCCTTCCGTCCTCTAAAATCTTGACCTCCCAATTTATAAAGCAGTTTCTAAAAATATCCCTTTTAAAAAAAGGTATTTAAATTACACCCAAACTCAAAAAAAACAAAGGTAAACATATACACCATATGCTGAATTTTGCTGCAACTGATATCTATTTGATTTCGTGTCTAGATTCTGAACATTATGACGTGGTATTTTGATTTTATAGGAAATAGAGTTGGTGTTTCGCCCGTTGGTCCGCAACGAAGGAGCAGGATCGATGGACAGTCAGGCTAGATATCTCATTACGTCATCAATCGCTACAGGTTAGATTGCGTTCTATTCTTTACCAAGCACATTGGCTATTCGTCAGCTCCTTAATGTTGGCAAAAACCTTCTCACCCCCTATATGAACCATTAAAAAAACATGATTACACTTTGCTGTATATTATGTTAAAATGTTGCTGTACTTTGCTGTATATTTTCATAAAAGCTAAACAGCTAAGCAGTATTTTGTTATAAAACATCCCTGTTTTATTTCTATTTTAGTTTCCTAAAGAAATTACCATGTGTGTTCTAATTCCCACGCATAAATTATTTCATGCCTGTGATTCACACTCTTACCTATCTAGTTTCGTTTTAATTGCTAGTTTAAAGTAATGAATTAAATATCATAAAATGCAAATTTTATATCAGAAGATCAGTGTCAAACGATTCGTTGTTTCTTATGCAAATTTTCTTCACCTTTTAAGCTTGATTCACGTTAGAGTCAAGGCTGCCATTTGGTCGTTTTGAAGGTCTTTTTCTGTCTTTTTTCAATGCTCTTTGCTGTCGAAAATTGATTCGGCCACAAATACAGCAGTTGGCTGAATTATGCCGCAAGTGAAAAGCGAAGCGAAACAGTAGAAGTTACTAAGCCATTTTTATTGATTTAATACTCCACAAAATCAGGAAAAATATAGGTTATTTTGAATATTTTATTTGGCTGGCAAAATTTGTCCGTAAACATTTTAATCGTGAAATGTTAGGTCGCCAACCATTTCAAACTCCTGGTAATTCTGATTAGAGTAACATCATATTAGGTAACTAATCGTCGGAAAGAATCATTTTCATCCCATTTTCAAAAGTATAATTTTCGGGCCGGTAAGTTGAGGGTGATCATCTTATTTTGCAGTTGATCATTTGTCGATTTACCTCTCAAAGCGACTGGGCCTTGCGAAGCAAAAGGAAGGTATGTCATTTTCGAAATCAAGGTCTATAGTCCTTCATCTTTATGTCTATTCTCGACACTACAGTCAACAATATCTGTGTGATCTTTACATTACACTTCCGAATACTCTAGGTGACTACTAAGTGTTTATGAGGAGTTGTTCTGACTAAAGGCGAGAGACAAATTATACCAATGATTTTTTTCAACCATATTTTTAAATGGAAAGGAACTTTTGTTAGATTGTATATGGCCAATATTTCTATCTTCAGAACAAAGCGAAGAAAACCCTGTGACGCAATCATTAAATGCAAATGCTTTTGAAACGAAGCAGTTTGAGATATTTGTCACTTTATCTTCCGGTGAACACCAGGTAAATGCGAAATAATGTTTTCTATTTTACTTGAGACTGTTTTTACAGCTCCGGGATATGAAGCATCTTTTTATAGGAATTCAATGACGTCACAAGCCTGTTATAGTCTTCGAATTACAGCACGAGTTCAGACAGCAAATATATCATATAATTTGAATTGTACATTGGTTGCTAGATTTTTCCGTCATGCTTTTGAAGAGGCGTGATATAACGTTTTTATCGGGCCTTTCTATTTACATATTGCTCTTTTGTTTAGACCCGTTCCTACTTCTATGCAATGTGCAAGACCAGATTGAAATAATACCCCCCCCCCCTCCCTTCCCAGAACATCTCGTTTGGTTGTAAATATCTAACAGAATGGTAGATAATATTGCTGACGGGGGGATGAATGCACCGCGAGCTTCTCGATTCTGCATTAGATTCAGATTCAGATTTATTGCCAGTATTTTGACTTTTACCTAATGAAGGGGTCCTTAGGTGCTTGTGTCTCTAAATTCAATAATTTTCTGAAGACCACATTGCTACTTCTTGTTCTATCAACAAACATTTTTCTACTACACAGATTTTGGAAGGATCCATGACTTTGGAGCAGATAAACGAAAAGGTTAGTTTCGAAATTTTTTCTGTATATCAGCAACATTCTAAAGTCGCTTTTTGATTTGCTGTTTTTTACCGACATTCATGTAGGTTTTAGACATTCAGAATAAAAAAAGCCGCAGTTATTTGACGTGGCCAGCTTAGCTTCAATGGCACATTTTATAATCGAAATTTGATCACTCAGTAGCAAGGCAAAGTTCAGATAAAGTTGTATTTCAAACTTATGATAAATCGGTCTTATCTAACATTTTGAGATAGAAGTTTGCGTCAAAAGACCTTGAAATAACAGTTTTATATCACCAGTTTCTAATCGCTAATATTCCAAATACTGCGCCATTCACAGCATCCTTCAGAATGCATTCTATGTCATATACCATAATACACTGTGACAGGAAATGGGAAATACACATATAAACGGGGCTCATATTGAGGTACATTTGCGATACGATAAGACTTGAATATGGGCGCTATCTTTGATCACCATGTTATATGATCTTATCAAGTGGTCCGCGTATTGTTTTTGTTTCAGTATTGGAATCAAAACAAGCCGCTTGAAATGTACTATTCATTGTCGCAAGAAGAATCATGATTGATGGTTTATATTAGGTTCTACAGGTGGGTCCTGTTCTTATCATTCTTTATAATTGGCAGGTGGGTTTCTTATTGATGGTTTGGTCTATAATTTGGTCATTGATTACCTACCTACTCGATGTTCTTATAAGGCTATGTTTAAGAAGACTGCAAGTGAGTTTAAAGTAGGGTACCAGTACAATTTACGGAACAATTACCCATAAGCATTCGCGGGCATAGATAGGTAAAGTGTGTGTTGTTGTTTCTTCTATTGATAGTGGCAGGTCAAAACTGGCACTTTCAGAGCACGAACATTGTGGCCTAGCCCATCATGCTACCATATTATTTACGTTCGTTCGTGTTGAGGCGATATTTGTAAAAGGGCAGTAATATTCTCATTTTCATGCAAACAATGTTTTATTTTCTTCTTTATCGCATATGGCAAAAAATATATATTTGGAAAAATGCTTTCGTTCTGCCCAATGCCCTCAGTATTGGAGTAACCTTGTATTCATTCAAGTCAAAGAATTTGAAACGAAAATGAATCGGTTCTTTATTTCCAGTTTCATCGTTATTCCCGATACTTATCAATATCAAAATCTTAACATCACATATAACTTTCAAATGGTACAAAAATTTATTACTTTCTTCCACAACATGGGTGCAACATTCATAATGTGACTTTTTTATAATATACCCGATAATTTAAGCTAGTATTAACTCCATCATTCAAAGTTTAAAAATCTTTCACACAACCACATTGTATCATAACAAACGCCTCCCAGAAGGAATTTTCCCCTTACGTATGAAATTGTTTTTACTCCCCAGTATGGACTTAAAACAAATACAACAACCATATACCAGAAAAAATAGGTTTTGGAGAAGGAAACCTAATGTTCCTTTTAAAGACCGATATACAACATTTTGGTTGGGGGGGCCGCCCTAATAAATAAGTGTAAAAACAGCCATATTTTACAAAATAAAAGTACTTTACTTATTCTACTAAATTTTTGGGGGGGCCAAGGCCCCCCTGTCCCCCCGGCATCTCGGTTCTTGGTTCCTTTATAGATCAGAGTCCCCTTCTTTACAAAGTCTGTAGCATAGCTCTCTTTGCAGTTAGCTTTCGGAGGCATTCAAGGAATGTTCTTACAAGCCAGTTCTGCCACCTTGCGATATAGTAAACTGTTCTTACAAGTGAGACGCACGTTT